ACACTCAGACGGTCACTAGAGGTGCTTCCTGTGTCAGTGCGGATTGGCTGAGATCATCAAGCTTGATGATCTCAGCCGTAGAGGCAGGGCCAGTCGAGGGAAGACCAGCACGACGTGGGGGAAAAAAAGGTGAGTAAAAACACACATGCACACACACATACCATGACAGACAGACCGTGACACAGACAGAAACACAGACACACAAGGACAGACACACCATGACACAGACAGACAGACACACACACACACCATGACAGAGACGCACACATACCATGACAGACACACACCTTAAAAAAGACACACACACACACCATAACACAGACTGTGACACACACACACACACCATGACACACAGACACACACACACCACGACACAGAGAGACCGTGACACAGACACACACACCATGACATACAGACACACACACCATGACAAACACACACTCACCATGACACAGACAGACCATGACACAGACAGACACACATTACATGACAGACACACACAATGACACAGACACACATTGCATGACACAGACAGACGCACACACCATGACAGAGACACACACACCATGACACAGACACACACAATGACACAGACACACATTGCATGACATAGACAGACACACACACACCATGACACAGACAGAAACACACACACCATGACACAGACAGACACACCATGACAGACACACCCACAAATGACACAGACACATACACTCACACTGACACATAATTTCTACCTGTGTGCTGGCATGGGGAGCTCTTTTGGCGGTCGCAGGAGAGCTGGCTGTTCTGTCTATGCTCCCCCTCCCCAGCGCGCCGCTTAATGAGACCAGGGGCAGAATATGACGTCATATTTCGGCCCCGGTCTCATTAAGCAGTACGCTGGGGAGGTGGAGCAGAGACAGAACAGCCAGCTCCCCCTGCGGCCACCAGAACAGCCAGCTCCCTCTGTGGCCGCAGGTGAGCCAGCTGCCTGCCTGGCCCCAGGTGCCGACGGCCCACCGGGAAATTTCCCGGTATCCCGGTGGGCCGGTCCGGCCCTGACTACAGATGCCGGAGAACTGCCTGAATTTATCAGGCATTTGCTCTCTGCCACACAAGCAAACTAAGGGCCTAACCCTGGATGGATTCTACCGCTTACCAGGATGACCTTCCACCAAATCATCCCCCCCCTAGGGATGTCATATGCTGCTTTCGATCACTTATGGCAGAAGTCAACGGACAAGCCAGGGCTCAAGTCCTGCAGGAACGCGTGGGAACTTTTTTTACAGCAAGAACGCAGTTCCCGTTGCTCCTACAGCCACCTCATGGGGGGGGGGGAGGGGCTCAAGAGGACTTGACCCCTGGGACAAGCGCCATATATGTTTGAACAACAGTTTTTACCATGACCTTAGTCGACCGACACTACAATGGAGATCTTCCTTGAGAGAAGTGACCACTCAGTGCAAATACATTCCTGCAATCACTGGGACTCACTATGCCAGATGCGGGCCAGTCCACCAACAGACCTACACACTGCTGATATGTGGACAACATAGCGGTCTTCACACCAAGCAGCACCACTTTCTATCGAAATGATAGACCTATACCTGTGTTAATGTTGCTGTTTTTTGTTTTTCTTTCTTTCTGTTTGCATTTCGTTTTTGTTTTGGATAGCACAATGTTATACTTAAAAAGGAAGCTCAGGGCTATAAGAATTTCGTGTCCATGTTCTAATCCACCTATAGCCCGATTCTAAAATAATTGGGGCATTGTCTGTAAGCATATTGTCCCGTATCTATATATAGCGCCTCACATCACCTCCCTCCCACTTCCTCCCTCCCCCCTTCAGTTCCGGGGTCAAGGAGCTTACTACTATTACTCTTGTATACAAATCATCATGCCTCAGCCATGCTCATAAGCTTATTTTACTTTCAGCAGGTCCTTAATGAATCTAGATAGAGAGCTCTACGAGCGTATATTAAAACACAGGCTCATCTATAGCTTACTCCAATATTCCCTTCAGGAGAAGGATAACAACGCATGAAACCTGTATGACCTTAGCAGGTATCCCTCCAATAGAGGCAACCCACTTGCAATAGAAACGAAAACAGTCACACGCTGAGTGCCTGGTTACCAGAGCATGTATTTCTTGGTTTTATTATATACTTGTTTTTTTATTTATAAAAAAAGAGGCTGAGTTTCGTAAAGAGTTTCAAACTATGTATTAACAGCAACTTATATACTTGTAAAACCACCATAACCATATGCTCTTTGTATTTTGTATCTTATGCAATTGCCTTACTAAAAGAAAGAATATTAAAAAAAAAAATTAGCAAAGAAAAAAAAGAATTCGAAGCAGGACAAAAAAAAGGTCAAAAAAGGATCTTAAAAACCTCACAAGCTATGCAACAGTGACATCTAGTGGACTAGCTGCAAAGTGCACTGAAAAAGACAAGTGAGTATAGTACTTTAAAAGTGGAGGGGGAGGGGGCAATCTGTCAATAGATATTATTTTATATCACTCTAAAGTATATTAAAAGTGGACAATGTACCAGCATATACTTTTTTATATTACTACAAAGAATATTAAAAATGGACAATGTAGGGGGCAGAGCCTAGCATCCTGCCTGGACGAACGTGCCGAAGCCAAGCTCCTGCCACTAGTCGAGATTTTTGGGGTATAATCCCCACAAACCTGGCATGCCCGCAATCAGAAAGGCTGTGGAGAACCAGGGGACCCCCGGGAGTACACATCGACACAAAAACAAGCTTCCTGCCCGCCCAGGAACCCGAGATCGACGGATGAGGCCTGTAGCAGCCTGAGACAGGGAGAGGCGGCCGCTCTCCTCCCTCGACAGCGAGCAGGGACACCCGCCGACTCCACACCTCCCCCCGTGGGACCGATGGGGGATATCCCGGTCCCTGCTGAGAGTCCGAGGTCACCTACCTTCACTGAGCCCGGACCCGAAGCGTTACACTCCCACCACTGGCAATACCGCACGAGAAGCACACAAGATGACGGCGACAACCCTCCCGACTAAACAGACCCAGCTGTCCAGCTACACATCATGCCATAAAGAGACGACGGACATGGAACAGCGGCTGACTAGGCTGTTTGAGGACTCTTGGAAGAAAATCCAAGGCCGCAAGCACACAGCTAAGAGCAGACAGCTGGACCCTCTAGAAACAGGTGAGGGGGAGCCCGGACAACGGGGAGTGAGGGGATCACCCTCGGGCACAGCATTGACTTACTCGGTAACACAAACACGCCAATGCCCACCCGGACTGAAGGCCAAGAGGGTCTTGACCCGGCAGCATCGCCCACACAAGCTGAGGCCCAAACGCCGCAAGCGGCAACCCACCACCCGGTCCTGCGCAACTCCCAAGAGAGGAGAACACTCCCGCCCCAGAAGCAGCGGAGTCTGTGGTCACAGGATGCGGGCCTACACAGCAGCCTGGGGATGGAGGGGGACCTACACCTGCACCCCGGTGGAGCCGAGAACTCACGCCCCATCAGGAAGATACAGTCACCAGCCAAGAAAGTGAATCGGGGAAGATTGATCGACCCCGCACCCACGCTCCCACACCAGGAGTACCCTCGCAAAGGTGGCCCAGTTCGTGTTGTCTTGCCGAGACACCATAACCAGCCTGGAATGATAAGCGAGAGCCTCAGTATTTTCTCTGCTAACATGGGACTCGGACACCAGTGCCCTATTAATCGTTACCCTAAATGTCTATGTCTAGGTTGCATGCTATGCCAGCTATGTCTTATCTTTAGCCACAATCAGTAAGAACCGTAAGCAAGCCTTTAAGATACCACACTAGAACTGCTAGCCTATATGCCTGTCCAGCAACCATTCGCAACCATTCACAGTAACCAGCTACCGCCATTATAGCTTAGCCATGCACAATTTACCTACAGCTGTTGACACACAACTAGGCACAAACGTCCTATTATCGTTTGCAAGTACATAGCCGGTCTTATACCAGTCGCACACAACGCTAGCCTACTCAGACACAGTATATTCAGCTTGACTACCCAATACAAAAGTGCACCTACGTTTCTGCACCTAGACAAACCCAACATGCCACAATATTGTTATGATATGACCATGAAAATCGAGCCTGCTGATGCTGTTGTGGCGATACAGGCTCTGTTGTACCTACCTGCATATCAAAAATAAAGAATTTTTAAAAAAGGACACTGTATCAATATATATATATTTTTTTTTTTTACTACAAAGAATATTTAGAATTTTTTAATTATTAGTATATGTAATGGGAATCAGGATGTCAGTAACAGATTTGGCATGTAGACCCAACATATTACTCTGTTCTACCCTTTGCTATTTCATAACTGGCCATCAGGGCTGTGATCATTGTTATTACTACCTGATTGGTAGTACTAGCAATCACTGTGAAGCTACGATCCAACAAGATTTTCTCAAATATAAATAATTATCAGCCAGACCATCCTGGATAAAACAATGTTTTATTGCAGTCGAGCAGGGAATTAATATTAAAAAAAACAAAACATTACAACACACACAAAACTATAAAAGGAGATCCATGTAATCAGGGCCACAGTTAACAGCTAATATTGGAAAAACACTCACATTTTTTGTTTAAATATTGAGATTGTGATTTATTTTATACCCTAGAAAAAGTGGAATAGGGATAGACAAGATGGACAGTGGAATATACCTGAGTTTTCAATATTTGAAAGAATGTTTTAAAATGTCTGTATTTATTCTTTTCTTCTGTTCAATAAATTGTGATGCAATATTATACTATACACTTTTTTTGTTGCCGATTTCTTTTTGACATTTTTGCACTGGTGTAGAGAGATTTTCCTGCAATATTTGATTAGTGAGTTAAAGGAACACTAAAGTCATTTAGACCACTGACCAAATAATACTCAGACACATGATGCGGCCGCTCATCAGGGCCAATGCAAGGGTTTTTGGCTACTCAGGCGAAGATGCATTTTTTGAGGGGGAATGGAGGTGTGGGGGGGTGGAAAAATGCATTTTCACCTGTGATTCCCTTAATACCATAATTTCTTACCCTCTTTTGTATTTCTTTTCCTCTCTTTTGAATGTCTTATCTCCTTTATTGTATCTTAATACTATTTTGTCTTACACTCCCCTTTAGTATATCTTATCCCCACATTTTTTTCCCTCGTGTTTCTGTTACACTGCCCTCCCTTGTGTGTCTACTACTGCATTCCTGCCCCTTTTTGTGACTCTTCCACTCCTTCAGCCAATTTGTGTCTCTTTCTTCCCTTTCCCATCCCTTCTGTGTGCCTATATCCCCCCACAGCCCCTTTTGTGTATCTCTTCCTCCCCTTCCCTATCCCCTCTATGTATCTTTATCCCCGCCAGCCCCTCTGTGTGTCTCTTTCCCCAGCACCTTGTCTCTTCATCCCATAACTCCTCTGGATTTTTTCCTCTAGACCCTCTGGGTACCCAGCCCATGCCTGTCTCTTTTAACCCTTCCCAGCCCCTGTTTGTCTCGTTGGCCCCTAGATAGATAGATAGATAGAATTAATATAATGTTGAAAAGATCTCAGATTATCTTCAATGAATAGAAATGACAAATGAAACAAAACATTGAATAAATGGAACATTGCTATTTTATTTAGAACATCTTTTATAAGAAATAAAGAAATAATATACCATGTATCAAATGTAGTGGCTCTCCATATGGTAATCATTCAGAATAACCTCACAGGTCTAAGTCTAGCTGGGGTAGAGGTGACGTAACACCACCAAATCACCCACAGATGTCCTACCCTGGGAGACAAAATATTGCTCAAGGTACAATGACATAAGCAATAAAAACCAGCCAGCACTCACTCACAGGGCGCAATGGCCCTGGCTTGTTAAGGACCCCATGTGGGTCAAAACACTGACCACTGTAAGAGAGGTGTGCTTGGCTTTTTCGATGAATGTAGAATGTCACAGATAATTGTGGTAATATACATTCTCTTACTCACTTGAATATAAATAATTATAATTGTGAGCAATTACACTATGTAATTGCATACTTTGTGAGTGCCCAGTTTATAAATAATTCTATAAATACTCAACTAGGACATGTGATGTAATTGTGGCTAGATCACACTGATGGAAGATTATGCCGTAAAATCTTGGGTCACCAGATTGAAGACATTGCTCTCTAACGTACTCTGCCTCTTGCTCCAGTGCCGCTGAATCTCTGTTTGTACCTGTATGGGAATACATTTGAAACACTGTTTACACAAATTAAATACAACATCACAATAACCAAATGCAATTAATCCTTCAGCACAAATGTCCTTGTTGTGAGGATAGCTAAACTATTACTTTGCGCCACATTTACTAAATGCAGAACGCCCTGGCATCTTTTAATTCTCATCCCATGATTCAATGTGTGAGAAGGGTATTCACACCCATTCCAATATGGAACAATGTGTCACCTATTTAACTCAAGCACAACTTGGTTAAGTATTTTTAATGGTTTCCTTCGATGTACACCTCACCCAACTAAGTGTTTCAATTAAATTTATTTTAATGCAAAGGTAAATGGGTGTCTCTATAATGACTTGATGGGTGGTTTATATGTAGAGCGTAAGCCTCTGGATAACTGGATGGTCTGGTAAAGACTAGTTACTGTATAGGATTAAATGGTTAATCTTTATGGGACGTTATACAGTATGGTGTTGGTCTAAGGAATATGGGACGATATGCACCAATACCCTAATGACATTACAACCCATACTTTATTTATTCACTTGTTAGATTTTAGATTTTATTTATCTCCAACTCTGGTTACTAACCGTTATAGCCGACTAGACCGACGAGACCTCTATAGCTACTTAGCTATTTATAGGCTACTAGGCAGGACATCTTAGAGGAAGTGGGGGAACTAGCAATTTTTTAAGGGGTGCCCTCGAAGGCAGAGCAGAGTAGGGAAGGCAGCATTTATATCCAACTTTTCCTGCAGGGCTTTCTCCCAGCTCTGGTATCAGATTTGTTACTATGTTGTGTCTCTCCCCTCCTGGCTAATTGGTTATGCAACAAATGTAACCTCTATCCTTTGTTACTTTATCTTCAGCCAATATCTATTATTATTTTTTCACACATTGCAATGAATGGTGTGATTATAAAGCCATCACATAATCAATTATTTATTAGTTATTGCTGATTTTGAGTTTTTTTCATTACATTTGATTTATTTTCATATTTTGACTATTTATCTATTATTATAAAAAGATTTCTGTAGGAATCTATTCTCCTATTGTAGATATTAATTATACCCTTGATCAAGGACCTAAAATTGAATATTTTAAATGATTTATTAAAAGTTACATTTTACCTGGGTTACTCTCAGCACTAAGGGTAAATCTACTAAACGGTTAACTCTAGTGTTTCTTTTATATAAAATATACCTGGGAAAGTATTTTTTAGAAGGGGCAATCATGAGGCAGAGGGCGGGATGTAGGCAGAAGCTGGCGTAAATTTTACAATAGTAAAACACCCACAAATCCCAGATTATAGCAGCACTAGATAGAGTTTAAGCAGCTGCTTTATTGCAACCTTGCAATCAGAAATGCCAAGCATCCCTAGGCTGAGTGATGCATTGCTAATGCAGGGGTATTGCAGTTAAAGTGAATCTGCCACGTCAGATTCACTTTGGGGCCTTTAAACAAATAGACCAATCAGAGAAGACTAGGAGGGAGAGGGGAGCCATTTTGAGGCTCCAATCACCAGAGCAAAATGAAATGCTGACTGATAGAATCACGGTTGGAATTTTAGCGTACGTCCTTAGATGTGATATCTTGACTGAATGCTCACAGAAGGGGAGTTTGACAAAGCACTACATTCCTGCCATGCCTTCTGTATAAGAAAATCCCGTAAATTAATTGGTATAGCTAGTAAATTGATTATTGAGTGTCAATGCTTGTTCTACACAGACAACATACACACATGAATGTTATATGATTTTGCTTGTTTTTATTATGTGAGCAAGTATGAATTACTCACTGGGAGAATGTCTTTATGGTTCTCACCTCTCCATTCAGGAAACAGTACAGCAAAGCCACAATGAAACCCTGCAGTGTCAATAAACAGTAAAATTATGCACAGTTCATTAACATAGACGACCAATTACAGTACATACAAAGCAGTGTTTCATATCACTTAGTCAAAATAACTGCGAAATCTGTGGGCTTACCTTTCAGATTCTCGGTATGACAACTTATCGATAGACTTCTGGGAAAATATCCTAAGATCCATGTGATTGGGGTTTATCTCTGCCAATTAGACACCAATTTTTATGAATGCCCATTACTGTAGTACCAAAATAACTTTAGCTTAATGAAGCAGTTTATACACCAAAATGATCTATACACCAAAACTGCTTCATTAAGCTCAAGTTGTTTTGGTGACTATAGTGTCCCAAAAACCCCTTTAAATTGAATCTCTTATTTGGCATTAAACCACCAATTACCTGCTCCCAAAAGATACGACTTCAAGGAGATATACAAACATGGAGAAGAAATATACCTACAAGGCTGTATATGGCTACGAGAGGAGAATAAGTCTTATGGACATGAATATCGCAAATATGCAAAGTTGGGTGGTTATATGAATATTGGCGGACAGTGCTGCATTGAAAATACTCAACGTGGACAACATGACACATGTGACATAGCGGGGGGTGGAGGGGGATAAATTAAACATGAGACAAATATGGTACTATGGAGGTAAATGTTGAGAAACATTCCACTGCCTTGGTAAATCTTCCCCAATGTTACCACTTCTCATTGCATGAACACTGCATCCACCTTGAGCTTAGCAATCACACAGCAACACAGAAATATACTCGCTTACTACAGATGCCATTTAAATATATATATATATATATATATATATGTATGCATATGTATTCACAAAGAACCTTTTTTGTGCAATTTTTTTGTGCGAACCCTGTGCCCATAGGCAGACGAGATGTATATCTATCTGGGTCAACTCCTGTTTCTCTATACATCACGCAATTTAAACAAAGAACAAATTATCTAGATTGTGAATACTGTAAATCTGCTATATGAGCAGTTCACATGGTAATTTTTAAACGTTGTTGTGGATAGTCCCCTTATGTTTATCCCTAGCAAGCAGACATTATATTAAGGGGGTACTTTATGTGTGAATAGTCAGCCCCTAAGCCATGCTATCAGCCATTCTCCCTAAAGCCAACATGTCTATCTTGTTTTGACTTCCCAAAACAGCGTGACGTGAGATAAATATATATATATTGAAAATGTACCTGATTGGATCCTAAAACAAGTTCGAAATACAGCCTCGGCCGTAATGTACTCCAAAGAGAGGGATGAGAAGAAGAGTAGATTTGGCTAATAAGGGAGACAATAAAAGAAATTAGTATTTTCTCAATTTGAAGAACGGATGAGTGAATGTATGAATCAACCAGTAAACACAGAGCATACTTGGCAACTGTCCCGTTTTTGCCGAGACAGTCCTGGCAAACTGGAGTCTGTCCCAGGTAAATCACCTTCCCGGGACAGTCCCGGCAACTTGCTGGCCATGTGCTTTTATTATTTTCCCTTGAACTGTAACAGCCTGTTACAGTCCGTGGGAATTCAGGACAGAGCTGCTGGGGGCTGGGGAGACAACAGAACATTGTTGTATTAATTCATTATTTTACAGAATGGTCTATCTTCGTGTACTACTTTTATTATACGACTACTATGTATATCACTCAAGAACAAGGACATTGAAAACTAAAGGTAATTTGACTCCTTAAAATTGTTTACTGTGCAATAATAAAACAAAAAACACATTCAGTATCTTTTACAAATTCTCACGTATTTTAGGGATTATGAATATGCTCAGTTTTGTAAAGGCAAAGTGCTGAGAACACATAGGGTTATTCGCCAGAGTGAGAATTGATGGGAATTCAAAGTTAATTTTGAATTGAAGTCCAAAATAGTCAAATTGGCAATAAAATAGATTTTTTTCCAATTTGGATATTTGACCTAAATTTTAAAATTCTCTTTGAATTCACTTTGAATTCTCACTTTGGTGAATAAGGGCATTTGCTGGTGTGCCCCAAAATCTTACAAATGTATTCACTGAAGTGAAAATTCAAAGTGAAATTCAAATTTAAGGCTAAAATAGCAGATTTGGAAAAATTCTAAAAATTCAAAGTCAACTTCATACTTCCAGTTTGGCTACTTTGGCCTGGAATTTTAAATTCTCTTTGAATTCTCACTTTATTGATTAACCCTCTTAGTGCAACACTGGGACTTATTGTATGTGAATAAGGCTGTTTAACATCACATTTGTCTGTGGTGGCCATATTAATTTTGTCCCTCTCAATCATAGTTGAGATGCCTGGAACAGTGAGACATCATGGATCCCACGCTGCATGTCAGTAATGGGAGAGGAGCCTTCAAAGTACCCACCAAAAATGTTGAGTGGTCAGTTACCAGTAGTGTTATTGGCTCATTTAATTTGGAATAAAAATTAAGAAAGGATAACTTCAGCTACTTGAAACATTATTCCTGATACTTTTCCCCAATGGATCCTTACGGATCCAAAAATGAACAAAAATTACCTCACGTTTAGGACATCAGAACCTTAATGTAGCACAAAGACCCATGCAACATCTAGATTCTAAAACGTAGAGTCAACATTATTTCTAAGCTCAAGACATGTGACACAGGGAAAACACAGCAACCCTCCATTGTACCCTGACTGCTCTTTTTAAAGGGAAAGGAGTATCTAACACAAAGCTTTGCTTTGTCATGAATGTGAAAAAAATTAAATAAAAAACATTTTCAAAACACAAATATTGCACGCTGCGGTTACTTTTCTGTTTCTATAGTTTTAGCATTTCTGTTGTAAATAGCCTTGGCAAGATTATTAATTACCTCACCTGCAGCCATGGCCTCTATGCGAGAACATTTGATATACAGTATAGATTAGAAAATGGACTCATAACTGACTTAAGTGGTTACACACAGACAGCTGTTGGTTTAAAGGTCTAAATCCTTGGCTACTGGAACATTTAAATTCAATCCTTGTGAGGAGAGATATATGGGGCCCCCTACTGACTAAGATTGTCAGCGCAGTTTGAAAACAGAAAAATAAAAAAACTATTTAACATTGTTTATGGTGCAGTTTAGTCTGGACAATTGAACACTTTGCTTCACAATACCTTCCCAATCACACCTTCATCTATAACCAAACTCAGAATTGGTTGCAATATAATTAACAAAGTATGGGTAGGTGCACCCTTTTACATTACTTAGGTATTTATTTAGTTAATAGGGATCACAAACAAACAAAAAAATTCAATAAAGTAAAACGGTCAGGAATAAAACGGTCAGGAATAAAGTAAAACGGTTAGTTCAATATAAGACAAAATCATTATTAAGTGAAAAAAGCCCCCATATCTTGTATAGCCCAGTAAACATTGCTTTCCCAACAGTCCTGATTTTTTATTGGGACAGTCCCAATTTCTGATTTTGGGCCCGTCCCTCTTTCCCAGTCTTTTCCGATTGGACACGCCCAATATGCTTATCACCACCGACACAAGTCACATCACTGGCAAAGCCCCCCTCACTGTCGCCCACAAATCCTTATCGCTCAATGTTGGAAGGTTTGCAAACACTTCTATACCTCAAAATTGCTGGTGATCCAAAGGATCACACAAAGACAGCTAATTTTTAAAACACAAAAACCAATACAGAAACATACAGTTTGGAGGTATATTGACAACCACATGAAAAAAAAATAAAAAAAAAATTATATGCTGCTATTTAAATGTAGAGAAAGTGTATTTCTCCTTTAAAACTTAAAAACTCAGGGTGACTGAGAAATAAATCACAGGGTTATTCACCAAAAGGAGAATTGTCAGGAATTCATGGTGAACTCAAACCGAATTTCAAAATTTAGGTCATAACAGCCAAATTTGGAAAATTCTTCAACTTGATTCTGTTTTCAGTTTTCCTATCATAAACTTAAATTTGAAATTCACTTTGAATTCGCAACACTTCTCCATTAGTAATTAACTCTGTTATTAAAACGGTGCTTGGTAATTAATAAAGATGCTTACATAGTTTCTTGGTGGAAGTCGATAGGCTTTTATACACACATAACAAGCACAGTACTATTGAACAGTCTGATGTATTTCCCCAGCCCTGTTCTTATCCGTGCTTCCTCTTCCAACTGCATCTCCACTCTGTATCTGCCTTGCAGTACGTGGGCCAAATGGAGCGCATCTGAAAGGGGAAGCATGGAGAAGCACCATCAGTTCTTACTGACTTATTACTCACATGTACTGTTGTTTGTAGTTTTTCCCAATCTCTGTGCATCGGATCTTCTGGATTAGTATCCTTATGACATTCAGAAATATGATGAAGTTAAGCTGGAGTATGAAATAAAAAAAAAATACTAGCATTAGGTGTAGCACGGATGAGATATACTTATAATTATATAAAGAGGTCTTCAATTCTGTACCCAGGGTATATTATTCGAGAGGCTCTATAGGTCAGCGGTCTACCTAGGGTAAACCACAGAAGGAGTAAATTAATACATTTATCAGTAGAAAATGGAGTGGGGACCCTAGTACAAATCTCCCAAAGTAGGCAGTCAATGATATTTCTAATGGATTGGGTATCGAGTGGCCCACGGTACCATTAAAGGGACACTCTACTGCCAAAATTAAAAAATTAAAAATCACTGTATGGTATATACCCCTGATGAAAACATGCACTCATTAAATTATGCATTTTGTATCTAAAAACAGCTTACAATAGCTGCAGATCTCTTGTCTGTAGACTCAGCAAGCCCTCCCCTTCTAACCCTGCCCAGACTTTCTGTGGCTGTCCAATCACAGACTTCCCAATGCAGCTCAATGAGAAGTCTTTGCAATGCAGGTGCTCTGAGCAATTGCTGCCAGTTGAGTTTAGCTTCACTGGGCTAAACAAACCATCAAGCTGAAGTTCTTTAGGGGTCTGGTTCAGGATAGTGGGCATCCCCTGGAACTTTCTTTCTTTACTGGGCTAGAGGGTATGAAGCCCCGTGGCAACTCAGTAAATATTCATGGTCAAAGATAGTGCATCTCCTGGTCCTATAAACAAATTATGGGCCATTAGGTGCCCAGCCCTCAGCCCATTAAAGTCTTATAGTCTATACAACAGTCCATTGGGTGGAAGATGGTAAGGCACCACTTGTGGGGGCCTACACCCAGTATGTCTATATACATACATACATACATACATATATATACACACACACACACACACACACACACACACACTCTTCATAGCTCTTCGCAGTGGTACTGAAAGGGTTAATACTACTTAACCTCTATTATCATATTTCGGGGTCTCACAGACCCCAGCATTTTTTTATTTTATTGTTTGCATTTTCAAGATTGGCATCTGCAACGAGCAATAAAGTGTCACTGTGCAAAGTCTGAACTTCGGGAAATTACCTAAGCTGATTCAACAGACTACGCTGAGAAACAAACTTGTTAAATGTTGATGGTAAATATCACAGATCTATAAACTGACTACTGGATTTAACTCACTTACTCAGCTAAAGTGGTTTTACTACCATTTAGTAAATTGACCTATAAAACAGTTGGGATGATGGGGGATGTGAGCCTTGAAAAAACACATATTTTTACGGTTTTAATGCAGGTACCATATTGTATATTATTTTATCTAATATTGGAATGATTTTTATTGATTTTCCCTCGAAAAATCAGACATTAGATTTAACTTTTTTACACTACCACAATAAATAATAATAATTACAAATATTGCAAACAGTATCGGGGTCTTGATTATCCACCAATAAATGTTCTCAAAATCATCCCAGCATCTGAAAAGAAGAAATGTGGCCAATCAGTCGATGATAATAAATATAGCAGTTAATTGTAGTTTCTGATATAAGCCTCCATTTAATAATTTTGGAAAAGATGCTCAAATTATTTAATATTTTTTGATAAACATTTAAAATGATGAATTTTTTTTGAATTTTTTTTTAAACATCTAAATATTTTGGTATTTTCATATAATTCGTTTTTTAATATATGATATATTTTTTTTAGATTAAAAAAAAAATTAAAAGTTACTCCAAAAATATGAAATCATTTGAAAATATTATCCAAAAAATATTAAATCAAGGCCAATAATGTGAGTATTATTAAAGGGAATAGTTTATGAAAATGCATGTAGCTTTATACAAAGTCAATGGTAGATTAACCCCTTAAGGACACGTGACATGTGTGACATGTCATGATTGCCTTTTATTCCAGAAGTTTGGTCCTTAAGGGGTTAAACTTCACATATACAACAAACTGCACAATATATTGTCTTGGTTTGAAGTCAGTGTTTTAAATAGTCTAAGCACTCTTAATATGAGTTTTGTAGTCATAGGATTTAAACATATGTTTTTACCTATACTGAGTTCTCACCAGTGTTAATGTCATATCTCTTCTCTGATCTACTGACACAATGTCACTCTCTTTGACTTACCCTGTATCATCAAATGTAATTCTGGTTTTAATCCATACTGTGATTGTAAGAGCTGGGACACCTGTAATATGGAATCACATTTTCTTATTAACAGGTATAACTAACTAGGAATGCACTTGATGATATCACACATATAATAAATACAGATATTACTTAACTACTGATGAATGTAAAATAACATAAAAAAATTAAATTTTTCGATTTTCAAAGCTCAAGCTTTGTTTTTTAGCAAGTACAAACCCATATCTATAATATTTCTCCCTAATTATTAATGTTATATAATAATGCGGAGCCTGACCGCGAAGGAAGATGGACGCTTGATCCCTGAGCTCCCTCTCTCCCAGGCACTACCATCCGCTAACATCAGCAATTCCCTTTGTACCCGGACCCCGAAAACAAACCAGAACGGCACAACTTACCCTCCCCAACACCACATAGCATGGGCGGAGGAAAAAAAAAGAAAGAACTCACCCCCTCGGTGGCATCAATGTTCCGCACGCCAAACAACTCGCAACGGCCTATCAATCCTCAACGCCGGGATGAAGACGAGGAATCGGAACCGGAGGATTACTTCCACAGCTCGGACCCGACCGCACCTCTCACTATAAGCATCCTGAGAGGAATGCTCCATGAGGCCACAGCAGACATAAAAACACATGTGGCGGCTGAGATCAATAAGCAATTAGTAGGCCTCAGAGCGGATGTCACCGCGCTTGCCCACAGATCCGACCTCGAGGAAACTCACATCGCAAAACTTACCACCAACGAGCAGGCCCAAGATATAGCATATTTCCACGGCTGAATAGCAAACCTGGAGGACAACCTCGAAGATCTCAATAACTGCTCGAGAAGGAACAGCATACGGATCCGGGGCCTACCCGAATCGGTCACCCCAGACCGAATTATTCCCACTCTCACAGACATTTTCAAAGCACTAGCCCCAGACCTCACAGAGAGGGAATTGGAAATGGACAGGGCACACCGAGCCCTACGACCTCCCAGCTTGAATCCAGCTACCCCAAGGGACATAATCACAAGATTACACCACTTCCCAGCTAAGGAAAAACTACTCCAGGCAGCCAGACACAAAATATCTAAATACCAGGAATACCGCCTCACCTTTTTCCAGGACCTTGCACCATCTACACTCAAGAAAAGAAGGGACTTAAAACCCCTCACCCGGGGGGCGTGGCCTGACCACTGATGGAGTAAGACGCACGGTGCCTGTGCTCCTAGGCCTCACCCTGTAAAGCCTCAGTTAATTTGCCTCCAGCCGTTATCCTACTCAGCAAAATGGGGAAAACCAAGAGAACACTCAGCTCTGGGCAGCCTGGGGGGGCTCTGTCTCGGTCCCAATCCGGCCCGATGGACGATTTCATTACGGGGCCTAGAGGCCTGCAGGATGACACAGCCTCGTCAGTTCCCGCCTCTCCTGGCTCCAGCATTGCCGGCTCATCCCGCGGCACAGTAGACCCGGCGGCCCTATCACAAATATCGATGGATATAGCGGCAATCTCTTCTAGCATGCTCACTAGGCGGGACAAATCAGAGATGGTTGCCGAGCTGAGGGCAGTGATCAGGGAGGAGATCGCGGCGGTGAGAGCAGACCTGACAGCCTTGGAGCACCGCGTGGACGCCCTAGACGCTGAACGCATACAGAATGCTCACCGGCAGCAGGCGGTAGATCTGGCCACCACTCGGCAGGGGAACCTGCTTCTGGACCTCCGCCGTCAGGTCGAGGACCTTGAGAATAGGGGCCGGCGGAATAATATTCGGGTCCGGGGGTTGCCGGAGGCGGAGGGGGAGAGCCCGCAGGAGATACTCACCGGCCTGTTCACACACCTGCTGGGTGAGGCGGCTCCGGAGGACTTTGGCATCGTGAGGGCTCACAGGGCTCTCCGGGCACCCAGACGGGATGGCCTCCCCAGAGACCTGATCTGCGCCCTGGTGTCTTTTCCGCTCAAGGAGGAGCTGATGAAAGCAGCGCGCTCCCGACCCGACCTCAGCTACATGGATTCCCCGGTGTCCCTGTTCCAGGACTTGTCGCAGACCACCCTGGACGCCAGGAGGGCCCTGAGGCCGCTTACCCGGCTACTACAGGAGAGGAGGATCCCGTACAAGTGGGGCTTTCCCTTCAGTCTTCAGGCCCGAGTGGACAACATGTGGCATGTTCTAAAATGGCCGAATGACATTCCTCGTTTTCTCCGCAATGCTGGCCTTCCCCATGTCACCATCCCGAACTGGATCCTGGAGGGTCCGCCGGCGAGAGCAGTGGGCCCATCAGAGATGGCACACAACCTGCACCCGGATCAGGAGCCCCAACGACGCAGAGGGGGGCCAAATGGCCCTGAAGAATAGCAGCGGTTGGCCCGGTATGCCGGGATCCCGCAGACCTGTACCTGCTGGGACCCTAGGTGACTTGGTCGTGGCCGCCGGACAGCTCTGGAGGGGTATGTTTAGTGGAGGACTGTTAGCTGCATGTGGGTGAGTTAGCATTTAGGTGGGGTGGGAAGGGCTCTGCGGGTTTGGTAGCTTTAGGGCTGGGGTTACCTGGTGGGATCCAGCATAAGTGGGGCGGGCAGGGGATGTTGTAGACCGGGGGAGCCCGGCGGACCGTGGGGACACTTGGGGACGCCGGGGCTGGCTTGGGACATACGCAGCGGTCTCCTTCTTTCCCCCCCCCCGTTATTAGTACCTTTTATCTATTTTTCTTTTACTCCCCCCTTTTTTTTTCCCATCTCCCGCTCCATTTCCCATCTGGGGGGGAGTGGGGGGGACTGATGGGAGCCGAGGAGTGGGTCTTTGCGTAGCCTGTCTGCACGGGTTAGCAGGGAGTGGATGATATCACGGTGGTCGGGGGGTGTGGGGACAAGAGCGGAGGGGGGGGTATCGGGAGGGAGAGGAGGCGGGTCCAGAGAGGTGGAGGGAGGGTGTGGGGACCAGCTGGAGTGAAGGGGGGGCCGGAGCTTCGTGGTGGGTTCAGCAGCCAAGCTGGGGTGGGCCCCTCCTGCCGGTAGCCACCCCTGGATGTTGCAGGAGGGAGATGAGGGGGGATTTCGGAAAGGCCACCGGCACCCTATGGCTGTGGGCTTACACATAGAGGGGGGATGGGCTGAGGCTTCGGGGGGGGGAGTGGTCTCATTTGATTTTCCTCACGATACCTATACACTAGTTGCTGGATACACGCATACCTGACACACAGGGTGGGAGCCGATGGAAGCAGGGGCGGTTCTGACTACTACACCTAGTGGGAACGCCAATACAGTCAGGGGCCCTTTTGATCTTCACTGAGACAGACCCTTTTTTGTAAATAGAGCCGGGGGTCCCTCGAACGGGTAACCTATCCCCGGCTAAGGGTCGACGTTGCTCCCAGAGGGTGGGGGGAGGTTTTCTCACGACCTTGTGTACTTGACTTGACTTTCCTACTGCTCCCAACGCTCCACAGTACCACTTGTGCCGCTGCGGGGGCGCCCTTCCGTCGCGGTGATGGCTCCCGGCCGGGGCTTTGTCCCGGCACGGATGACCTATTGGTCCAATAATATACAGGGGCTCAATACGCCTGAAAAACGATCGCATCTATTGAGGCAGCTGTGGGCGGCCAAGGCATCCGTAGCGTTCCTGCAAGAGACGCACTTCAAGGGGGGAGATGCCCCCAAATTGGAGACTCGGCGGTTCCCGCAAGGATTTTACGCCAATCACCCCACTGCCAAAAGAGCGGGCGTAGCCATCCTATTCGCCCAGACGACGCCTTTCCAACACGTAGCGTCCCAGGCAGATCCGGGGGGGAGGTACCTATTTATAAAGGGTTCCATAGCGGATCATTCCTACACATTCGCAAGTGTATACTGCCCAAATAAGGGGCAGCACACCTTCCTCTCCCGGACGTTAGCCAAACTGGAAAAATTTAGGGAGGGCCTATTGGTCCTGGCGGGGGATCTCAATATACCGCTGGACCCATTGCTTGATACCTCCAGGGGTGCAACCGCGCTCCCGGCTCCATGCATCAGGCAGGTCCAACGCTCTCTGCACAAGATAGGGCTGGTGGATTGCTGGAGGGCTTGCAATCCAGACGAGCGAGACTACACCCATTACTCCGCAGTGCACGCACGGTACAGCCGCATCGACTATATCTTCCTGGCTCAAGAATTTCTAAACCTCCTGCAGGGCTCGTGCATAGGCATCCAGGACCACTCGGATCATGCACCAGTCCTGGTTCATACCAGCTCCCCGCTATTTAAGCCCAGTGAGCGTCAGTGGAAGCTTAACGAAACCATGCTGGACGATAAGGCACTTACGCAGGCGGCGGCCCGCGCTCTGGCGGACTACTTTACCACCAATGAGGATCCGGACTTGTCGCCCCTAAGGCTCTGGGAGGCGCATAAATGCGTCATTCGGGGCTTCTTCATCGCGGAGAGTACCAGGCGCAAAAAGGACAGACTGGCCCGCATTGCGAGCCTGACAGCACGCATCTGGAGGGGACCCATAAACAGTCTTTGGACGAGGGCACATATCTTAAACTTGTGGAGGTACGTAGAGAACTGAAAACTATTCTGTCGCAGGGGGTGATGTTTACCGCGAGGAGGGCCGCTAGATACTATTACGAACATTCTAATAAGTGTGGGAAGCTCCTGGCGAGGATGCTTCGGGAGAAGCGCAGGTTGCAACACGTCCATAAAATACGCACGGGCGGGAAGGACATTACGCGCCTCCCAAATGGTATACTGGGAGCGTTCCAGGAGTACTATGCGGCGTTGTATGATCAGACACGGGGCCGCTCAGCGTCGGAGGACAGCCGGCACAAGGTCAGGATAGCGGAATACCTACAGAGCCACGTCGCACGCAGACTCTCCCAGGAGCAGATGGCAAACTTGAGGCTCCTTTGACGTTCGAGGAACTCTCGGGAGCTTTGAAGGCGACCAAGGCTCATCGGGCACCAGGCCCGGACGGCTTACCAGCCTCCTACCTACGTGCTTTCCGGGATGTCCTCCTGCCCGCCTGGTGGAGGGGCTAAACTCTTTGCGGGACGAGGGTCGGTTTCATGAGGATTCTCTGAGGGCAACAGTCACGATCCTCCTCAAGGAGGGCAAGAACCCCGTGGAGTGTGCTAGTTATAGGCCGATATCCTTGCTCAACGCGGACATTAAGCTGTTTGCTAAAGCCCTGGCTCTCCGGATGGCTAGGTCTCTGCCGGATCTCGTCCACTCAGATCAGGTAGGGTTTATTCCGGGTCGGGAGGCCCGGGATAATACCATTCGGGCCCTCAACTCTATCCACCTAGCTCGCACCACGAGGAGGGAGATGGTGCTGCTTTCCACCGACGCCGAGAAGGCATTCGATAGAGTTGATTGGACATATATGCTGGAGACTCTGGAGCATATGGGCTTTGGACCTGGGCTGCGGTTGTGGGTGGCGGCACTGTACTCCAAGCCGACTGCGCGCATCAGAGTTAATGGTGCGCTCACTGGCTCGTTCAACATTAGCAACGGCACTCGGCAGGGATGCCCCCTGTCCCCCCTCCTGTTTGCCCTCACCCTGGAACCTTTCCTGGAGGCGGTCAGACGGGATGGGGGTATAACGGGGTGCCGGCTGGGGGGGGGAGAGCATCGGGTGGCCGCTTACGCGGATGACATGCTCTTCCTCCTGGAACAGCCGAGGATTTCACTGCCGAACCTACTGGAAGCCTTTCGAGCCTATAGCACAGTCTCCAATCTGAAACTCAACCTAGAAAAATCGGAATTGATGCCTCTTTCCCGGAGCCCTTCCCTCCGGAGACATGTTCAGGCGCACTTCCCCTTTAAGATTTGCCCGACCAAATTGCGGTACTTAGGTGTTTGGTTACCGTGTGACCTAACCCAAATCTATTCTCTGAATTTTGCCCCTCTACTGTCAACTCTGCAACAGGACATGAGGCGCTGGGCCCCGCAATACATATCTTGGTTTGGTCGTATCAGCGCCATCAAAATGAACGTCATGCCTCGCATACTGTACCTGTTTCAGACGCTCCCGATCTCGGTCCCGCGGAGCTTCTTCCAGACACTATCGTCCGCCTTTCGACAGTTTGTGTGGAACCAGAAACCTGTTCGGGTACGGCAGGAGATCCTGGAACGCCCCCGAAGTGAGGGCGGTATGGGCTTACCCTCAGCCCTTACGTACTACCGGGCATCGCACCTTTACCGTCTAGTGGACTGGCATGCAGCCCCGAGTGGTAAACAATGGGTAGATATGGAGAAATTACAGGCTAGAGGAGGCAAAATCCCTGCCCAACTGTGGCTGGGAGGGGCCACGTTCCAGGATCTGCAAACAGGTAACCCGTTGATAGATGCTACACTGAAAGTGTGGTGTAGCATTCGCTACTCTAAAAAACTTACGTCGTCTCCAAACCCGCTTACACCCGTGACACACAATCCAAGATTGGCGGGGGGACTTTCCCCGGGAGACCTGCAGTCCTTTGGAGCAGCGGACTGGACCTGCCTGCACCAGTGGTGTAACGGACCGGCCCTTAAACCGCTTGCGGAGCTCCTCCAAGATCGAGAACCGAGCACCCTAGACAGATATCGCTACTACCAGCTCAAGACATATGTAGCCTCCCTCGCTGGGACGGCTCACCTTCACCGCGCGCTGACCTACTTCGAGCAACTCTGCGTATCCAGACAGCATATCCCCCACGGCATCTCACACCTATATTCCATGCTGCAGAACTGCGGAGACCACAGCCCCTTAGGCTTCAAGCTACGCTGGGAACGGGAAACAGGGATCGAGCTGACGGATACGGAATGGCAAAATTTTTTCCTACTGACGCACAAGGGGACCATTAGCTCAAAGTTTCAGGAATGCAATTATAAGATACTGACGCGATGGCACAGAACCCCGGATATTCTTCGTCATGTTCACGAGACTCTCTCTGGTGAGTGCTGGAGGTGCGGCGCTGCGGAGGGCACTGGGATTCATATATGGTGGGCATGCCCAGGCATTGAGCCTTTCTGGCGAGAGGTACACCAAGCAATTAAGGACATAACGGGGGTAGACATACCTTTCCAGCCACTGCCGATGCTGCTGAATCACACGAGCACGCCAGTGACTATCTACAAAAAGGGCCTCGTTATCCATCTACTCACGGCGGCAAAATCGCTTATCCCCACGCTATGGAGAAAACCGATTGCCCCGTCCCTTCGCCAGTGGGTGGACCGAGTCGAAGTGATTTACAACATGGAACTGATGACGGCGTCTCTGCAGGGACGTTCGGATAAATGTGCCCTTACATGGTTTCCTTGGATGGAGTACACTGCGAGGGGGGCCGCGGGTGGGGGGCCGGCCCGGGGGGGGGGCGCTCCCGCGCCGGCGCAACTTCTTTCTCCCTTGACAGACTGACACCCACTCGGTCTCCGAACTACCTTGGGGACGGCACTTACCGGACAGCACAGCTATGACTATCCTCCTCCCTTTCCCGTCCTGACGTCCCGACGGTTGACAATCGGGGGGGATCGCACGGGTATAGGTCAATGCACTCTCCGACTCCCTAACCAAGCTCATGGATCAACTTGAAGCGCGGAGAGGGAGAAATAAGGCTAGGGTAGGTAATAAGACGGACGTGCACTTGGAGGGGGATGAGGCTATGTGGTTATAGCTCTTGGTAGGGATGGGTGAGAGGCCCACACCAAGGAAGGTATTGGGCCCGTGGGCAGGAGGTCGGTTGCGCCTTCATGGGGTCGGGGCGCTGTAGGGGGGTACGCAGCCAAATCGATTACCCAGGCGATAGACGCCCGAATTGCTCTATAGGGGCATCCAGCAAGACGGGGGTGGGGGGGGAGCTGTTGGGCCGGAGGCCATTCTGATGCTCAAATATATATTAAGCACACTGGTACACCAGGTGGGGAGTAGAGGGGGGCTAACTGGGCTAGGGAACATGAGCGGGCGCAACAATTAGCCCATGGGGATGTAGCGGTAGGCACACGTGGCGGATAGGTATCACAGCTTTACGACGCCAACGGGATAGCTGCGATCACCATGTCCTACTCTCTACTTGCCTCACGTGACCCCCGAAGGGGTACTGAGAGGCTGGCCATCCTTGGAGTTCGGGGGGGTGTTTACGGTTATGGTTATCGATGTGTTTTTGCTTAGATGCTACCATTTTGCTGTACTGTTTCGATAACAACGACTCTTTAGGCCCGATGTTATAGGCCTTTATTTAAGATTGTAATTGTATTGTCAACGAGGAAAAAAAATAAAAAAAAATAAGACAAAATAATAAATAAAGATTGTCAAAAAAACCCTCACCCTGGCAGGGCATGAAATATACATGGGGACACCCCTTTAAATTGATGGTAAAAAAAGACGACCAAACTCACACTCTTCTCTCCCCGGTGGAAATGGAGCCCTTTGCTGAGTTACTGGGTATCCAGTTGGTGCAACAGGCCCTGCCGAACCGGAATTGGCCCGACCATAGATACATGGACAAACCACGAGCGCAACACCCACTGAAAAAGAAGAAAACACTGACTCCGTCGCAACAGAAGGAGGCGGACCTGGACACCTCCTCGAACTGACCACCATCCCAACACACCGAAACGGGTTCACCCGGGCCGCGGCGGTGACCACTGTTACAAGGTAAACCACCCATCCCAGAAACACCCCTACCCGCAGAAGCCCCACCACCGCGCCTCCCGGTACCCAGCACCCACAGTTCCCGTGCACACTCACTCGCAACTTGTGGGCCCACCAACCACGCTACCTCAACCTGCAACCACCCAGATGCCATGAGGGCCACTTTCACCCCCACCTGCCACCCATAATCAACGGAGATAAACCTAATATGATAGTTAGGACCCAGGCCTCCTCCACTATCCTCCACTCCATAGACCCATGTACAAGCTGGACTCCCCAACGCTGACAAACGAAACCAGCGATGACCTACCAATCTTAGGTCCAACTAAAGAGAACAGCAGATATCCTCTGTAGGCCCACCACGGTCCAACAAATGAAATCGCAAACATCTGCTCGACCATCAACAAATCCAAGGACAACCATCCACCCAAAGCAGGAAACGACACAGATACCTATCTCCAAACCGAACACTCCAGCCAGGATACGGGTCAACATACACCACCCCCACCCTCGTGGCTACCACACTCCAGCGGGCCTATGCCCGCCACTTTTGCCCCAACAGAACAGGGCGCAGGCCCCCACAGAGGAACAACCACACGAACGTACCCACCCTGGCTCTCGAAACCCTGTCACCGCTGCAAGACGCCAACTGTAGAAAATTAAAGACTACCATGAACTGTTGCAAGTATAATAGAATATGAGCTTTAGGGGGAAAACACAACAGCCACACACTCAACAACACCAACAGGGGACACCAATTAGACACATAGGGGCACACACAGATACACCCACCCCCCTTAGGTCACAGAGGGAACACAAATGACACGGACACAAGAAACACCTGAACCAAATTAAGGGGACAACGCTACCTCAACCTCATACACCACTGGGCCACATAACCCAAGACAACACATGTAAATAACACAAACACGCCTCCCTCTCACACAGAAACTCCATGACCCGATCTCACAATGACCACCGAACCAATACTGACCGCCACCCAAGGGGGGGTAACCGAGACCAGCCTACACACATACAGGTAATGCCACACGGAGACAAATAGCGCATTACAGCACTCTACAGCAATTTCAGACCTTAGGGACAGGGACCCGCAGACCCATAGACTTAGACACAAGGCTAAAGGAACTGTGAAGTGAATTGTTAATGCCTCTCAAAGTTAAAAGTTTGATACTGTTCTTTATGTTTTACCCATCTCATTATGTTGAATATAAATGTCTCTTAATGTTATAACTAGCTACGAAAGCTACCGTGACAACTTATGGCACAAGCGCCTCCAGTCTCAGATGTAATACACCACACGCAGTGCTAACGGTGAGAGGTAAAGGGAACGTGAAAACCTTCCTCCTCTCTCCCAGACACACACACACACAAAGACGAACCCCTAAGGGGCACAATGCATACATAACACAGGCACCAACTAACCCTCCAACACACCTGGCAACTGAACTGTAAGACCAGGAAACACTCTCACCACAACCCCCCACTCCCATTACCCCGACCCCATACTATTCACCCTACCGTCCATCCCACGACCTATCCCATACCCCCACCCAACCCCCCCCGAATAGGAAGAACCAAACCGGCAGGTCTACCACCAACTACTCCGAAGACCGCACACTACACACCATGCCTAGGACAATCTCATGTATATCACTTAACTGTAAAGGCCTAAATAACCCGGCCAAACAGCATCAACTGATGCGCTGGGCGAACCGCACGAGGGCAGACATAATCCTCCTTCAGGAAACACACTTTGAAGAAACCAGATCCTTCCCCCTTAAAAACAAGAACTACATGACATGCCACCTAGCGAACTCCCAAACTGGCAAATACAACGGGGTGGAAATACTACTACATAAATCTTGCCCGATAACCTTCAAAAACACAATAGCAGACCCACAAGGCAGGTTCCTGACAATAACAGGTAACTTGGGGAACCACAGATATGCTATCTCAACCATATACGCGCCCAACAAACCGGACCCGCTTTTCTGGACAACCCTCAAAGCCCACCTAAAACTATTTGCTTCACATCACATAATACTAGGGGGAGATTACAACGCAGTCATGTCCCCCCTTATAGACCGTAAACGGGCCATGACTGCTAAAACAAAATCCACCAAATACCCCACCAAACTGGACAAATCAATAGCGGATTTTGCACTCCACACAGGTCTCCAAGACATATGGAGACTGCAACATACCGACACACCGGACTTCACCTTCTACTCACACCCACACTCTTCCTACTCTAGAATTGATATGTTTTTAATCTCCCTCTCCCTACTCCCCCTGACGACAAACACCTCTATAGGCAATATAGCATGGTCAGACCATGCGGACATAACACTCGAACTGCAGATCCCCCTCACGACCCGGACGTGGACATGGCACCTAAACCCCACCCTACTCCATAATCCAGACATACGAAAGACAATACGCTCCGAACTAGGGAACTATTTCATTGACAACAAAGACTCAGTACCCTCAACGGGCATGCTATGGGCGGCGCACAAAACGGTTATCAGAGGGAAACTAATAGAATAGGCTACCAGACTAAAAAAACTGAAAATGGCGGTACTTAAACACCACCTACTCCAGCTACGGACCCTCACAGACCAACATAAAACAGACCCAACCCCAGACATTCTCCAACAGATCAAATCACATCAACAAGCCATCAAAAAATACATGTCCAAGGACTCCCAAAAAGCGCTCATATGGACCAAGCAACTCTTCTATGACAAATCCAACAAAGCAGACTCCCTCCTTGCGCGCAAACTTCGTCACAAAACACAAACAAAACGAATAGACAAAATAAACTCACCCAAAGGCACGACATATGACACCCCAGACGACATAGCATCTATCTTTGCCAAATACTTTACAAAACTATACGACCACAAACCAGAAGCACGCCAATGTCAGCAACAGACAACCAATCAAAGAGACATAGAGTCGTACCTGAAAGATATCCCCCTCCCTACACTGCCCGACGAAGCAAAGACACAAATAGCGGCCCCCGTCACGACGGAGGAAATAGCGTACATACTAAAAACAATCAAACCACACAAGAGCCCGGGACCAGACGGCTTCACGGGCCTCTACTACAAGACGTTCTCGGACATCCTCATCCCCCACCTAGCCACACTATTCAATTCACAGTTACAAGGAGACACCCTACCAAACGACATGCTGAGTTCGAACATATGCCTCCTCCCAAAGCCAAACAAGACGCACCTCGACCCAGGACACTACAGACCCATATCCCTCCTCAATGTAGATACCAAAATATTTACTAAACTTCTGGCGAACCGCGTACAAATCTTCCTTCCTAAATTGATTCACCCTGACCAAGTGGGTTTCATCCCCTCCAGACAGGCGAGAGACAACACCAGACGTACCCTAGACCTCATGTGGGTGGCCCAACGCAGACAAATCCCGACCCTTCTCCTCTCCATGGACGCAGAGAAGGTATTCGATTGCCTTCTCTGGCCCTACCTATTCACCACTTTACAGAGGTTCGGATTCCCAGAACCCTTCATCACAGCCCTGACCTCCTTATACCACCGACCGACGGCTACACTCCTAATACCCAACGCGACACCAACAACAATCACAATCCACAACGGAACGAGACAAGGATGCCCGTTGTCACCGCTCCTATTCGCCCTCTCCCTAGAACCCCTCCTGCAAAAAATACGAAACTCCCCATCGATATATGGACTCAAAATAAACAGAGACGAATATAAAATAGCAGCCTATGCGGATGACATACTATTGACGATCACAAAACCCACACAATCTCTCCCACCCCTAATAGCACTGTTAGACGAATACGCAACCCTATCGGGGTATAAACTAAACCTAGACAAAACCGAAGCATTACCATTGGAAATCAAAGAAACAACTCTGAGACAGCTCAAAACCACACACCCATTCACCTATAGAGAAGATAATATCCGATACCTTGGCATTCTCCTCCCCAAACACCTCTCTACCTTATACACAGCAAACTACACACCCCTAATCCAACAAGCACAGACAGACCTCTAACGTTGGGACACTATGCCAATATTATGGCTAGGACGGATAGCCTCAGTAAAAATGAACCTGCTCCCAAGATTCCTATACCTTTTCCAAACACTTAGCATCCCGATATCCCAAAAAGACTTTAAATTACTTCAAACCAAAATTGACAATTTCGTATGGTCCAACAAAAGACCCAGAATCAAAAGATCCACAATGTATCAGACCACCAAATCCGGAGGTCTCGGTCTTCCAAACCTATATAACTATTATCAAGCCGCCCAACTAACACAAATACAACACTTACATGCCCCACCAGGCAAGAAACTATGGGTAGACTTGGAACATGACCTACTGGATGGTGGCCATCCCTCACTACTCTTCTGGCTCCCAAAACTATTAAGACCGGACACCCCACAAACGACCCCGACCCTACACACATCCTTCCTAGTGTGGGACAGAGTCACTCGCAAAACCCCTCTCATCAACAAACCATCGCCACTCACACCACTTCTACGCAACAAGCAATTCCCCCCAGGTATGACACCCCGAGACTTCGCACACTACGAGGACAATGGACTCTTCCGCTTCTACCATTTCTTTAGAGCCAACCAGCTACTTAAATTTCAAGTCCTACCCAGACAATCCCCACTAACCACCTTTGACCAATTTAGATATGTACAAATCCGCAGTTTCTTCAAGGACCCCCGACACATAGCCGCAGCGACTACCAACTTGACCCCATTCGAACACGATTGCATGCACAACCCAATACACAAAGGCCAAATCTCTTCCATATACACCCAGCTGAACTCCACCTCCCAAACAGAAGCCATCTCCTACACTAGACTCTGGGAAAGGGACATTGGCCCCCCGAACAACCCCTCGGATTGGGCTAAAATATGGGAAGCAACAGCGTCCCTCACAATCTGTGTGAACCATAAAGAGCAAGCTTACAAAACGGTACCTAACACCTCTACGAGTAAAACAGATGGGACGATCCAACACTGATACATGCTGGAAGGGCTGCGGTGCCCAAGGTACTTACATCCACCAATGGTGGGAGTGCCCCTACATATCTCACCTTTGGACAAAAGTGGCTGAACTCGCATCCCAAATCCTCCACACAGACATACCCATGAACACATGGATCTGGTTATTCTCGATACCCCATGCCCCACTGATCAGGTCTCAGAACAAATTACTCGCAAATATTGCACTAGCCACTAGAAGCACAATTGCGGAACAATGGGGCAACCAAAATACCCCCACCATAGAGACCGTGATACACAAAACAAAGGATGCCATGGAAATGGACAAACTCTCGGCCCTTATCCATGACACGACCCACCACCACAACAAAATATGGGATCCCTGGCTAATCCACCACTCAATACACACCAGGTGAAACTCGTTACACAAACACCCAACCAAGCGACCCACACCTGACACTTTCCTATCAGCACCATGAAATCCAAACAAACCCCACCCAACAAACAAGACATAACACACGACTGACAAACACCAGCAAAATCTACCCCCATCCGCAGGGCAAAACGCTAACTGATCAAAACCACACAACTGAATCATAACTAACACACACCAAGATTATTAGACTCGACCAGATCTCCAGAGGACAACCCTAAAGAGGAGACTGTAAACCGGATACTCACCTACCCCCTCCCTCACCTCAACCCACACCTCCCTCCCTAGATAAACAAAAGACAAACCACAACCTTCACTAACCTCACGGACCGCAGTGAGGAATACCCCCACAGAGACCAAACAGAAACCACACAACAGTCACAAACCCACAACAATTGACTCATTCAGCCGCAGGACAACACCAAACAAACAACTTAGGATAACCAAAGCAGATGGTAGACCACCCGAACTCTCCCCCCTAGCCACACCCCCACCCTAACTACATGACCAAAGCGTATACAAAAGATTAGTAGGAGCATAGAAATGAGTGCGCACTAGTGAGATGACACAAGCCGCCCTCATTAAATAAACCAAACGCACTAACAAACAAAATATTGGCAAATCAAAAACGAAAGTAGAGGATACATAGCAAATTAAACTTTGCCACAGGTGTTCCCCAAGTACAGCAGCGGATTGTAACATTAACGGAAACTGGGATTATAGCTCTTTTCTATGGAATGACAGGTGAATGATACAATGGAATGCCCATAGAGTATCGTGTATATCAACTCTTTTGTAAGGAAATCTGAAAGACATAGCAAGTTAAACATAGCATCCCTCCTTAGACAACTTAGACTACAGCACTTAGCCTACTACTACAGCCCCTAACCCCCAATTGCAGCCCCTACACCCTACTACAGCCCCTAACCCCCTACTACAGACCCTACACCCTACTACAGTCCTTTAGTCCCCACTACAGCCCCCATACTCTACTTTAACCCATAACCCCCTACTACAGCTCTGTGACGAACTATCCTTCGCCACTGGCTTTTGGAGAGGCCTTCTTGCCAGCCTCTTGCCCTGTGACTATGGCCCCTGGGGTGTATTGCCCTTTAAAAACTCTATTTGTGCCTATTGTATTTTGGAGCACTGTTTCTGCCTCTTTAAGTGGTACTGGTACAGTTCTGCACTTTTGAAGTGGCACTTCGGATGCAGCCGAAGTGCCGAAGTAGTAGAAGTGGCCGCCATTCGACATACGAACACGTGGCGGCGGCCATTTTAATTCAGTCGAACGCGTTCAACGGTGTTTGGTCATCGAGTTCATAGAACTGGGGGCCGGGGTGGAGGACAGTAGGTTCCCCCCCCTCATTCTTATTTAGGGCCCGCTCAGGGGTGGGGGCCACGGGGGAGGACAGTAGGCCCCCCCCATTGTAATTTAGGGCCCCCACCCACCACGCAGGGGTGGGGACAAGGGGGGAGGACAGTAGGTCCCCCACCCTCAATCTTATTTAGGGCCCCCACCCACCGTGCAGGGGTGGGGGGCGGGGGGAGGACAGTAGGTGTCCCCCCTCAATCTTATTTAGGGCCCCCACCCACCGTTCAGGGGTGGAGACCGGGGGGGAGGACAGTAGGTTCCCCCTCCTCATTCTTATTTAGGGCCCCCACCCACCGCTCAGGGGTGGGGGCCAGGGAGGAGGACAGTAGCTCCACCCCATTGTAATTTAGGGCCCCTACCCGTCCCTCAGGGGTGGTGGCCGGGCAGGGAGGACAATAGGTCCCCCCCTTATTTTACTTTAGGGCCCCCACCCGCCTGCAAAAGATTTACTTGATATGTTTCACGGTTCAGATTCCAAGTCACATATTGCTTCCCATTATAGTCTATGGACATTCCATTGTATCATTTAACTGTCATTCGATAGAAAAGAGCTATAATCCCAGTTACTTTTAATGTTACAATCTACTGCTGTACTTAGGGAACACCTGTGGTAAAGATGAATTTGCTATGTAACACAGATTTCCCTGCAAATGAGTTTATATTTTACTTCCTATTATTGTCTATGGGCATTCTCTTTAGTCATTCACCCTTGTCATTCCATAGAAAACATTAATAATCCCACCTAATCTACATTTAAAAAATTGACGCTGAATCTGGAGAGTATATTTATTTCATATGTCTAATAGTTTTGACTCTAATTGAAATATTTTGTTTCCATTATTCTCTATGGGCATTCCTTTTACTTCCATTATTCTCTATGGGCATTCCACTGCCTTGTTAAAGTCTATGGGCATTCCAATTTGTCATTCCTTTTAGTATGTCCCGTAATAAATGTTAGTTTTTTTGGATTACTGATTATTATTCATGAACGTATAGCATGTACCTGTTACTTCTTCCTCTTGTGTACAATACCACATGTCTCAAAAACTGCTATAAACCTGGACCTTTGTACTCGATGTGAATTCAGATGTAATATTTACTGTGCATGTCTCGTTTTCCTTTTAACCAATAAAAACAGAATACATTAAAAAAAAAAAAAAGAGCGAGGACAAAAAAAAAGTGGTGAAAAGATAGGTAGAAAGAGCCAATCAAAGCACCTACCACTCAAAGGTTAAAAAAGTAAGTTTTAAAAATAAGGGAGGTAATGGTGCTTAGTTAGTTTTTTGGAAATTAAACGGGGCTGGGGGGGGGGGCAAGTTGGTTGCAATGACTAGTTAGGGGCAAATTAAAAAGTGAAAAGGTTAAAACAAGGGAAGATTTTTGGCACATGTTATTTATGGGGACTTTAGGGAGCAGGTTGGTGGTCATGGTTAGTAATGGGTATAAATAGTGAAGACTAACTAGGAGGTGGGTAACACCTGGAAGGTAGAGGGAGGGGCACCTGCTTGTCTTAGCATTATTTAGCAAGAATCGCTATAGGTCTGCCCTGTGCGTCTATAATCAGAATATTGTAATCCAAGGCGGCAGGGGGACCTCCCATGCCCTAGGCAACAACCTGATCTGTCTTATTTAACAAGGCTCAAGTACTACAAGGGAGCTGGTTGGCATTTTTAAGGAAGAGGAGGGCATGTTGAAACTGCCAACTGCTTCATTTCACCAGGTGAACTCATACCTCCCAAGTGTCCCTATTTAGAAGAGACAGGTCCTATTTTTGGCCCAAATCCTTCTGTCCCTCTTTTCTATTTTAATGTCCCTCTTTTCTAGGAGCTCCATATTGTTGGTGTGTCTGAGTGTATAACAGAGCTCCACAGCAATAATACTCACAGTAATTTGTCTCTAAACTACAATTAATATGTTAAGAAATCAGTCTGCATTGTTCTTGTTCTAAATTACATTTTAGTTCCATAAATTATTATTAATAAGTTACCAAAAATTTATCCGAACAGCCCGCCCCTAGCCACACCTCAGCCACAGCCCTACAACTTATTAAAGTGCCCCTCTTTGTCCATTTGGAATGTTGGGAGGTATGGGTGAATGCACATAAAGTTGCAAGAAAAGGTATGTGAACCCTTTGGAATGATATGGATTTCTGCAGAAATTGGTCATAAAATGTGATCTGATCATCATCTAAGTCACAACAATAGACAATCACAGTCTGCTTAAACTAATAACACACAAAAAATGAAATGTTGCCATGTTTTTATTGAACACACCATGTAAACATTTACAGTGCAGGTGGAAATAGTGTGTGAACACCTAGACTAATGACATCTCCAAGAGCTAATTGGAGTGAGATGTCAGCCAACTGGAGTCCAATCAATGAGATGAGATTGGAGGTGTTGGTTAGAGCTGTCCTGCCCTATAAAAAACCACACACCAGTTCTGGGTTTGCTTTTCACAAGAAGCATTGCCTGATGTGAATGATGCCTCGCACAAAAGAGCTCTCAGAAGACCTACGATTAAGAATTGTTGACTTGCATAAAGCTGGAAAGGGTTATAAAAGTATCTCCAAAAACCTTGCTGTTCATCAGTGCACGTAAGACAAATTGTATATAAATGGAGAAAGTTCATCACTGCTGCTACTCTCCCTAGGAGTGGCCGTCCTGTAAAGATGACTGCAAGAGCACAGCATAGACTGCTCAATGAGGTGAAGAAGAATCCTAGAGTGTCAGCTGAAGACTTACAAAAGTCACTGGCAAATGCTAACATCTCTGTTAGCGAATCTACAATACGTAAAACACTAAACAAGAATAGATTTCATGGGAGGATCCCACAGAGGAAGCCACTGCTGTCCAGACAAAACATTGCTGCACGTTTACAGTTTGCACGAGAGCACCTGGATGTTCCACAGCAGTACTGGCAAAATATTCTGTGGACAGATGAAACCAAAGTTGAGTTGTTTGGAAGAAACACACAACACTATGTGTGGCGAAAAAAAGGCACAGCACACCAACATCAAAACCTCATCCCAACTGTGAAGTATGCTGGTGGGGGCATCATGGTTTGGGGCTGCTTTGTTGCGTCAGGGCCTGGACGGATTGCTATCATCGAAGGAAAAATTAATTCCCAAGTTTATGAAGACATTTTGCAGTAGAACTTAAGGCCATCTGTCTACCAGCTGAAGCTCATCAGAAGATGGGTGTTGCAACAGGACAATGACCCAAAGCATAGAAGTAAATCAACAACAGAATGGCTTAGAAAGAAGAACATACGCCTTCTGAAGTGGCCCAGTCAGAGTCCTGACCTCAACCCGATTGAGATGCTGTGGCATGACCTCAAGAAAGCGATTCACACCAGACATCTCAAGAATATTGCTGAACTGAAACAGTTCTGTAAAGAGAAATGGTCAAGAATTACTCCTGACCGTTGTGCACGTCTGATCTGCAACTACAGGAAACGTTTGGTTGAAGTTATTGCTGCCAAAGGAGGTTCAACCAGTTATTAAATCCAAGGGTTCACATACTTTTTCCACCTGCACTGTGAATGCTTACATGGTGTGTTCAATAAAAACATGGCAACATTTCATTCTTTGTGTGTTATTAGTTTAAGCAGACTGTGATTGTCTATTGTTGTGACTTAGATGATGATCAGATCACATTTTATGACCAATTTGAGCAGAAATCCATATTATTCCAAAGGGTTCACATATTTTTCTTGCAACTGTATGGGTGCACTGTTGAAGCTATGGAGACAATTTTTAACCCACGTAAAGTACCACCTGGGTCAAATGGAACCAAACACTAACTCTGTCTTTGGAAAACATTGGAAAGACAAATACTGTTTTGAAGTGTATCCTGTAGTTATTTCTATTTAATTTTGGACTTGGCTTACTTGAGTAAAGCACACTTGACTTAAGACCTAATAATATGACCTAATAACATAACTGCCATAATAATAATAATAATAATAATAATAATAATAATAATAAGGCAAATTACAGCTTACATGATTTGGGGGTGTCATATTTCCATTTCATTATTCAGTTTCTCAGTATAAGCTATCTTCTCAGTGGCAGAACTAAAGTATAGAGGGCCCTGGTGTGATAATTCATTTTGGGTACCTTTTTAGAGCCCAGCTAGGCACATGATCGGAGATACCCATCGAGTGTCCCTAATTGTCCCTGATGGGCCTCAACCGTGCAGTTACACCAGCTGTACCGGCTAATTTAGTGTTATTTAATTTACAAATTAATTCAATATAATAACAAAACCTATGGCTACAATAATTGCATTTGTTACTTTTAAACAAAATTGACACTCACCCCAACCAATAACGATATACCACCAGAAATACCTCCTCTGAGAAGTGAAAGTCAAGGTAAGTAAGGTGTGTAGATACATCCCCTCTACCAGCAACCAGGAGAAGTTTGAAAGGACAGAGAAATGGAAGAATATCATACTGGATTTACAGCTTGCCTGGAACGAGACAGTGTGTTATAGTTAGCTTGTAGTGAAAATGATCAATACGAGTGGATTATGGAGATAGTAGTGATGATGGTTAAACAGAGTTTTATTGCAGCCAATGGGTATGACTTGATTTCAATAGGCAAGTTCCCACTGGTGTCATAACATACCTCCCAAGTAAACCTCTTTTAATTTAGAGACACACCACACTTTCTCTCTTCCCTACCCTGGCATCCCTTTTTTTAAATCAATTTTAAAATTACTGAATAGGAATGTCCAAGTAAAAACAAATATAAAAAACAGCTTGCAAAAGCTGCAGATCTCTTGTAGGCAGCCTTTACAAGCCCTCCTCTTCTAACCCCACCCAGACTTTATGTGGCTGTCCAATCACAGACTTCCCAATGCAGTTCAACGAGAAGTCTATGCAAGACAGGTGCTCTGGGCAATTGCTGTCTCTGGAGTTGAGCTCCATTGAGCTAAACAACCAGGAAGTAACAGGATATGTTGTCTCATTGACAGCCAGGGGTGTGTAACAAGGTTAATTTATAAAAGTGTCAATTTCTATTCATATCAGTACTTTTTGGAAAATGAAAAAAAGAGGACAGACTCTTCACACTTTTTTCAGCAAGCTAAAGTGTCTTAGGGATCCAGAGTGTGCCTTCAATTTGTAGCAAATCCTCAGGTTTTGCATCTTCTACCAAACAGCCACTAGAGGTGCTTCCAGGTTGTTAGGCAACTTTTGGTCTAACAACCAGTCCTAGCTAAAACCCCATAAGAAAGCATTAATTCAATATTTTCCCATGGGGTTGTCCTAATGCGATTGCAGTGCTCAGCACGAATGCTCATTAGGTCCCGGATGTGCGCAGAGCTTGTGTAGCGTACAGTATAAATATATAGTCTCTCCCAAAATACATACAGTTTTCCATCCATGGTCTTACTGTGGACATGGTGCAATGATCAATATTTTCATCGGCAAAAAGAACCGCATCTTTTACGAAGACAGCAACGCCACGTAAGATGAAAGACACAAACAGGTTCATGTGAATGAAGTTTCTGGGGCAGTGCAGCTTCCTGCAATTACAAAAAAATTAAATAAATGTATATCACCAAAATCGGGTAGACAAAATTGCAATTATAAAATGGTTTGAGAAAGACTGTATTTTTATTTTTGTTGAAAAAAAAAACACAAACCTTTTAAAATACTGACAAATAAATATGCATTTTTGAAATTAAATAAACTATGGCGTCTGCCCCTTGATAGCAACGAATGGGTTAATCCTGTGCATCATCGGTCCAGCTCAGAGTTCGAATGGCTTTTCAAATAATTAACCCCCTTAAGGACCATATGTTACATAATGGCATCATCACGATACGTTCCCTATAGACCTTGTGGCAGCATTAAATGTCCTGTCTATTCAGCCCTGGCAGATCCACAAATTCATGCTGTCTCTGCAGGTGGGGCTTACTCCGTGATATACTAGGAATCTTAATGAAAAGATCGTAACGGTGAGATACACATGACACTGAACATAACAATGTGGGTGGTGCAGGGTTACTGTTACTCAACAATGCAATTCAATGAAAGAATCAGTTTTCAAAAGGGTGGGACAGCGAGGAGAAACACAGACAGTAAACCCCATACTCTGCTTGTTATAATCATTATATGCAAAACATGTAAAGGAGTAGGCAGACTGGATTATTTTAGATATAAACAATATATGGATTTTATACACATACCCTCTATTCTGTGATAGATGTATATATTGTTTATATCTAAGATTACTGGGATACACTGAGAATATATATTATTTTCTGCGCTCTACACTACTGTATTTTACTTGTTTCTTTTGTGGTGGGTTTTACGTGGTTAAACCCACAGTGTATCTTGTATTACACAGCGATATTGTATAGACTGGATTATTTATTTTAAATGAGAATTTGTCAGGAAATCAAAGATAATTTTTCATTTACGGACAGAGAAGCCGAACTGGAAGCTTGGTTGACTTGGAGGATTTTCCCAGTTTAGCTATTTTGGGCCTAAATTTGAAATTTACCTTCGAATTCCCCAACAATTCTCACTGTAGTAAATAACGCTGCCACCTGCCAGTCCAAAAGGTATATGGCAATATCTTACCAAGACATGGCCACATGGACGTTCAAAGTAATCTTTCGTGGCAGAAGAGATGGGGCAAAAATTAAGCAAGTTGGGTTGTTGTTGCACTTTTCAATTTTCATACTGTAGCCCCATGTAGCCAAAGCGCAGCTAAGCGAAAAAAGGCCTTGACAGGGGTTAGGAGGCGGGCATAGGAGGAGGGAAGGAAGTAGGGAGTTATGGGTAAGTAGGCTTGGCTATTTAAATAGGCAGCCATTTTAAAGCCTTCACTTTTAATTACTACCTTGCTGAGTTTGTGTGCACTCCTGTGTCCACAGATTTGGTTTGGTGGGGTCTTTGTTTTTCTCTCCTTCTGCAGGGTCGAAGGATAACATGGAGGAGCTGTTGGAGCGGATCCGGTTGGCGGCTCAAGGACGTGGCGTGGACTGGCTGCGGGCGCAACTTGGACCAGCCCTGGCGGGTGCTGCGGATCATGAGGGCGGCGGAGGTCGGCCTGTGCGGGCTCGGAGGCCGCCGAGACGGCTGAGCCCAGGCGCGGAGTCCGGTGGAGACGGTTCCAGCGGCCGGGCGGCGGCGGGACCAGGCCGAAACGGACCCGGTAGCCGCATGGTTGAGGCTCCGCCTCCCGGCGCGTTACCGGGACGTCGGAGAAGCGGTAGCCGGCGGGAGGCTACCCGGGAGTCGGACGGTGCAGCTCCCAGTGCGGGGAGGGCTGCGCCTGGAGCGGGGGCCGCGGGAGACATCGGGCGGCCCCCTGGAACCGGTGAGGACGCGGGATTGCAGCCCGGGAGGGCATCTACTACACCCATGGCGGGGACTGGCGGGGCCGGTGCGGAAGGAGCTCGCGGACCGCCCCTGGAACAGGCAAGTGCAGGGGGTTCCGGCCGGGACCCCCTTGGCGTGAATCAGCGCAGGAGGACTGGGCACAGGGTTCAGAGTCCTGGGGGGGACGTGGGGAGGGGTCAGGTGCCTGCTAGAGCGGGGGCAGGGAGGTCTAGGGGGGAGGGTGCGCAGGGTAGTTCCAGGGTAGTGGGCTTGGAGCGAGGGCCAGTAGCCGGGAGGGTGGAAGGGCCAGGGGGTACGGCAGGGGGAAGTTTGCCATCAGGGGGGGGCAGGAGGTCGAGGTGCGCAGGGCGTTTAGGACAGGTTAGGGGTGCGGGGTCTGGGGACCGGCTGGAGGTACCGAGGGGAGGGGGTGCTTCTAGTCGGGGGGCCCGCCAGGGTGGGGGGTGGGGATTTCCCTGCGCTGGTGAGCAGATAGGTGGGCGTAGTTCTGGGGGGGGTTCAGGTTTGGGGTCAGGTGATAGCAGCCCGTCACCGGTTAGGGCCCGGGGGTCCGGGGGGTTTAAGGGAAGGGTTCGGCGTGTTAGGTCCTCATCTAGTAGCTCAGGGGGGGAGAGGGTCATGGCCCCCAGGCTGGTTACACGGGGGCGGGCCTCTGGTAGAAACGGGAGGAGTCGTAGTCCCAGAGGCAGGGCCGATCGGGCCTTGGGTGGGCGAAAAGGAGTGGTTGCGCGACGGGAGGCTCTGGTGTCCAGCGCTCTCAAGGTCGGGACGGGGGGGCTGCTCATGACCAGTATGCTCTGCCCAGGACTTCTTCTCCTCGTTACAGATCTCGGAGCCGCTCCGCATCTGATGTGGCCGGGCACCGGGTTGGCTCCCCGGTTGGAGGATCGTTAACGGATGTCGCTCATCCTGGTCAGGGGACAGTACACAACGCAGCCCCAGGAGCTTCGGGGTCGAGGGGCTTGGCCGGTGAGTCCTCTGCTTCTCTGCACTCCAGTGCATTGGTTCATACACTTCAAGCACTTCTCCACTCACTGGGAGCGGGGGGTGCCACAAAGGGCGGTGTGGGGCAGGTTTGGGCTCAGGGGGCCGGGGTGGCGGGCCCGAGCGAGGTTCCCTCCGCGGAACAGAGTTCGGGTGGGGACACTGCAGTGACGGTTACTGGGGCGGAGGCGACGAGCGAGCGGGCTGAGTTGACGGGGGGGGTGGTTCCTGATGCGGCCAGGCAACACGCATATGTGTCGTTTGCGGGTCCGCTGGGGGTCCACCTCAAACAGGAGGTGAAGGAAAAAATCTGGAAGGGTGACTTCTGCGAGATCTTTTCTCTTCTCCCTTTGGAGGATTTTATTGATCTCAAAGAGGACGATAAAAAAGATGAGAAGAAGGAGGAGGAAGAGAAGAAGAAGCGGTATCGTAAGATTCCCAAGTCTTTCGGTAACTGGCTGAGGGCCTTTTGCGTGTTGGCCAGTGTTCTGGGCGAGAAATCGCCGGGCCTGTGCTCCCCTCTGTTTTGTTATTTGGATGGCATTTGGGAGGCGTATCGCACCTATGGCGGACTGGCATGGTGGCGGTACGACGAGCAATTCCGGCAGCGTTTGGCGGCTAATCCGGGTATGCGGTGGGATCAAATGGACCTGCCTCTCTGGATGAAGCTGATGATGGCGCAAAAGCGCAGCCATTTCAGCCCACGGCCGGCGCAAAGGGGCAGTCCGCCTCGTCGGCCGCCATGCAAAAGGGCTTCTGCTGGCTCTTTAACGAGGGCCAGTGCAAATGGGGAAACGCCTGTCGCTTTAAGCACGAGTGTTCGGGCTGCGGAGGCGCGCATGGGCTCAACCGGTGCTTCAAAAAAGGGAAGTCGGGGCACACCGGGGTCCCTACCTCGGCTGGGGGGGGAGGGGGAGTTTCGCTTGCCCCGGGGCCTAACCCCGGTGAGGCTAGACGCGATGGATGGCTAAGCCGCGGTAATAAGGCAGATGCCGTGGCGCTCCGGGCGGGGTTTGGTCAGGGGTTCTTTATCCCTTTCCGGAACCGGGGGGGGACTGGGGTTCGGCGCAACCTTAAATCGGTGGCTGAGTTCCCGGGTGTGGTGCGGGAAAAACTGGGCAAGGAAGTCAAATTGGGGAGGATGGCAGGGCCGTTCCCGGCTCCTCCATTGGAGGGTCTGCGGGTTTCCCCGCTCGGGGTGGTTCCCAAGAAGGAACCGGGCAAATTCAGCTCATTCACCACCTCTCCTACCCGGAAGGAGAGTCGGTGAATGATGATATTGACAAGGGCTTGTGCTCGGTCTCATACGCATCATTCGACAGGGCGGTCGAGCTGGTAAGGAAGGCCGGGCGCGGAGCACTGTTGGCTAAGGTGGATATCGAAGCAGCGTTTCGGCTGCTTCCGGTCCACCCAGCGTGTCATCACTTGCTGGGGTGTTTCTTCGACGGGGGGTACTTTGTGGATTTGTGCCTTCCAATGGGTTGTGCTATCTCCTGCGCCTACTTTGAGAAATTTAGTACTTTTCTTGAATGGGTGGTCAAAGTTGAGGCGGGGAGTGGGGCTGTGGTACACTACCTGGACGATTTTCTCTGCGTAGGACCGGCGGGCTCCCCCGCCTGCCTACACTTGCTGAGAACGGTCGAGTGGGTGGCTGGCCATTTCGGGGTCCCGCTGGCGGCGGACAAGACAGAAGGGCCGGCTCAGTGCCTTAGTTTTCTGGGGTTGGAGATAGATACGTTGCAAGGGGAGTGTCGGCTGCCGCTGGAGAAGTTGCGGCGGCTGAAGGAGGAGGTGACGACGGCGGCTCAAGCCCGTAAGGTTACGTTGCGGCAGCTGCAGTCGTTGATCGGGATGCTGAATTTTGCATGCCGGGTGATCCCAATGGGTAGGGTGTTCAGCCGGAGCCTGTCGGCAGCGACGGCAGGGGTGCGATCCCCGCGTCACTTCATTCGGGTGTCGTCGGCCATGAGGGCCGACTTGGCTGTATGGGAGACCTTTTTGCGGGAGTTCAATGGGACGGTGATTTTTAGACAGGAGGGCGTGTCGGCTGCGGAACTGGAGCTGTTCACAGACGCGTCTGGTAGCGTGGGCTTCGGGGCTTATTTTGGGGGACGTTGGTGTGCGGAGCGATGGCCGAGGGAGTGGCGACTGAGCCCCCTCATGCGGAACTTGGCTTTCTTGGAGCTGTTCCCGCTGGTCGTAGCGTTGGCCCTGTGGGGGGATAGGCTGCGGGACCGGAAGGTGGTCTTTTTCTCGGACAATATGGCCGTGGTGCACGCTGTGAATAACCAATCAGCGGCATCGAAACCCGTGGTTAGGTTGCTACGCCATTTTGTTCTGTTGTGCATGTCGCTAAATGTTGTTTTTCGTGCACGCCATGTGCCTGGGTTCATGAATGATGTAGCTGACGCCCTGTCTCGTTTTCAGTGGTCACGATTCCGGACGGTGGCGCCGGAAGCCCAAGAAGTGGGGCAGGCTTGCCCAGACGAGATTTGGCGGCTCGGGGCGACCTGCTTGGGGGACTGGTGAAGGCTTCGCTGGCGCCGGCCACATGGACCGCTTACAGTAAGGTCTGGGACTCCTGGGAAAGGTCATGGGGAGGGTTGGACCGCCTGCCGGCGGGGGACTCGCTCAAGGATGCGTTCCTCTGGTACACCTGTCAATTTCTGGCGAAGGGGGCATCCCCGGCGGTGGTTGACAGGTCCATGGCGGCGATGGCTTTCTGGTTCAAGTTACATGGGGAAGAGGACATTACTAAGTCCTTTGTCATAAGGCAGGCACTGAAGGGGTACCGGCGGGGCCGCAGACGGCCTGACACTCGGCGCCCAGTATCGGTGCGAGTGTTGAGTGACCTGGTCGGTTTATTGCCTACTATATGTTTCGACAGGTTCGAAGCATCGTTGTTTCAGGCGGCATTTCTGTTGGCCTTCTTTGGAGCCTTTCGGGTAGGGGAGTTGGTCAGTGCCACGAGGACTGCGGCAGGAGGGGTACAGGTGTCGGGGGTCCGAGTGCTGGAAGGGAAGGTGGTTGTACACCTGGCAAGATCCAAGACGGACATGTTAGGCAAGGGCCGAGATGTGACGCTGCGGGCCCTGCCGGGCTCCGCTTTGTGCCCAGTGGCCGCGGTGGCGGGGTACATGGCACGGAGGCCGGGGGTTGGAGGATCGCTGCTGGTACACGCGGACGGGTCTTCCCTCTCCCGGTTCCAGTTCACCAAGGTTTTTCGGTCTGGACTGGGAAAGCTAGGACTGAGGGTGGATACTTTTGGTACACACTCCTTTCGTATTGGGGCGGCTACGGAGGCAGCTCGGTTGGGTCTGGGGGATGACATAGTGAAACGGATTGGGAGATGGGAGTCGGTACGGTTCCGTTCATATGTGCGTTTGGGTTTATTGGAGTAAGATGGGGAAGGGCCTTTGGGGGGATCCCCGGGGGCTGGGTGCATAAGGGGCTGTTATGATCTGTTTTCCTTCTCTCCCCCAGGCCGTGTCGCATGGATCGTGGGCCATTCATTTGTCTTCTGGGCCGAAAGGAGGGCTGCAGCTCGAGCTCAGGGCCACCAGCTGGGCTTTCATCGGGACCAGTTGGCAGTTCAGTGGTTCGGGTACAGGGGTTTTTGTTGGGGGGAGGTCTGCGAAAGGGTGTTCCGGATGGTAGCAGGCGGGCAACGGCCGGACCTGCTGGTGCTCCATGCGGGGGGCAACGACTTGGGCCTCACTCCGCAGCGGCGGCTAGTGAAGTGGATGAAGCAGGACCTTAACGGTTTAAGGGACCTACTTCCGGGGGTGATGTTGGTCTGGTCGGAGATTATCCCTAGGAAGCGGTGGCGGCATGCTAGGGACCCGGAGGCTATTGACAGATGTAGGAAGAAAGTGAATAGCTTGATGGCAAGCTTTGTGCGGAAGCTAGGGGGTGTGGTAGTTCGACACAGCGAGTTGGAAGGTGGTTTGCCAGGGTACTACCGCTCGGATGGAGTCCATCTCTCGGCAGTTGGTTGGGATCTGTTGACCCTGGGCTGGCAGGATGGCATAACTAAGGCTCTTTTTCTTCGGGGTGGCGGAGCTCAGACAGCTTAAGGAGTCAAGGTCTGAGCTTGTGGCGGGATAGGGAGCTGAAGGAGAAGAAATAGGCTCCCTAGGATGAACGTCATGGAGACGTAAAACTGTGGTCATTGGTGGTTGGTAGGTTCCGAGTCCTGTCGGTGGCTCAGAATCTGGTGGGGCAGGGGTATCCGGGTATACCCCTGCCATGGTTAATTTATGTTTGGCACTTTAAGTTGGTATGTTGGAATATGTTGATACGTATGTTATATGTATATGTATATGTGTTATTTATATGGGGGTCATTGCCTGTTATATTAACAGAAGGATTCGGATGCGAGGGCGGAGTATGGGGGCAATGACCCATGTTTATTGTTAAAATTATTATTGCTTAATAAATTATTATTATTCAAGATTGGTTAAATAAAGCTGTGGACAAATTTTCCCATATACCTTGTGTCAGTGAGTTATTGGGTTGGGTATGTGGGAGGGTTGTCCTGGAGTCCGACTGCCCATATGGCGACTATACACCGGTCATGTAGCCCCATGTAGCCAAAGCGCAGCTAAGCGAAAAAAGGCCTTGACAGGGGTTAGGAGGCGGGCATAGGAGGAGGGAAGGAAGTAGGGAGTTATGGGTAAGTAGGCTTGGCTATTTAAATAGGCAGCCATTTTAAAGCCTTCACTTTTAATTACTACCTTGCTGAGTTTGTCCCGCCCACCCTCCCTGAATTTGGTTCGGACTTGGGTTATCCCGTTTTTTCACAGCGGCGGGATAGGGAGCTGAAGGAGAAGAAATAGGCTCCCTAGGATGAACGTCATGGAGACGTAAAACTGTGGTCATTGGTGGTTGGTAGGTTCCGAGTCCTGTCGGTGGCTCAGAATCTGGTGGGGCAGGGGTATCCGGGTATACCCCTGCCATGGTTAATTTATGTTTGGCACTTTAAGTTGGTATGTTGGAATATGTTGATACGTATGTTATATGTTATATGTATATGTATATATGTTATTTATATGGGGGTCATTGCCTGTTATATAAACAGAAGGATTCGGTTACGAGGGCGGAGTATGGGGGCAATGACCCATGTTTATTGTTAAAATTATTATTGCTTAATAAATTATTATTATTCAAGATTGGTTAAATAAAGCTGTGGACAAATTTTCCCATATACCTTTGTGTCAGTGAGTTATTGGGTTGGGTATGTGGGAGGGTTGTCCTGGAGTCCGACTGCCCATATGGCGACTATACACCGGTCATGTGGTTGTGTGTTTATCTTTGTATAACTTTTGTAATCTTTGGAGGCAAATACTGAGACAGATTTCTACATGAGCTTTTGTAAAAAATAAGGAAGGAAATAAACATGCACAGAGCGCACCGTGGTATAAATAGAGAGTACTCCATTCCTTTATTATTGAACTAGAGATTTTAGAAAGTGTGCAGGTAAAATGCCTTTCACATGTTTCCCTGTAGTCTGTCAGGACCCACTAGATAAGTGGGTCTCACCCTCAAGATCCAACTTTGTCCGTGTCACCCACTGGAACAGATCTGGAATTTATCTAAATTCTGGACTAAAAGGACTCAGTGGTCTAGAGAGATCCAGTGCCAGCAAGCTCAAGACCAGGTTTATTACAATTAAATTTCTTTATTTCCTCTGACCAAGTAAGGTCTACAGGCAGAGGCGTAACTAGAAACCACAGGGCCCTGTGTAAAAATTGTACTGGGGTCCCCCATGTGTCTTCCCCAACCACACCACGTGTCTCATTCCCACCCAGTCTTTCCATGTGTCTCTCCCAGACCTTCCATGTGCCTCCCACCTCCCAGCTATTCCATGTGTCTCTCCCATCCACCAGCTCTTTCATGTGTCTCTCCCACTCCTCACAGCCCCTCGTGTCTCTCCCCCACTCCCTGTACCTGCTCAGCTCTGTGGGAGAACCGCGGTACCTGGTCTGACAGGAAGTGCCCTCTCAGTGAGCACTTCCTGTCATACCATGGTCCGGTCACCCATGCTACGTACAGAGAGTGGCAGAAGGAGAGCACTGTGCAGTGCGCTCCACTCATGACGGTCTCCTGGCAACTGCACATCCTGGGGTGGTGCGGCTGTGCAATTCTAAACTTTGTTCCCTTATTTTGACAATGTTCTCCTATCATGTCAGACTAGACTATTATATGAACTTGACTTTGGGCCTTAATCTGCCTATTTATAAATCCTTGAATGTAGATGATAAGACAAATGAATCAGTTCGTTTGGGCAGGTGGTTTCTGCTTTGGGTCATGTTGAGTCACTACATGATGTCAGGGCGCCCATCTGCCCTTGAAGTCCCGATGACAACAGTCATACACCATATAGATAGTTATTTCCTTCAAACTATGCCTGGTAATAAAGAATGATCTATATTTGGATTTCAAGAGCCGGTGATATTCATTACAGAATTCCAGGGAACATGATGTTCTCATCAATGATCTGGCCCAAAAGTCTGAATGCAAGCCCTAAGCTCATTACTCAATACACCGGAGACTTCACATATATTATAGCAAACTAATGTAAAATCACAGTCCTGGAATAAGTGTCTGCATGAGGTACCACAGGGAGAGACAGAGAAGAGACGTGACATTTTACTAAAATATTCCAAGGAATGAACAGCCGTAGGAAATAAGAGTCTAGAATCCTTATTTTCAAATTAAAGACTCTGTTCATTTAAAATTAAGGCTTTGGTTAAATGAAGACATTGCTTTTCAGAGCAGCACAAACATTCTATCTTGCAAACGTGATGTAGATTGTCATTTGTCAGGAGTGAAAATGGTTAGAGAAAACTTACTGAATGTAGTTTGACAGCGGAGGACTGGCTGTTTTTGACCAGGGGCACAAACACAAACAAATATCTATTTCTTGCGCACAGATTTTGTAATCTCTGTGTGGATGGTTTAGCTCAAACTGTGCAAATGATATATTTGGATCTGTATGACCTGCACAGCATGAGGAAGCATTTACAGATGGCTACGCGTGCCTAAATGATGCAAACTATTTTACATGGCTCCATTGACATCAGTTAATCATCTCACCCTGCATCTCACCTAACACCTCAACATCCACATCACACATACTAATTATATACAGGGATAGGCAACCTTCGGCACTCATGATGTTGTGGACTACATCTCCTTGATTGCTATAAATACAAGTTTTTGCTGTTCGTGAATGTGTACAAGTTCCATAACTCTAAAGTGTCCATGGATGTAGCAACCAAAAAAAAAAATGACAGACTGTGGGCGAATAGGCTAGTTTACTGTGCGATTAAATGTTCTGTCCATGGCGCCAAAAAAAGAGCTGATAGATGGTTAGAGGAGAAAAAAAGAAAGACATCACACAAATAAAGAAATATACCAGGGGTCAGCCGGACATAATGCTTAAAATACGCAATCGAAGGCCCAAAAATGCATATATCAACTGAATTTGAAAGGTGAAATATGATTCTGGTTGGAATTAACTCCTCGTGCTGGACTCTTCCCAAATATACAAAAATATAACCAGAAAAAAAACCACAGCAGTCTGCACATATGGGTAAATCCAAACACTCCACAAATGAAAAAAAAGGTAATGAAAAAGTAGCACATTTATTGAAAAAAGTAATAGAAATAAATACACATGGTATCACACTGTAACAGTAGTCCTCTAGTTCCAATATCTACAAAATGTGTACATTTATGTACATAAGTATCAAGTGTGTAAAATAACAGTATCCAAAGAAAAAATATATAAATACTGATTGATTGAAATACTTGCAGCTACTGTTCAGAGGAGAGACCACCTAAGAAGACCACCCAGAAAACGGGTGACACCCTGACACTCTGGACACGTTTTGCACCCCACCTGGTGCTTTCTCAACATCCAATCTTCTGTGGCTTATTTATATGATTTTAAGCATATTGCAACCAACTTTTCTTGTGCTTTTGGGTCAATACGCGCCTTATTTTTATCACTGAAACCTCAGGGCCTGTTGCCATCAAGTCTTGCTGAAGGTCTTTTGCAGTCACTCGAGGGTTTTTCACAGCCTGCCTTCTCAGAAATCTGGTTGCAGCCATTGATAGCTTCTTTTTATGCCCCGTCCAGGCAGTGCAACCACTGTTCCTTTAACTTTGAACTGGCAAACTATGCTTCCCTCAGTGTCTCTAAGAACAATCAGTGCCTTCACTATCTTTTTGTATCCTGTTCCGTGTTTGTGAATGACGATGATCTCTTCTCTTAACTTTGTGGGCCATTCTTTTAAGCCATATTTCTAACATGCAGTCAAACATGACACTCATCAAACTCCTAGTCAGTTCAGGTATTTTAAGTGTTTCACATCAAGCACACCTGGTGCAACTAATGAAGCCCTTGATAAGTTGCATCAGGTTTGCTTGAGACAACACTTGTTTTGCATATTTGTGCTGGGATTCAATTCATGGCGTTGAATCATTTTGCGACTGGAGAATTTATCTTTAACGCATAATAAGTTGCATTTTCAGTTGAATATGGGGAAACCACTTCAAGCATTCCTTGTGTTGAGCTATTTCAATTGCTTTTGTTTGATTTGCTGATTGCAAAAAGTTGAAAGTCTGTAAATTTTGACAATAAATTTAATTTTAAATGAGGGTTGAAAAATTTTGATTATAAGTGTAGGTGTCTGACCAAAAACTGACCAAGCCTTTATTTGGAATTTTCTGCAAAAACAAACAAACAAAATAGATTGCCCACTAGATGGCGCCTATTCCACATTTTACTCATTTGTGTTCCGAAGAGTGGAAATTCTAGAATACTGCAAATTAAAATAGTGTTATTTACTAACGTGAGAATTCCAAGTGAATTTCAAATTTAAGGTAAAACAGCCATCTATGCTTTCTGTACAGCTACTCTAGCCTTAAATTTGAAATTCAATCTGAATTTCCATTTTAGTAAATAATACTGACGTGTTTCTGTGAAAATGATTCTGGTTTTAGGAGCCGTATATAAACACTCTTGTGTAGCATACTCCATCCTGAAAGTCTTTTATTTCAATTCCACTCTGTTTGTGTTAATTAATATCTATGTCTGTATATTCCTGTCCAGGTTATAGCACGCTGAGGCTTGATATAAACATTTTTTTTCTATTCTATTTTTATTTTAAGTAATTTTGCATTTCCAATTCTTTTGGGGTTTTTTGTAAAGCCTTTCACTGTTTGCTCAGTATTCCTCCCACAATTGTTCTTGGTCTTTTTGCCACAGTTACATTTTCTATTCTCCTTTCACCCTCCCATTGCGACATCATCCATCTATAAGGCCATAACCCTCCCATCCTGTTTTATACCCATATCATACAATGCCTATATATTTAGAAGGGACAATTAATATATAGGGTCATAAACGTACAGTTTGTAAGTATGTATGTTCATTCTAAACATACCGCATAGCGGGTGACCGCGGCTGAGGTCATTCGGCGCTAGAAACGAGTCAAGAAATCATTATTACAGCCCCAGTTTCCAGTCTAGATAACACAAGTGTCTCTTCCTAAATAACTTGGCTCAGATGAAAGAGCTGAGGACCAGAAACGAGGAGGGAGGAAATACAAAATCGCAACCCCCATTTGGGCAGACAAAAAACAAAACAAAAAAACAGAATAGTAAAATAATTAAAATACACTGAGCACAAGAGTCTCTCTCTCTCTTTCCAAAGAAAGGTATTAAGTAAAATGATAGAACAGAATATATAACTAATCTATAAGGATCCAGGGGGCAGGGGGGAAGGGGAATATGTGGGTTGGGGGGCGGGAGGGGAGTCACAGGGAGCACATTTAAGACTGCAAGATATATTTATGACGACTAAAGTACCATGGTCTGAAATAAAAAACACTAACAAAACCACACAAGGCAGGTACATGTCTGAAATACCAAAAAATAAATAAAAAATCATTATTACACGTAACATTTTAAACACCAGACAGAGGGGGGTAGAGATTACTACAACAGAAGAACATTTCAGCACTAAAGAGTCCCTTTAATGTAATACAGAAAGGAAATTGAATGTAAATATTGAAACGTGAACCTGGCATGACAGATTCATTTTAAACACAACCCCAGAGGTACATGAATTCATTTTTAGGAATCATTCAGCAGCTCTTAGTTTACTGCCACACTCACCTAAAGAGAGAGAAGATTATGATTGCGGTTACAAGGGCGGATAGCGATGCGGCATATCCACAAGTGTACAGGATTTTCACAGCATGAAAATGGCCTTTCTGTAAAAGCAGAATGTCGATTAAGGTCACAAAATTCCAATTATAAGTACTTGTGAGTTAACACCAATCTTAAACTCATTTAGAAAAATTGCTTCAATCCATGGAAACGAGAGATCTCTTGAAATCCATTGTATTTGTATTCTTTTACATGATTAAAAGTGATAAAGGTGAACAAGTTTATAGTACTGGAATTTATAATATACAACGTGTAAATATTTGAGAAACTGATTTAAAAAACCGTGACAACCTAAATATATATACTCAGAGGAACCCCATTGTTGTGTAGTGAGCACATTAGCCAGGCCTAAAATAAAAAAGAACACTCCAGTTACCATTTGGTGCCAGGAGGTCCCAGTGAGCTTTCTCGAATGGTTTAACCACGAATGTTGCCTCCGGTGCTGGATCTGCAGTTTCCCCAGCAGCGTTTGTCTTCTGAAATTTCAGGAAGTGGAGTGCCGCCGTGCAGAGGCCCCTCTGATTGGCTAGAGTAGTCAGCTGATGCTCTAAGCCACTCAGTAGCTACATAATTTTCTATGAACGTGACATTTTCTCCATGGAATGACTTTTGGTAGGTATCTTCTTGTAGGTGGTAATTAAGGCAGGGCCAGAATAAGAGCACAGTGGGCCTGGTGCTGACAATTATGATGGGCATAATTACAGAATCTTATCAATCAAAAACACTAAAACAGTCATACCTAGTGTCATGTATCTGATGGAGATGGTGTTGAAGGGAAACTCAAAGGATGCAGCTATAAGAAAACACATACTCTATGCTAATCTCTCTCTCTAATTTATGCTTTCATCTTTCAAGTAAATCCATACCCCCTAACAGCAGTGTCCAGTGAAGCAGGAAGTCAATGGGCGGGGTAAAAGGGTGAGCCACTGATGCGAATCACATGACCAGAACTGCCAAAAGTGGCGAACATGCCCAAAAAGGGGGTATGTCTGTCCAAAGAATTGGAAGGCCAGTCAGGCATCAGTGTCCCTATGTATCACAGTGTCAGTGTCCCCATGTCACCCAGTCCCCTAGTCTCCCAGTGTCTGTGTCCTCATTTCTCCCCGTGTTCCCATGTCTCAGTGTTTACCGTGTCACTAGGATACCCGGGGACACTGAGACACTTGGGGACACTGGGAGACATGGGGACACAGACAATAGGGACACAGAGACATGGGGACACAGATATTTGGGGACACTAGGGACACAGAGACATGGGAACATACACTGGGAGACTAGGAGACATGGGGACACTGAGACACTAGGGACAGTGGCTGGGAGACATGGGGACACTGGGAGACATGGGGGCACTTGTGGACATAAACATGGGGACACTGAAAAATTTGGGGACACTGGGAGACATGGGGACACTAGAGACACTGAGAGACATGGGGACACTGAGACACTAGGAACACTGGCTGGTAGACATGTGGACACATACATTTGGGGACACTGGGTGCCATGGGGACCCTGAGAGACTTGGGGAAACAGACACTGGGAGACTAGGAGCCATGGGGACACTGAGACACTAGGGACACTGGCTGGGAGACATGGGGATGCTGGGAGACATGGAGACACTGTGTCGCTAGTGTCTCCATGTCCCAATGGATTTCCCAATGTCCCTATGTCTCACAGCATCCCAATGCGTCTCAGCATCCCATTGTCTCACAGTGTCCCCTAGTGTCTCAGTGTCCCCTAGTGTCTCAGTGTCCCCATGTTTCCCTGCTGCCTTTCCCCCCCATTCTTCACTTCCCTGAGCTGTAGGCTGTCTCTGCAGGCTGGTGTAACGAGAATATACCCCAACACGCAGGATTAAGCAAAACAAAAGACAACACAGAGGAGAGATACGTCTACCGGACCTTAGAATGGCCGGACTCGACGTATATGAGAGGAGACAGAGTCAGGAACGATCCGAAATCAAGGGCACAGAGAGACAGCGTAAACTGGGACAAGCCGGGGTCTGGTACACAGTAAACAGCAAGCCGACAACCAGAACAGAAGGATAAAGAGAAAACGTAGTCAGAAACAAAGCCAAGGTCAATACGGAGAAACACAACTGAACACAACAAGCGCTAAAGGGAACTGATACAGAAACCACGATAGGGCAAGGAACAAAGGGAAAAAGGTGAGTATAAATACCTAAACATCTAATTTGATTGGTCCCTGTCACATCCACGCCCCCAAAAGGTAAGTGTATGGGGAGTGTGGCATGACAGGGACCAATGGGATGCCTTTTCCAATTTAGGCACCCACTGTCCCTTTAAGAGCGCGCCCGATACCCGCGGCGCGCTCTTAGAGTTAGGTGGAACACGTGACCGCTTTCCAGTCACAGCGGTCGGCTGAGCCGCGCGCGGCTCATGCAGCAGCAGGACCGCGCGCGGCTCGAACAGAGGACCCCGGCCGGCCCCTGGAAAGGGTAAGTACCGCTACAGCTGGGAGCTGCTGTCTGAACTCTGTGCTGTGTAGCTGCTCCCTTGCGGATCAGTGAGAAGAGAGGCAGGGAGGGATATGCTGTAACTTCCTATCACTGCCTCTCTCCACACACAGTGACCCATACTGGCTGGTGCTGGTATTGCAGAGTAATCTCTGTTTATACTGAGAAAAATTAAAAGTTACATTTTTTTTTTTTTTTTTAATGGGCCTATTCCATGGGCCTGGGCCTGGGCCTGGAGCTGCAGCTCCATCAGCCCCTATGTTAATCCGGCACCTGGTAGAAGGTAATAGGATGGCCATGTGTGCGCTATTCCCTTAAAGGGACACTGTAGGCACTATAACCATTTCATCTCATTGAATTGTTTATAGTGCCTGGAGACCCCTGGTACTGCCCTTCTATTTAGTAATAAACCATTTTCAAGCAGTTGAACACTGAATGAGGGTTCAGCACTTCTAATAGCTCCACCCCTGTTTGAGGTGTGGCTAAGGCAGCGATTACACACTTCCTTGTAGCCATACCGATTCATACCTGCAAAGATACTGTGATAGGCTAACTGTGGTCAGCTGACACTCTCAGCCAATCAAAGCCACCCAGTGCTGCTCAGACTAATGCTTCCTCATTAGCCCAAGAGGGCTATGAGTTGCTGAGGACTCTTGTTTAGCATTAAAACTTTAAAAACAGTTTAATACTGAATGGCAGTAGAGCTCCAGGGGTCTCCAGATACTATAGCCACTTAACCACTTCAAAGAGACGAAGTAGTCATGCTGCCTCCAGTGTCCCCTAATCTGTATTTTTTTTTTGAGTATGTTTTGGTCTTTATAGCAGCAACACAACTCCAAAAAAAAAAAGATTGTTTTGACAGTTCTGCATTATTTTATACAGTTATTTCACCATTTGTATATTTACCATATGCAACATTTGTGCATTGTTCAACTCTAAGTGCATCTGTACCTTGAGTTTGCTATTATTTAGTAACCAACCTACAGCTGGGCATCTCCATCTGAACTCCCTGTCAGTCATTATTAAAAGCTCTGTCATTAGCACCTACCAGTCAGCACAGAGAATAAAGTGTCCGTTTCCCTTTAATGTTGGTGATTTTTTTTTCTCTACTGTCCTATTTATTAATCATTTCACTTTCTACACTCTCTCACGACCATCAGCATATAGAAAGCAGTCTTTTCCAACGTCCGAATCATCTGTCTCTTCAAATTTTCCACATCCTCTGCCTCCTGCTAGTCAGTCCTCCACGAATGATCTTCCAATTTTCTTAGCATCGGTAATAATTTCCCCACCATCTCCAAAATGTAATCAAGCTTTTCCTACGTACCAAACTGTATTTTTTTATATTTATAAATAAGGTTTACATTCTTAGTTTTAGCGTAATTTTTGTGCTCCGATAGTATTGTATTTTGTATTTTTATGAAAGATTAGTATGTAGGATGCAGTCTGAGCGTTCATCCTTCAAATCTGTCCTTCGCAACTCAGGACTCTGAGAATCAATGCGTTTAACTTGGTTATTTGCCCATGCACTCTGGAACGCTGATAAGTTTTATGAAAGTCGATCTTTCATCTTGAAAATATACCCAATCATCTGGATAGTCCGTTTAAATGGACCTTATCGCTATAATGTGCCCACTCAGCCCGAACCCTTTACTTGCCTTTTCGTCTGTGTCGTAGCTGCTGTTAAATAAGCAAGCTTTAAAATACGACGGGGAATGGGGGGACCAGCCATGTTCAGTACAGTTTCTTTGGATCAAAACTGTAAAGCAGGAAGGAAACGGTAAATGCCATCATCTTTTCATACATTTGTAAATACATTTGCAATTCAAAACAAGTTAATTAATACACTGTAAACGTTGTTAATGCATTAAATTCGTTTGTGCATTTTAAATGTTGTTATAATTGAAATCTGGAACTGCTTGAAAACAAAATGTAAAACAGAAATGTGTCCACATATAATATATGTATATCATTTATTTCTTTTTTTAAATCATGGTTTGAAAAAAAAAAAAAAAAAGTGAAACAATTTCAGGAACCAGTCTGGCACCTTCTGTAATAAATTTCATACAGGTCACATACAAGCAGTAATATTTTTTTCTACACGTCATTGCACATTGTCAAAAGGAACACTGTCATATTTAGTATTCTTTAAATCGTAACAGATAATATAACTTTCATGTATGTTATTTTGTAATGCATACAAGTGTGTGCTTCTTTTAAAGGAACACTCCAAGTACCATAGCCACTACTGTACGCTGTAGCGGTTATAGTCCCAGAAGTTCCCTGGCACTCACATTGTAAGCTGTCAAACCAATTTAGAACAGTTTGAATTCCAACCTGGAATCTGCCAGACGTTGTTCCCCACCTCCTCTACATCCAAGCTAAACCTGGCAATGTAGGTTGGTGGGTTAGGTGCACTGTAGTGTTAGTTTAGGAGCATCTGTTACTTTTGTTGAAAGTAGTGGAGACAACAGAGAGATGCTGGGGCACTCCTGGTACTCCAATTTGAGGCCAAAACAGGGAACTGGAAATATATCTGATTTGGAGAATTTTTCACATTTGACGATTTTTGTCTAAAATCTGAAATTCTCTTTGAATTTCCGACAGTAAAAACATTAGTGATTTACCATGTGTGAGTTACACTTATACTGTTGTGCGTAAACATCCCAAATTTAGCACAACCTTCTTGCCATCCATAACCTCCTATCATGTTAGAAGCTTGAGTATCACTACTTAAAGGGACACTCCACAGCCCAAATAATATTTTGACTTTTAATAAACTGTTTGACTACATGTGATTTGGCCTAGTGGGCAGGGGCCACTGAAAGGTGTGGCTAGAACTTTGGCCTCTCGGGGACTGTAAAAAGAGTCAATATAAGAGGCCATGCTGGGTGAGGCCCTAACTCGTAACCTGGAGAGGTTGATGTGAGGAGTTAGCTATGTGATGGGCCGCCGAGGGGCGTATACCTCCATATGCGGATGAAGATGGGTGTTGGCCTCACGGAATTGATAAAGATGAGGCTAGTTACTAGCATAGCTGGGAACCAGGCCGCCAGTTGACATACCGGATCCGAGAATGGGACGGGTGATGGGTAGTAGCGAGGTGGGTAAACATACCTTGCTTGGGGTAGAATGGGGTTTCCTTGCCAGAGGAATGAGATATTGGAGAACCTAAAGGGAAATGATGGTGGGAGGCAAGTTGGAACTGGAATTGGGCTTGACTTACTGTGAACGAAATACGCCTGTATAATCGGGGTGGTTGTTCTTGAGGCTGGTATATGAATAGGTAACCTGAGGACATAGTTGTTAGAATCCTGACCCTACGATGGTGGGTACAAGATTCATAGGACATAAATCAAATATCCCTATAAGTGAGTAGGGTGAGGATCCTAGGACACTACCAGAGATCATGGAGAGTGTTTAACCAATACTGCGACAATAATGGGGGATAGGCAGAGTCATGAGTGACCGCTAATTGGTGCTGTGACTTCTGTAGCTAAAATACATATAGGGGGATATGGAATACCAAGCTATGGGGTCAGCTTTGAGCTATCCCGGTAGGACTTAGAATATTTAATTATGTTCCTGCCAGCATGGGAAGGGGGGTGTATGTGTGGGGAATTAAGGATCCCCAGACGTGGGCCTGTGTACGGCCTGGCGGAGGAATTGCATGCCAGCGTTGGCTGATATAACATAGAACAGTTAGAGTGGAGTTGCTGTAGGTTTGGTGATACTATGCCTGAATAGCAAGGGTCGGTTAGGATGATGAACTTGCTTGAGTAGAATATAGCAGCGATGAGTAAATAACCTTTTGCATAATACGTGATTATTTTGACGTAGAGTCAGGGGGAACATATGATGGTATAGTAAAACCTGGTACACTAGGGTTTGTCCCAGGGAACATGACGATACATATACTGAACATATGAGTGTGGCGTGTTACAAAAAAGGTTTAGAGAATAGGTGGTCGTCCGCCAAATAAGTAATATACCTATCATGGGAGCAAGTATACAGATTGGCCATAACACATGGTAACAAATGTGAACGTGATGACTGCCTCAGAACAGTACCAAGTCCATGAGTGATAAAATAAGACATATGCGATATATGATGGTAATGCAATATACGTAGTGAATATTAAACGCTTACCAGAGCTGAATTAGTAATGGGAAACTGACAATATCCGTGCACAATCGTAAATAATAACAAGAAACATAGCAAAAATAACCGAACTACAGGGGGCATGTAAGGATAACTAGTAGCAGGCTAAATACTTTCAAAAAAGAACCTGGACATGTCATGTATCAGGAAACAGTGTAAAACTAACGAATTGGTACTATGATTGTGGTGGCCGCTAGATGGAAGCATGTAACTGAGATAGACTGGAGACTAGTTCAATAGAAATTTGACGAAAAGAAACTAGCGAATAGGAATGGAACAAAGAGCATGCAGGAGTAGGTGAACTGACTTAAGTCCTGAAAGGGAAAAAGTCCAGAATGGACGGTATGTAAGAACGTAAACGTGTGAACAATTGTGTGTTCGTGGATTTGGCCCGTACAGGCAGACTCACGGTTTGTGGATTTGACTGGTACAGGAAACAAACGACTTCACCCGGAAACTTGCGGTGAGTTGAGAGGTCAGCTATGGACATGGAGGTTTGGTCCAGGAAATGGCCTGGGAAGCCGGTAAGGGGTCTCATAGCGCTGGCAGGAACGAACAGACAGTTCTGGGGAGGAGGTGAGTAGTCTCTGACTGCGTGTGGCTGGAACAGCGTGATGGGAGTTGTTGGAGCATGGAGAACTTGGTCCGATCAGCGTGGGAGTCTCTGACCGCATGTGGCTGGAACAGCGTGATGGGAGTTGTTGGAGCAGGGAGAACTTGGTCTGATCATCGTGGGAGTCTCTGACCGCATGTGGCTGGAAAAGCGTGATGGGAGTTGTTTGGAGCAGGGAGAACTTGGACCAATTGGCGTGGTAGTCTCTGACCGCATGTGGCTGGAACAGCATGATGGGAGTTGTTGGAGTTGATGGCCCCTGAAGATATAGGGCCCATCGGGTGGGGCAGGCAAAAGTGATTTCTACTTATCCAAACCGGTCTTTCATGGGTGCCACCATCTTGTCCCAGCAGGTCCTCTTCAGCTGCTTCAGGGCATGAGTACAGCCAGGGCCGGTGCAAGGATTTTTGCCGCCCTAGGCAAAAGTAAAGTTTGCCGCGTGACATCACAATGCCCCACCCATATGACCTGCCATGTTAACTAACGCTAGTGCTGCAGTGCCGCTGTGTTTACATTAAAAGGCCTGCAGGGACAGGCTATAGACACCAGGACTACTACATTAAGCTGCAGTGGTTCTGGGGACTATAGTGTTTCTTTAATGTGAGGTAAATTAGAGATTAGTGCCACGAATAATATACTAGATTACCTACTTACAACCAGATGAGGATGATGATGGGCTGGCTCTAGCTGCAGTCTGGCTCCACTGGTCTGGTGTATAACAGGATCTCTGGAGGCTGTTTGTAACTGTGGTCACAAAAATCAATGTTCTGGGAGAACGAGAAGCAGCTCCATTTTTTGGGGGCCCTTTACACAGCTCAAGGTCTGGGTCCCAGGGTCCACCTTCATGTTCCACCAATGAGTTTGTTCACAGGGGGTGGAGTGTGTAGGGGATGTCCTGATTTGTGTGTAAGGAAAGCATTGTGTGAATCTGTGTTTGTATGTGTAAGGGCTGCAAGGTGTGTTTCTGTGTATGTAAGGGATGAAGTGTGTGAGTCTGTAAGGGGTGCTTTGAGTGTGTGTAAGGAATGCATTGTGTGTTTATGTGTGTGTAAGGGATGCATTGTGTGTAAGGGTTGCATTGCGTGTGTGTGTGTAATGCATTGTGTGTGTAATGCATTGTGTGTTTTTCTGTGTGCAAGGGGTTCATTGTCTTTGTGTGTAAGGGGTGCATTGTGTGTGATTGTGTGTGTGTGTGTGTGTGTGTGTGTGATGGATGTCAATCTCTCCCCCTCCCTTGTCACTCTCTTCTCCCCCTCCCTTGTTACTCTCATTCCCCCTCCCTCCCCTGTCACTCCCCTCCCTGTCAATTTCTCTCTCCCGTCAATTCCCCTCCCTGTCAATGTCTCCCCCCTCCCTGTTAGTTCCCCCATTTGGTTTCTTCCCCCACCTCCCTGTTGGTTTCTTTCCCCCACCTCCCTCCTGTTTCTTTCTTTCCGTCAGTTTCTTTCTTCCCCCCCTCCCTCCCGTTTCTTTCTTCCCCCACCCCTCCCGTTCTTTCTTCCCCTCCCTGTTTCTTTCTTCCCCCCCTCCTTCCCTCTGTTTCCTTCTCCCCCCCCCTCCCTCCTCCCCTGTTTCCTTCTCCTCCCTCCCCTCCCTTTTCCCTCTCCCTCCTTTTCCCCCCCCTCCCTCCCTCCCTGTTTTCTTCCCCCTCCTCCTGTTTCCTTCTCCCCCCCCTCCTGTTTCTTTCTTCCCCCCTCCCTCCCTGTTTCTTTCCCCTCCCTCCCTCTCTCCTTGTTTCCTTCTCCCCCCTCCCTCCCTCTTTCTTCTCCCCTCCCCCCTACCTGTGTAGTAGCGTGGCCGAGCCTAGTCTAGTCCGCGGGTACAGGGAGCTGTTGTTTCCTGTACCCGGCCGGAGTAACAGGAAGTGAACACTCAGTGTTCACTTCCTGTTAGTCCGGCCGGGTACAGGAGACAGCTGCTCTCTGTACCGGTCGGACCATGCCATACTGGGCTCGGCCACGCTACAGTGAGGGAGCTGACAGGAGGGAGCGCTGAGCGCTTCCCTCCTGTCAGCCTCTCCTCAGGCTGCGCCCGGGCGGTGCGGTCCGCCCTCATGGACGCACCGCTCGGGCAAAGCTGCAGCCGCCTGAGGCTCTTTACAGAGCGCTCGGGCGGCTGCAGCATGGGGGGGCCGGCGCTCCTGGCGGCGCCCCTTCCCAAGGGGCGCCCTAGGTGGCTACCTAGTCCGCCTTACAGGTAGCGCCGGCCCTGAGTACAGCATTGAGGTCATTGGAGGATCCCGCAAGATTGCAGAACCCTCCATAGATAAAGCCAATTCCCTGCAGCAGTCACTGGTCATGGCTGGGGGATTGGCACTTTTAGATGGCGGTAGTACTGCCCAGTGTCTAGAAGTGTCAAACATAGGAAATATACAGAGACAAAATAGTCCCTATTTTAACTTAGTATATCTCTTGACTGGGTTAGAATTTCAGGGAAATGCCAACACAGTCAATATAAGTATTTCATAAAGACTATAGATTTTTTAGGGGTTGTGGGGGATGCCAGTACCGCTTTAATGATATATGGTAAACTATGTTTGTTTTTTAAAATGGACAAATCAATATATGTGAATCATTTTACAATGTTAATATTAATGTTTAACCCCTTAAGGACACATGACACGTGTGACATGTCATGATTCCCTTTCATTCCAGAAGTTTGGTCCTTAAGGGGTTAAAAAATGGCATTCCTGATTGGCTGACACCATAATACTGTTCTCCACATTTTCTCTTTTGATGTAATAAAATTTAAATATATGAATATGATATTCAGAATACATTTGCTTTGTTACACAGTGTATACTGTGATACCTAATGTAATACTCATCTGCAAGATGCTTAGTGGCAGGAAATCAATGGATTCGCTCGAGGCTTTTTAAAAACGGAATATTTTAAGCCAATTCTTCTTATACATGACGCAAATGAAAACACGGGATGAAATAGACAATTTGGCCTTTGATAAATGAACCAATTACTTATAGTCAATCAATCACATACAATTGTACTTGCTCTCATGAAGAGCTGAAGAGCTTAAATGTCACCTTAAATCGTCCGCCTCGGGCACTCCGTATTCTTTGAATAAAAAGAGAGTCGTTAAAAAATGTCTGCCCAGCATTACATCCTTCTTTACTGAAGTGCTGATAAAACTCAGAAGAAAATTTATACAGACTCACAATAACTGAACAATGCTGTGAGCTCCCAAATGGTATAACTAAACTGGGGTTTGTAATAGTAATATTCTCCCCAGGCACAGTATAGCAGATTGACTAATAGGGGCTATAAAAGAGGATTAGGCAGGGCAGCAATAAGTCCGTCTGCCAAGTTTTGCCTCTTTGGTTGGCTGTTTAAGTCAAACATCTAAAATGCTTGTTTGCAGGGCCACCTTAGGGGGGTTTACAGGTAATACACATATAAGAGACCCGGGTATATATATATATATATATAGATAGATAGACAGAGAGAGAGAGAAAGAAAGAAAGAAAGATGCGGGGAAAGAGGTCAAAGATGGCCTTGCCTGTGCCATTGCATACTTTCACAGAAGGAGAGCTCTCAGTCTGCTCCTCGGCTGGGTCCTCTCGCACGAGCCCTGGCCGTCAAAGCATTTCCGTGGGCTCACAAGAAGAGTTTGGACACCCAGCAGGAGCAAGGAGAAGCCTCCAAGTACCACCAAACACTAGAGAATGTAGTGTCTCCCCTCCCTGGTCACAGGTAAAAACAATATTAATTAAAGCAAAATAAATTAAATAATTAACTGCTCCTCTATAATCTCTCCATTTTGTTTCTAGTGGCTATTAATACTGATTGTTTGACACTCTTAACCCTCCTAGTCTGCTGTTTTTGGTCTATTACTATTGAATTGACCTGTTTGACAGCTTGTGTGTATCAGTGATAACACTGTGTCTTAATAAGTTACATAGTGGTTTCTCTGTTGGGCACTAATAGCCTTTTCTGTGTAATTGAGGATCTTGCAGGCAAAAACTCCAATCTTTGGGATCTTCGATTTTTCGTTTACGTGTTCTGTATTCCATTAAGCAGATTTTGTAAGGTCCGTGTGCTTCCAATGTGAAAACGTGTTTTTAACCATCTGTTACTTTTCTCACAAATAATTTTCTACAGTAAAAGCTCTTGTCCATTTGATAGCAACAGGATAAATGGTTTTCCCAACTTAGCGAAGGAAAAAATGACAACAACATCATCATGGACTGCAGAAAGACCAATATGTAAAAAGATAATTCACACATTTTTCACATAGACCCAATCTCACGTCTCATCCTCTCCTTTGGATTAAATAACTACTTATGTATGATTGGCATTTCAAGGGCATCAATCATAGAGCTAAGTGTTACCTAATTACATAATGCCCTTTTTGCTACTACACCCAAGTGCCTCTGTTACTCGGACTGATGGGCAGATGAGTGGTTTTTCACAAATCAAATGGTGCGATTGGAGTGGTTTATACCTCTATGTCATTATGTGTATTATAAAATGTACTTCTCAAGGGAAATATGTGTATCAGATAGTAACTATTATTTGGTAACTAGAACAGAGTTCCTACAACTTAACTGCTGTCCTCATCAAGATGCCAGAATTCCATTATACCCCTGCTTTAGCACAGGTGAGTTGATTAGTGTTTATTATGCTAAACAGGGAATTGTGGGGAACTGAAAACTAAATTGCAATTAAACTACCGTAAGCTAAATTAACTATGCTGCAATCAAAGCTAAATTTGATGTTGTTTTTCAAACTATGTTGTTGGGATAAATAGCCAGATAATGAAGAGAGCGGGGGAAATTATGTAATAAAACTTGGGTTTGTAACAGTAAAATCCTCCCCAGACCTCCAGGCACAGTAAAGTAGATTGGGTAATAGGGGATATAACAGAGGATTAGGCAGGGCAGTAATAGGTTCCTCTTTGGTTGGGTGGTCGGGTCTGACCCCTAAAGTCCTTGTAGGCAGGACCACCATCACGGGCGGGTACAGGTAATACACCTGTAAGGTACCTGGGCAATGTATGACAAATCTCTCCTTGTGTCTCTCGCTCACTATATATATATACACAAACAGCGTAATAAAAGCTCACCCCCCATGCCACTGCATACTATCACAGAAGGAGATGGACCCTGGGTGGCTCTCTGTCTGTTCCTCCGCTGGGTTCTCTCTGACATTGGGCTTACAAAACGAGTCTGGACATCCAGAGTCAGGAGCAACCAGGGGCCTCCAAGTACCACCACATCACCAGCAAAAAAATTAAATAAAAATTGATAAACCGCTGCTCTTATCTTCCCACAACAAAGCCCCCATCTCAGCCCACAAACACACACACACACTGCATTCACTATATAGACACACACTGCATTATTATTATTTTATTATTTATAAAGCGCCAACAAATTCCGTAGCGCTGTACAATGGGTGGACTAACAGACACGTGAGTGTAACCAGCTTACATGCATTCACTGTACACACACTGCATTCACTATACAAACACACACTGCATTCACTATATACACACACTGCATACACTACACACACTGCATTCACTATAAAGACACACACTGAATTTACTATACACACACACTGAATTCACTATATACACACACAACTGTATCTATCAGTGAATTGTACAAATACGATTAGAACAGCTGGAAGTGTTTTTTTCTGCCAGTGTGGAAACAATTCTGTAAATTACAGGACAGATCCCTATATGACCCAGTTACTGTTAAACTTCCACCCTCTGTCCAACATACCTTCAGACTTCAGGAACATTTGCAGACTATCTGGACAAGACATTGTCACTATCTCTCCGAGAGAGGCAGCATTCCAGCAGTTAATCCCGTCCCATTCTGTCAGACACCCTATGGTACGAGAGGGAATGTCTGAGTTATTAATGGCACTGAATAGACATCTCAAACTGTGCTTAATATTAAATGACAGATAATTTAGACCAAGAACACAGGAAGCCGTGTCGAGATGTCAAGATCTCAGAGTAACATGTAGGAAATTGCTGCTTCATCCTAGGAAACACATTTTTTACAGTATGTTTATTTATACTCATATGTACTATATTCATTGTTGATGTGTACTGTAGTCATTGCTGCCGCCTAGGAGTAGTGGTCCTTAAGGGGTTAAAGGTGGGTTACTTGACCTCTGTCTATGGTGCTGATAGCTATTTGAATTAAAGAATGTTAAATTGCATGCATTAAATATTATCTGTGACAGCTGACAACTCTTTTTTTTCCAATGATAGGCAGAAAAATGTTTCAACCAATCCTACAACACTTAATATTTCCTATAGGAGATCTGACCACATTCCTTCAACTCCTACTTAGCAAAGAATTGTGGGATTTGTAGTTCAGCTCTCAGAATCAGCTTCATTCATGCAAACATATTAATAAAACTAATGTACAAACTTATAAATGTATTAGCCCAGCTTCCATACCGCAAGCTCCTTTCTTATCTTATAAATAGAGGGAGAGGTGGGCAGAAGTGCAGATATTTACAGCGCAGACTCCTTCATGAAAATCTATGAGAAAAGCTGTCACAGTTGATATTGACCCTTTGAACACATTCCTTAGAAATATTTGTGTGAGCAGGAGAAACATGTCTTCCTCCTGTGACATATTTGATCAGGAATATTGACTTACAGCTGCAGGGAGGTCTCCATTAAAGAAAATATGGTAGAATAATTTACATAAAATATGTGCATTCTATCTCATTCTTATTTCAGATCCTATCAAATGTGGCACAAGTATAAAAGTCTGTGCCGTTAATTATTAAACCAGGAATTGGGAGACAAGTGACAGGAGGATTGCAATGTCACGTACAATAAAAGAACTGGGAGAATATTTCCCGTTTATATCATTTGCTGTGAAATCCACAATTCCTTTGCCAATTACCTCCCACAGTCCCTAGTTTCACGTTTCCTTTAAAGGAACTTTATAGTCCCCTAAATTACTGTAGCTAAATATAGCAGTTTTAGTGTATAGATCATTCCCCTGCAATTTCACTGCTCAATTCACTGTCATTTAGGAGTTAAATCACTTTGTTTCTGTTTAAGCAGCCCTAGCCACACCTCCCCTGGCTATGATTGACAGAGCCTGCATGAAAAAAAAACTGGTTTCACTTTCAAACAGATGTAATTTACCTTAAATAATTGTATCTCAATCTCTAAATTGAACTTAATCACATACAGGAAGCTCTTGCAGGGTCTAGCAAGCTACTAACATAGCAGGGAATAAGAAAATCTTAATTAAACAGAACTTGCAATAAAGAAAGCCTAAATAGGGCTCTCTTTACAGGAAGTGTTTATGGAAGGCTGTGCAAGTCACATGCAGAGAGGTGTGACTAGGGTTCATAAACAAAGGGATTTAACTCCTAAATGGCAGAGGATTGAGCAGTGAGGCTCCAGGGGCATGTTCTATACACCAAAACTGCTTCATTAAGCTAAAGTTGTTCAGATGACTATAGTCTCCCTTTAAAACAAAAAATATTTCATGTGGATTTTTAAAATTTCTTGTTAAGTCAAGACTTCAGATGCGTCTTGTAATCTTGCGGTTGCTTGATATAATCATTACATTATCACCAAGTATAAGCCGAAAATGAATGCTGGTATATGGGAATTCAATATAAGTACTTAAAATGAATAGATTTTGCTATTACACGATTATTATTACAGCAATCTACTAAAATGGCATTGCTGTTACAAAAAGGCATTAAAAAAAGATCATTGCAAAATGTGGGACTTGGTTCTAAATAAAAATGTCTTGTTAGGAAACAAATTATCGGGGGCGGCGCCTGACTTCCGGCGCGAATGGCGGCTTTCTGAGGGAGCTCCGTCCACAGAGGCACAGAGCCGGCTAACAACAGCGCCCGCAACCGCTCAATCCACCCCCACTTGGTCACCCCAGCTGCTCCCCACGGTACTCACCTGAACTACAATGGGAGGCGGACGAAAATCAAAGCAAGGCGCGGAGGTAGCGCCGATTTTTCGGAGCCGCAAAGATGGCGGCGCCATGCGCTCAGAAGATGGCCGCGGCTATGATTCAGACTCAGCAGCCAGCGACACAAGCCGAGCGACCACCTCTACCCCACTAACAAAAGACGACCTCCACCACCTACTACAAGAAATTAAAGCTAATATGAAGGTGGAATTCGACAAACACCTCACACCCATCAAAGAGGGCCTAATTGATCTGACACACAGAACCACGGCCATAGAGGAACAGCTTGACCGTACAACCACACGCACCACGGTAAATGAAAACGCCATAGCCTCTCTCCAAGACCAGGTCCGCCAACTGGAAGAGGCTCAGGAGGACCTTAACAATCGGTCACGCCGCAATAATATTAGGATACGCGGGGTGCCTGAAACGGTCGACATGGATACGCTAGGCCCAACACTGCGGGAGCTCTTTTGCGGCCTACTCCCAGAAGCCTCACCGGCGGAACTCCTGCTGGACAGAGCACACAGGGCCCTGCGAACACCCCTGCCCAATGCCACCCAACCCAGGGACGTCATTATCAGAGTGCACTACTTCCATATCAAGGAAGCACTCATGCAAGCAGCCCGAAACACACCACTACAACTAGAAGGACACCAAGTCTCCTTCTACCAAGACCTAGCCCCGAGCACCTTAAGAAAGAGAAGGGAACTACGGCCCCTCACCCAAGAACTCGCAAGGCAACACATCCGCTACTCATGGGGGCACCCATTCAAGCTGCAAGTAAGGAAGAACAACCGTACTTACATCTTACACAACACAGCTGAAATGCACGACTTCGCTGAGAGCCTCGGCCTTGACCCTACAACCCTCACCGCTGACCCAAATCCCAGAAGAAGCGAAAGAGGTCCTCCACCCAGGAATGCACCACCGCCTACCGGGGCACGCCAGATACCCAATAGCCCGCGCCCCAGGGCCGAAAACTGAACGACAAGATGACCACCCACCACCCTACAAGCCAACAGAAGGTCGACGAAAGACCCAATACGGACTGCCCACAAAAAGAACTCTGACTACCCATGCAGCAGCTCACTACTCCCCCAGACTCATCGATCCGACTACAACTGGTACCAACGACCACAGACCTCTCCACATCCTAATGCTGGACTTACTACTGATACAACCGCTGATGACACCAAACTCCAGATAAGATCTGCTTAACGCACCACTTCCTTAACTTAAATGTTATATTTATATTTATATTTATGTATATATATATATGTACTATGCTTAGCTGTTTAACACTCCTAGCTTGACATGATAGAGCACATAATACAGACGGCGGGTACTAGTACACCATTCGGTGTAAGCTACTACACACGGGGGATGGCACCGCACTGCAAACCCCAAGGACCACCCCAAACCTAGCTACCATGGCTAATAACAAGGGGACAGGCCTGACCTAAGTTACAACCGACATACCCCCCCAGCCCCAGGCAATAAGTGTGGAGCCCACCCAACCACGGACAAGGTCCAGGGACATAACCAAGACCTACTGGGGACCCCCCGAGCCACGCGCTCACCCACCTGACCCTACAATAAGACACCTGGCCCTCATAGAGCCCCTGAACCACCTGCGCCAGGGTCGAGTAGTCAAGCTCCCACCCCTAGCCCACAGGTCAGATGACATTCCCACTGGCCACACTGGGACATTGTACAAACAGCATACCCTAGGAAATGAACGGGCCCGGACAAGTGTAATGCTGCGCACGCCCCCCCTGGGGAACAACGCATGCAGGGGGCTCCTCGATAACACTGACAGGCCAGTTTAGGGATGGGAACACCGCACATCCTACTAACAGACAGGTTGGGCCTAGAAGGCGCCGGGGGACTATAGCTCCACTAAGACAAACTACTATCCCCCCTGTAGGCCCTCTACCCAGGGAACCACTCAAAGCACCACAGAGGGACACTCTAAACGAAGGCCCAAGAACCCCCAAAGAGAAGACCCCACAGTTGAAGGTATAAATGTGACTAGGTTCAGGTTGAAGTTCAACTAATATGTTACAAAATGTACAAATGATGATGTTTGGTTTTCAGCTACAGGATACACCCAGTTACATAGGCTCACAGAAGTCACACTCGGCAAACAGCGCCCTACCGACAACTCAAGACCGGACGATGACGAAACCTCCCTCACCACTAAACTGCATGGGGACCTACCAGACAGCCAGACTACTGACTCACGAGACCACAAGGTACGACCTTACCACCACACGACACAATACATAACGAACATATCCCACAGAAACATCAACAACAAGACGATGACCACCCATAGCAGGCGTAGAAACTCGGATACCCACTGAAAACTGCCTTAGGACGACTCAGACTGGACAGTCGCCAACCCCTGACACAAATCCACCCAAACTCTCAGGGAAAACCCACGGAGCGGTCGGACGCTTCGCCCCAATACCTGCTGGCCCTTGGATAAGCCCAGCAGCACACCTCCCCCCCTCACCCCCAAATAACCTCCCGCTTCCCTACTCCCCTTACCCAACCTCCCCCCCTCGTGGTCCGCGGCCACTCAGACGCGCAACCCCTGCTATCCCAACACCGCGCACCCGAACGGAACACCACACCGTCACAGGCACCATGCCAACGTCCATACGCTGCATCTCTATCAACGCCAAAGGACTTAACTCCCCCAACAAAAGACACAGCATCCTCCGCTGGGCACACAAACAACAAGCCGACGTACTCCTCATACAAGAAACCCACTTCACAACCCATCGCACATTCCCACTCACAAATAGATACTACACACAAAGCTTTCATGCTCCTTCCCCAGCCACCAAAACTAAAGGCGTAGCTATCCTCCTGAGAGCAAATAGCCCTCACAGACATTACCTGCTCTAAAGACCCACAGGGCAGATATGTCACCATAAAGGGAAAAATAGGCACAATACAATACGCCTTCTCCTCGATATACGCACCCACAACACCAGATACTTCCTTCTGGCAACAGCTAACAACCCACCTCAACATTTACTCAACCACACGACTCATAGTGGGTGGGGACTGTAATGCAGCCCACACCCCTGCCATAGACAGGACTTCACTCACGTCCACGCGAACGCGCCCATACCAAAATGATATCCTCTTCGCCCAATTTCTAGCCTCACAAAAACTGGTAGACATCTGGAGGGCACAACACCCTACCACCAAAGATTACACCTTCTACTCCCACCCACACGGAACTTACTCGCGCATCGACCATTTCCTCATCTCCCCAAACTTGGTACCCCAAATCACCAAGTCAGAGATCGGACCAATCTCTTGGTCCGATCATGCCGAAATAGCAATCACTCTACACCTACCAACCATTCACACACATTGGTCATGGCGACTGAACCCAATACTCCTTCACGATAAACTGATCAAAGACAAGATAACCACGGCAATCAAAGACTACTTTGAACTAAACTCGCCCACAACCACCTCTCCCATGACCCTATGGGCTGCTCATAAAGCAGTAATCAGAGGCACATTCATCAACCTAGCCTCTCACAAAAAAAAAACAGGCTCAACGACAAATACTTGAGACAATGACGGAACTCCGTCGTCTAGAGACAGATCACAAAAAGGATCCCAACCCGACCACCCTGGCCAACCTTACCACAGCTAGAAACCTCCTTAAAACCCTCACCCAAGCAGACACAACCAAAGCTCTGATGTGGCTTAAACAAAAATATTACGAAAAGGGAAACAAAGCCGACACCATGCTCGCACGCAGACTCAAAAAACGCACCGAGGCCAAACGAATTACATTAATACGCACAAACACTGGCACTATGACTGACTGTCCAGATAGCATAGGCAAAATCTTCCAGGACTATTACACAGACCTTTATAACCATGACCACCGACCCCAAGACACCAGGCCAACATTGCCCGCACGCATAGAAACATTTCTAAAAGACGCAACACTGCCCACCCTCACCCAAGAAGCCCAAGCGACACTAAGCCAAGAGGTCACGATAGAAGAAATGGCGTTGGCAGTGGGACCCCTCAAACCAAACAAAAGCCCAGGGCCGGATGGTTACACAGCCCTATACTATAAGGAGTTTGGCCCACTGCTCCTCACGCACCTATGCAAGGTCTTTAACGCAGCACTCAAGGGGGAGAACCTCCCACCAGAAATGACTGGGGCGAACATCTGCCTCCTCCCCAAACCGGGAAAAGACCACACGGAACCCGCACACTACAGGCCAATCTCCCTCCTCAATGTGGACCTTAAAATCATGACCAAAATTATGGCTAACCGACTAAACCCATATCTACAGTCCCTCATACATCCAGATCAAGTGGGATTCATACCACACAGACAGGCAGCAGACAACACCCGGAGAGCCATAGACCTCATCTGGCTGGCCAACCATAGAAAGATCCCGACGGCGATCATCTCTCTAGACGCGGAAAAAGCGTTTGATCGCCTGCTCTGGCCGTTCCTTCATCACACACTAACACACATAGGGATGCCATCCGAATTCACCTCATTCCTACAAGCCATTTATCACGCCCCCCAGGGCGCACTCCTACTACCCAACATCCCCCCACCACGATTCCCCATCTCAAACGGCACGAGACAGGGATGTCCTTTGTCCCCCCTGCTTTTTGCCATTTCACTGGAACCTTTACTACAAGCGGTGCGCAGCAGCCAGGAGATAGAGGGGTTAACGATTAGAGGGGAAACCTTCAAAATTTCTGCTTATGCAGATGACATCCTGCTAACCCTAACAAGACCAGAAAGATCCATAAACTCCCTCCTAAACATCATCCAAGAATACTCCGACTTGTCGGGGTACAAGATCAACCTGACTAAATCGGAACTCCTCCCGATACAAATAGACCCCCCAAGCTTAGCCATAATCAAACAAACATGCCCAATGAGGATCTGCCACACAACGATGACATACCTCGGGATCCATCTCCCATCAGACGTCACCACCCTATACGAAACAAACTACACTCCCCTGCTACGAAAGGCCCACTCAGACCTCATCAAATGGAGACCCTTAGGAGTCTCGTGGCTGGGGCGCATCGCCACAATTAAAATGAATCTACTTCCCAGATTCCTATACCTCTACCAAACCCTACCCATACCGATCAATAAACAAGACTTCAAGGCACTGCAGTCAGCTATAGACACATTTATATGGAATGGACACAAACCCAGAGTGCGCCGAAACACACTATACGTACCCAAGAAGCATGGGGGACTGGGACTACCACACTTCACACACTACCACACGGCAGCACACCTAACGCAGATACAACAATGGCACGTTCCACCAGGGGAAAAAAGATGGGTGGACTTGGAACACAACATCTTCGGTCGGGACCACCCGTCCCTGTACATGTGGGTACCCAAACCACATAGACCCCTACCCCCTCCCACCGCACCCTCAATCACCCATGCACTTGACACATGGGACAAAACGAGGGACAAATTTGAACTGTCATCGTTCCTATCTCCTATGACCCCCATATGGAGGAACAAGCTGTTCCCACCAGGACTTACCCCCAAGCACTTCGCCCACTTTGAACACAGGGACATCTCCCGTCTAGGGCATTTATACCAAGACGACGACATTATAAAATTTTCAGATATCAAAGACTCACCCTCACTCACATCATTCGATCACTTTAGATTCATACAATTGCGCAGCTTTGCAGCGACTCCAATCATAAAGCAAGCAGGCACGGCTCAACTCAATCGATTTGAAAGAGACTGCATTACGCACCCCAACAGACAGGGACAAATCTCCGACATATATGCAACCTTGGCGACCCACCACACACAACAGTCTCTCCCATACATAGCAGCATGGGAGGCAGACCTCGGACCCCCAGATGAAACAACAGATTGGTCAGACATCTGGGAAGCCACGGCCTCCATCTCCATATGTGTCACGCACACTGAGCAAGCCTACAAAATGCTATTCCGCTGGTACCTCACCCCCCAACGCCTAGCCATCATGCACCAAATACCAGCCAATACCTGCTGGAAACAATGCGGAGAAACGGGAACGTTCCTCCACTGTTGGTGGACGTGCCCAAAACTCCAACCACTTTGGCAAGACACCACACGCCTAATCTCCAAACTAATAGACAAACCTTGTCCCTTAGACCCTTGGATGCTCCTACTCTCCAAGCCAATAGACCAATACACTAGAGCTGAAAATAAGCTATCCGCCCGCATAGCCCTTGCAACACGTAGAGCCATAGCAGAAGTTTGGTCAACAAACCGCATACCGACACAAGAAACAATCAACAAGAAAATAATAGATGGCATGCAAATGGATAGGCTCACAGCACAATTAAATGACTCGCCCAAAAAGTTCCACAAAATATGGGACCCATGGCTGGAGGGAGACACGACCATTCCGTGGTAACACGATAGGACACTAACCGCCCCCCTAGCACAGGGACCCCCCAATCGAGGATATCACACACCTTCAAACAAGTACAACCCTCACCCAACCACATAGCCCCAAACACCAACCTAGGACCCCCAAGAGGGGCCCGCGCGCGGGGTGGCTCGCGGACCGCGAATCCTTCCCCCCATACCCACACCGCCCTATCCCACAACCCTTACCCTAAACCACTCCTCGACTCGGACAAGGCTGCACCCACACATACCGAGACAGGACTCAAAGAGTCGACGAGCGACAAAACCCATCCCTTAAGAACGCAGAAACGGCAGAGAACTTAAACAAGCGTTCAATGACGATACAATGTCGATACGAATGTAAGCTAGTTTCAATATGCAACAGTACCCTGCGTTGGTACCGACATTAAATTTGAAAGTACTATTATGTCTTGAACCACCCCCACCCACCCCTCCTTTTATTTTCTGTACCCCACTCCCCTCCCTCCTACTTTCAAGGAGAAAAACCTACAAATAAAGAATTTAAAAAAAAATTATCTAAGAAGGCTAACCCCAAGCGTAGAATTGGAGAACATTGAAAGGGGAATTGAAAATTGTAGCCCAAACCAAGCAAGCTGGTAATATAACAAATATGGAAAATGTTTACCGTTTGTGGTATTTCTGCCCAAAATTTGCAACTCTTTTGTCCCCATTTAAATTCACACAGCATGAAGCCTAAAACACAACACCTGTCTACAGTGGTGTATCCTGGTTTTGTGCTGCCCTAGGCAGGACAAAACTCAGGCGCCCCCCTCCCCCCGCGTCACCCCCACCCAACCCTTCCCCCCGCCCCACCTTCTAAATACACACACACACACAGTCAGACACAAACACACACACACACACAGTCAGACAAACACATACACAGTCAGACACACACACACACACAGTCAGACACATACACAGACACAAACACAGTCAGACACAAACACACACACACAGTCAGACACAAACACACACAGTCAGACACACAGTCAGACACACAGTCAGACACACAGTCAGACACACAGTCAGACACACAGTCAGACACAAACACACACACAGACTCACAAACACACAGTCAGACACACACACACACGCACAGTCGAACACGGAATACACGCACAGGTCAGACACATACACAGACACATACACACACAGTCAAGACTTACAAACACACACACACACGAGTCAGACACATACACCGGAACACAAACACATACACACACAGTCAGACACAAACTACGCACACACACACACACACAGTCAGACACATACACAGACACACACATACACACACACACACACACACACACACACACACACATACAGTCAGACACAAACACATACAGAAACACAGTCAGACACACACACACACACACACAGAGTCAGGCACACACACACAGTCAGACACACACACACATTAACTTTTTTTTTTAATTTAAATCCCCCCCCCCAACCTCCTTACCTTTGGGAGTGCTGGGGCTCTCTCCCTGGTGGTCCGGTGGTCCAGTGGCTGCAGGTCGAGCGGGCGGCGCTGGCAGGCGGGTGGCTGGCGAGGGAGCACTTCCCTGAGCTGACTGCTCAGCTCCCTCGCGCGCCGGCTGCAGAGTGAGGCTGGGAGCCGGAATATGACGTCATCTTCCGGCTCCCAGCTTCACTCTGCGGTGCGCGAGGGAGCTGAGCAGTCAGCTCATAGGAAGAGCTCCCTCGCCAGCCGCCCGCCTGCCAGCGCCGCCCGCTCGGGATGTCAGTTAGCCGCGAGGCTAACATGACATTTGCCCTGGGCATTTGGGGGGCGGCGTTTTTTGCCGCCCCCTGAAAAATGCCGCCCAAGGCAAATGCCTTGTTTGCCTCGCGGCTAATACGCCCCTGCCTGTCTATGCTTGTATGCATGTGAAGCTGAAAGGTTTGGGATAGTTGTAGAAACATAATTTATCGAGTTTCTGTGCCCAAGGAGGCTTTCTTAAAGTCCAACTTGAGATACGACGATAATACATAACAGTAGTTTCTCTGTTTACACTATAGGGAGATGTATCATGGTTGGTCTCATCACAATCTTTTTGGTACCTACCTTTACAAAGGCAAATTTGTTTTTCTGATCCAGTGCAGTGAATGTTTATGCACACATGTTGTTGTCTTACTGTGTCTTTTGATATTATATCTTTTTAAGTATATTAGTAGATTGTTTACCCATGGTAAATGTTGGCTATAAGGGACATTATTGTTTTCTGTTTTGCTATTTTAGCACTTTTCCCAGTTATTGTATTGTATATATGACCGGGTCTAATGGATGTTTAGCCAATATTTTTCCTCTAATTGGAGTAGATTTTGAGCTCCTTTTAGGGTCTTCATATTTAAACTCATGTAAGCATCTTGTATTAAAAATGTCATGTAAGTATTATAACATTTTATAATTCTGTAACTTTCAAAATGTCACATTTGTCAGGACATGCCACCAGTTCCAAAGATAGACAACTCTTTAGTGTATCGCTGAATTGAACATTTAGTCAAGATTTCTGTTCTCACCTCCAGATGTTGAACCAGAATATGTTTCGTTCTCCGCTCTCATTCTATTGTAGCATTGTTTTTCTCGTTCCAGAACCTGTAGAACGAATGCACATTCCTGGCGCATAGAGCTGACCTGAGGAATAAAAAAAACCCAAACGTAAACATTTAAAACATATATTATCCAACTCCAATCCACAAGCCACTCATATGTCCTCACCACAAAAGTGAGGTTAATATAATGCATAGATCCCATGAAACAGGGAAGAATGGCTTTTAAAATTCTCAAGTTTGCCTTATTTAGGGAGCTTCACTAAATTTGCTTGTGAGGAAGATGAAGGTGTGTATATTAAATAAAGGCCACAATCAATGCTGCTGTACAGGAGAGAAGGCATCAAGAGGAAAAAGAACTATAACCAATGTAGCCATGTCCACTAGAAGAGGTCCCCAGAGACCACAGACCAGCTTCAGCATCTGGGTCAGATATGCTCCAGAGTCCCCTGGAAGTAGAGAGGAAGCTGACCTAACGGAGATACTCAGCCTAACTACAGGACCTCTTTTACAATGGCTCCTTGAGAAGTGAAGTCACCAAGAGCTGAAAGAGTATGACATATGACAGTATTATTTTAAACAAATAAGTTCCACAAGATATCTGTCCCTACCAGTGCTCTCCTCTGACCCTATTTAATAGCTGGCAAGTGACAACAAGCATTGAGTTGAAGGCACCATTCGATGTTCTCCAAATCTAAACCTATATAGGTAGAAAAAAAAGTGAGTGATGACTTTTGAGGTCACTTTACCTTTCTCTGTTGCTCAGCGGTCTACGTTTTAAGCTACAATCTCATGGCAATGTCTGCTCGGTAAGGCTCATAAAGTACAACGAAAACTCAATCTAACTAACCTTTGCGAATGCATTGGTATTTGTATTCAGTTGTTTCAAATTTAAACTCATGTTTCCAATATTTTGTCTACTCACTGTGTTACCCTTTAACAGTAACGTAGACACGCAGTTTGATATATAAAAAGTCGATGGAATAGAATTCACCAAACGCTTGTATATTTCATTAGAATTGATTTCTTAGCTACTTGCATTAGATGCGGCTATTTATAAGATTGTAAAAGATCATATCCCACATTATAATTTCTGAAACAAACACAAACATGTCACTAGGGGCACGTCACCAGAGGAAAACCTAAGAACAGCAAAAGGAAAAACTATTTTCCATGGGCATCATGGCATCTTTGGCAACTACATCAAAACAAGGTGGAACAAGATAAAAAGTCTTAGAAACATAGGGATCAGCAGCTTATAAGAATGTTTACAGTGGCAGAGCCCATTCTGCCACTGTCGGGATTGCAGAATGATCCAGCACGTAGAATTGTGTAACACAGAGGACTGGATGGTAACGTATACCGGACCTTAGAATGGCCGGACTAACGTACCAAAGAATAGTCAGGAATAGCCGAGGTCAAGGGATACAGAAAGAGACACAACGATAAGGAAAAGCCAGGGGTCAGGGATGCCAGAAAACAGGGAAGTCAAAAACAATGCCAAAGTCAAATAACCAGAATCAATAACACGCTCTCGGACAACAACAAGGGAAACCACGACAGGGCACTGAGCAGGATGAGAACTGGGCCAAAATACCCCTCCTCTAGATCTGATAGGCTGTAACCGGCCTTTGACCCCGAAGCATTAACCCTTCTGTGGATTTGGTTGCTGTTCGGCACAACTTTTCCTGTGTGGACAGTAAATGCCATTAACCACATTTTTATAAGCGGATAAATACGTGACAGCCACTAGTTCATCATCTTCATCACCACACCATTGAAAAGGCGGAAAAATCAGGTAAATTCACTAACCTATGTGCAGCCTTTGTAACCATGAAAAGGAATGGGTGTTGACATTTCACTAAGGTTTTTTGAATGTTTTCGAGTATAAGTACCCTTGGATTTCAGCAGTTTGGAGACTCTACTCATAAAAACTAAACAAGCCAGGGGTTATTACGGAGAATTTTCCAAACCACATAGTCGTTCAATGTACTTTATACAAATTCTCTGGGCATCAAAATCCCATGGGCACTGGACAGCCTTAAACACAGTAGCTAATTTAATCAATTTATCCACTAATTGGAAGTCATTAGACAAAATCTTCTCATTCTGCCTGAGACTATTAAAGAAGAGATAATTGATCAGTGTTTGGCTCTCTTATTAATAAATATTATGGAAATTTTACCAGCTGGCATTTTCATAATCTCAGAGAGATATTTAATCTGTTTTTGATTTTTATACTGATAAACATTATGAAAATCTTGCCAGCTGACATTTTCAGAATCTCAAATATAATATTTTTCATACATATTAAATCTGCTATTTGACCTGGATTACAACTGTTCAATGAAAAATCCCTGATTCCCGTCTCAATATTGGCTACAAGGTTCATACTCCAAAGTAGGAAATTATTAACGTATCTACGCATTACACACATGTTACAGTCCACCGGTACTCAACCACCAGGGGACCTCATACTATCCACAATACAAAAGGTATGCTTGGGTTTGGAACCAGCTATGAAGAATCTCTCCCTCTGCTACTCGACAATCTCCCATGTTCTCCTATCTTCCTCTCCCTCCACAGTATATCAAATAATGGGAAAAAGATCTCCAAACAATATTCCCCTTTAAGAAGAATGGATAAACGAACAAGAAGAAAAGTACTGTTCTGTTCTGTTGGTACTTAGTATCATTTCACTTGGCATACATCGACCTGGACTCACCTGATACATGCAGGAGGTGCAAACATTAACTATGCTGCATATCTTCTTGGTTTGCTTCACCCTCAAACCATTTGAAAGAAATGGCAAGTCTCATCAAGCGAATCACCGGACTCATACTTACACTCCGCAGTGATTTTTTGCTTGACATATTACCGTCAACCCTCAAACAACCCACCCACCAAGTAATACTATACATACTCATGGCTGCTGAGACCATGCTAAGACCATTATAGCCAGGCACTGGAAAACAAGTACTAAAATTTCCTCCTACATGCTGACCACCTTACTTTTGAAAATACATAACTGTGGCGCACAGACTACACATCTAACGTTCCGCAAGGTATGGGCACTGTGGGATGCATTTACCTGCTGATGCTCCGCAAAGATTCCAGCACCTCACAGAGAGACTAGCTAGGGCTTGCTTAAGTCCTTCATCAAGATGGCAATGACTGGCACAACCTCAACCCCGGCAACACACACCTTCTCCTTCCACCCCCATCCCCATCCTCCCATTCCTTATCCTGGAGGGAGGGCGGGGTGAGTTCTGGGGGTCTGGGCAGTACACCTGACCTCTCAACCTGGAGTAATCCTTTAAACTGGATTTGTACCTCAATTGGATTATACTGCCTGTACACTACACTACTTATGTAGCCTTTGAAGGATTTCCCTTACCCCATTTGTGGTTAAATAGGAAAACAATTTAAATTGAGTTTTTCATCTTCTTTTGGATCAAGGACAGTAATAATGATGTTTGAAAGTCTCTGAAATAGATGGGTTTCTTTTTATATTTTTTTATTTTTTATTTTTGCACATATTAACAATCAACACCCTTAATGCTTTACAGCAATCAAGAACATGAATTTAAAGACTGCATAATGAATATTTTTTAGGATTCAAACGGTGCTAACATACCTCTTACAATTCACAGACTCCAGGATTGAATGAAAGCTTAATTTGGGCTCAAATTAATGTCATGCACAGAAGCTGTCTGATTCTGGCGTGGATGCTGTACCAATTATTTTGATGGAAAGTAGATGAATAAAAGCAGGGGGAAACAGTTTTAAAGGGACTGTCTGGACACAAGAACAACTTTATTACATTTAAAGGGACACAATAGTCACCTAAACAACTTTAGCTTAATAAAGCAGTTTTCGTGTATAGATCATGCCTCTGAAGTTGCTGGGTAAATTATCTGCCATTTAGGAGTTAAATCACTTTAGTTACTGCTTATGCAGCCCTAACCACACCTACCTGGTTGTGACTGACACAGCCAGCGTGAAAACAAAATGGTTTCATTTTCAGTCAAATGTAACTTATTTTAAAAGTTTTTATCACCTGCTCTCTTTATTGTCAGGGAGGTGTAACTAGGGTAAATTATAAAAGTGGCAATTTATAAACAATGTATAAATAAACCTTGTTTACACCCCCTGGCTGTCAGATAGCAGATCGTGTTACTTCCTGTTTGTTTACCTCAGTGGAGTTAAAGAGACATTGTAGGCACCCAGACCACTTCAGCTCATTGAAGTGGTCTTGGTGCAAACTCCCATCACCCATTACCATATGCGTGCGTACGGGGTGTGCCGGGTGTGCCTGGGCACTCCCTAATCCCTGCAGCACGCCTATGGATTGAGTCCTGCAGGAACGCGTGGGAACAGCGTTTCTGCACTTTTTTTTCCCGCTGTTCCTGCAGGCACTCCTGCCACCCCCAAATTCTCCCCTCCCCCCATGTTCTCCCTGTCATGTGGGGGGGCAAGAGGTGATGGAACCCCCCCCACGGGCACCTGTCTCCATATCAGACACAGTGAGGGAGCTGTGTCCTCTCTGCTCCCTCTAGCTGCGCGCCATTTGCTCCCAGGTACAATAGACCCCGGCGAGAGGGAGCAGAGAGGACACAGCCCCCTCACCGCGTCTGATATGGAGACCGGCGCCTGCCCCACTAAACCCCAGGGACAGGTCCACGCCAGCTCTCCTGGTAGGGAGGCTGGGTGGACATTTTTTAATTTAAAAAAATAATTTGTGAGTGTGTGTGTGTCTGTGAGTGTATTTGTGTGTGAGTGTGTATGTGTGTCAGTGTATGTGTGTGTATCTGTGAATGTATGTGTGTCTCTGTCTGCGTGTGTCTGTAAGTGTGTGTGTGTCTGAGTATATGTGTGTCTGTGAGTGTATGTGTGTGTGTCTGAGTATGTGTGTTAGTGTGTGTGCATGCATATATATATATATATGTGTATGCCTGTGTATGTGTGTCAGTGTGCACGCGTATATATATATCTTTCAATGTAGGGTAATAACTGCTTGATCCAAGGATAAATCTGACTGCCATTCTGGGGTCAAGAAGGAATTTTTTTCCTAGCTAGTTGCAAAATTGTCCTTCAAACTGGGTTTTTTTGCCTTCTTTTGGATCAACAGCAAAAAACAAATGTGAGGTAGGCTGAACTTGATGGACGCAAGTCTCTTTTCAGCTATGTAACTATGTAACTATATATATATATACACAAGTGTATATTATTTTTTTGAGGGGATGGGAATCTTGGGAGAGTTCCCACACTTTATTCCCCAGGACTTGACCCCTGCCGGCAGGGGAGATCTCCGGATCTCCCCTGTCGGCTCATGCAGAGCCGGCGCTATCTGAGTGCCGGCTCTGCTCTAAGCCTCCATGGGCCAGTGGGGAGATCAAAGATCTACCTCACCGGCCCCCAGCAGCAAGGAGGAAGGCAGGAGAGGACCCGCGGAGCTCTAGACAGCAACTCTGCCAGGTTCCTCTCGCGAGATCTGAGCGTTGCCACGCAGGCTAGAGTTCACTCTCCACTGGACCACCAGGGATGGCACATGGCAGCAAGGATCCCCCAAACAGCACCCTCACACACAGAACACAAACAGCACCCTCACACACACAGCACCCTCACACACAAACAGCACCCTCACACACACAACACCCTCACACAGCACACTAACAGGACCCTAACAAACACAAACACCCTCACACAGAGCACACTACCAGCACCCTCACACACAAACAGCATCCTCACACACAGCACACTAACAGCACCCTCACAAACACACACACACACACAAACACCCTCACCCACATAGCACACTACCAGCACCCTCACACACACATCACACTAACAGCACCCTCACACACACATCACACTAACAGCACCCTCACACACACATCACACTAACAGCACCCTCACACACACACACACACACACACACACACAGCACCCTCACACCACCCTCATACAGCACACTAACAGCACACACACAGCAGTGTATGTATGTGTGTGTGTGTGTATATATATATATATACATACATTTACATGCGGCGTGTGTTTGTGCTTTAGGGTACACACCCTAATGCGATAGGCTGCGCACGCCTATGCCCTTAACCCTGAGCATGTAGTTATTGCAGTTTTCATAAACTGCAATAATTACTTGCTAGGGTTAACTCCTCCTCTAGTGGCTGTCTACCAGACAACCACTAGAGGGACTTCTGGGTGACTAGGCAACTCTTGGTCGCGTAAATGACGCTGGACGTCCTCACGCTATGCATGAGGACTTCCAGCGTCACCGTAATCCCTACAGGAAAGCATTGAATAATGCTTTTCTATGGGGAAATCCTAATGCGAGCGCAGCAATTGCCATGCATGCGCATTAGGTCTCCCCTGCCAGCTGTCGTCAGCGGGAGAGGAGCATGGGCGGAGCTGTGTCAGTGCCAAGGGACATCGGCACTGGACCAGGTAAGTGACAGAAAGGGGGGGGCGGGGAGCTTGACAGAGGAAGAAGCTTTAGTGCCAGGAAAACGAGGCAGCAATTGCACAGAGAACCTGCTTTGCAAAGGCCTGTCATTGAGCTGCATTTGGAAATCTGTGATTGGACAGCCACATAAAGTCTGGGTGGGGTAAGAAGGGGAGGGTTTGCAAAGGCTTCAGGCAGTGGCATACACATAATCCATAGGGCCCTGGTGCGAAACTGATCCATAGCCCCCCCCTCTTCCCTCCCCTTCTCCCCTCCTCTCTCTTCCCATCCTCTCCCCCCCGACAGACACACGCACACATACATACATACAGACACATACACACATACAGACACACACACATAGACACATACAGACAGACAGATACATACAGACACATACACATAAGACACACATACATACACACAGACAGGCACACATACATACATACATACAGACACACACACACACACACACATACGTACAACCCGACACACACACATACACAGACAGACACACAAAAGACACACATACATACAAACAGACAGGCACACATACATACATACATACATACAGATAGACACATACATACAGACAGACGCACACACAAGACACACATACATACAAAGACACATACATACTTACATACAAACAGAGAGGCACACATACAGACAGACACACACACACACACAGACACATACATACAGACAGACACACACATACATACATAGACACACACACATACAGACAGATACATGCTGACACATACACACATACATACACACAGACAGACAGACACACAAGACAGATATACATACAAACAGATAGGGCACACATACATAAATTCAGACACACACAGACACATACATAAAAAAACGATGCACACACACAGAGAGACACACAGACATATACATATATACAGACAGGCACACATACATACAGACACACACATACACACACACAGACAGACACACACACATTGATAAAATGTTTAAGTCACCCTCCTGTTTCCTACCTTTTAGGTGCAGGAGTGTGACTTTCCCTGGGGTGCCGTGGTGGCTCAGGTTGATGGGAGTCAGAGTTTCCACTCTGACTCCCTCTCCTTCCTCCCGCGCGGGCTCTCTCTGATAGCTGGGAGGAGTAACCGGGGCAGTCACTTCCTCCCAGCGTGTGATCTCAACACAGGGGGCCTGGTCGCGCTGTTCGGGCCCCCTCAAAATCCATACCCATTGGGTGGCCTTATCAACACATGCGACCCGATGGACCCCTTGAACGGTGGTTTGCCGTGTGGGCCGGGGTCGCAAAACATGCCGGCGGGCACCCAGTCGCAGCTGCGACTCCCTATATGCACACCAGTGGTTTCAGACAAGAAAACTGCAGCTTTCACATGCTATTTTTAAACATAGCTTAAATTAAAAAATGCATAATTAAGTGCATGCAAGTTTTCATTTGGGGGTATGTATACTAAATAGTGATGTTGAGTAGTAAAGTGTCCCTTTATATTTCAAACTGTTAACATCAAAATGGCTACTTAAACCAGACTTGAGTACAAGACGCACCTGATTAAGTGTAAGAAAAATGACTAAAGTAGATGAGAATAAAGAGGACCAAGAGAGATCCTGGAAATCAGCAGTTACAGGGATGCCGTATAGCTAAGGGTCATAAAAAGATCACCTCTCTTCAGAATAAGCTATTTTTAGAGAGAGTGACATTACAGCTCCCTTGTTTTATTGCAAGAGGGATTTGACTTATTAAAGGTCACTGTACCTTTGCAATCTAGAATGTATCACAGCTTGGGTTGTTTTCACAATTCACACACCTGACTACTACGCAGTCTGTAACGTGATTTTCACAGAATAGCAGTCAGCTCGAAAACTTCTCATCACTGCTTTTAGCTCCCTGCGTTTTGAAATGAAATCCTTACTGAATAGCCAGAAATGGCTTCAGCAATTCAAAGCATGATTTTGTCAGGGGACATCCCTACAAATCGTGCCTGAATATTGGTTTTCATAAATCAAATAAATTAACCTTTTGAAAATGTTGCTAAATATCCCATGATATTCCAATTTTACATATAAAAAAGAATAATGGCAGATAGTACATCAGTTAAAGGCACCCAAGCCCCAAATATTTTGGTGATTATATATATCTATATATATATATATATATAAAGAGGAGACCTTGGCACTCACCCTTACTGTTTCCAAAAGATAATCAATCCTTGCCTGGGTGCAATCCTCAGCGTTTATCATATAGCAAAAATCAATATATAAGGAGCACTCACAGGTCTTCATCCAAAATCTAATTTATTCTTTAGTGCAAATTACATGTGCAAATCTTAAGCAATCGACGTTTCAACAGTCACAGGATCTTGAAGAAGACCCTGTGAGGGTCGAAACGTCGATTGCTTAAGATTTGCACATGTAATTTCCACTAAAGAATAAATTAGATTTTGGATGAAGACCTGTGAGTGCTCCTTATACATTGATTTTTGCTATATATATATATATATATATATATATACGTTCATTTATATATTCAGAATATCCATGAATTCCTAGTTACTTTCACCAATTTACAAAAAATATATATATATATTTTATTTACAATGGTATGTTTGGGAAGATATCCCCTTATTCTAAAGTTATTGTCATTTGATAGATGATAGCTGATGATTGATTACGATGTGTGATCGTTTAAAAAAATCTACAAGACTCAAAAATATTGTCCAGTTTCCAGGCAGACCACTTTGAGAATGACTCAGAAGGATGCTAGTATGAAATGTCTTAATTCCATTTAAAGTCCAACAATATAAATTATTGTAATTTTTTTTTGGGGGGTGGGTGGAGGGCAGTAGAAATGGTATATGTCATAAAATAATATATTTTTTAAAGTAGTTTCTTTTTCACACTGATATTGTTCAAATCCATTGAAATAGATTTTAAGAAAGGTTGTTCAACTCCTGTATGATTATATTGCCATAGATTTTGATTAATCAGCAGCATATTTTTATAATGCATTTTCTATTAGTCATTTTTCTTGTGATGTATTGTGTATGTGACATTGGTAACCCAACTGGGTGACGCATCTATTTTAAACCCTCCCCCGCCCCATAAATACACGCAGAATGAAAGGTATAAATTAAGTTTTTGTCTTGGTTTAGCGGGCTGGTTCATGGATTGTGGGATAAAACTTACCAGGAAAGGTTAAAGGATCTTAACATGTATAGCTTGGAGGAAAGACGAGACAGGGGGGATATGATAGAAACATTTAAATATATAAAGGGAATCAACACAGTAAAGGAGGAGACTATATTTAAAAGAAGAAAAACTACCACAACAAGAGGACATAGTCTTAAATTAGAGGGACAAAGGTTTAAAAATAATATCAGGAAGTATTACTTTACTGAGAGGGTAGTGGATGCATGGAATAGCCTTCCAGCTGAAGTGGTAGAGGTTAACACAGTAAAGGAGTTTAAGCATGCGTGGGATAGGCATAAGGCTATCCTAACTATAAGATAAGGCTAGGGACTAATGAAAGTATTTAGAAAATTGGGCAGACTAGATGGGCCGAATGGTTCTTATCTGCCGTCACTTTCTATGTTTCTATATAAACACATGCAATTAGTAAAAAAAACAAGAAAAAACTATTTTACAATAGTTATCTAAATGAATATTAAATGATGTTAATATAATTGAGCTAAAAGTTAAGTCGAATGATAAAACATTTTACGGCTGAGTTCGTTTGACTCCTATGTACATAAACATCACTTAACGTGCTATATTTCCACTTACCGTTCTGGAGGGGAAAAGCAGGAAAATCAGTGAAATTTGTCCCCACATGCCTTTCAATGGGAGCATAAGAAGCAACATATTAGGATATCTCATCCTTTAACACACAGCTCCTTCCTCTGGCGGACTCCGATGCTGAGAGCTCAGCACTTGTTGCTTTTCCTGAAAACGTTGAATTTTTATTTATTTTTTTGTCTATATTTTCTCCAATTTCCTCATTATTATGACAAACTGAGAAGTTCCTACAGGCAGAATGCAAATCCAAATTATCTCCCAATTTATCACTGGTTCATTCTATTTCCAATGAGTTTCAGAGTAGTGTTCGAGAAGTTACAGTGTATCTGGTAATAGATAATCCATGATTAGTAATATCTGATCAATAATGCTCGAGATATCATTTGATACAATAAAGCTGCTCCTGTTAGTATTTGATGCAGCAGTTCAGCATCTGTTCTCTCCCATAGAATGTTGGTACTAATATATCGGAAGCACAGGTTCATTGTATCAACCTCCTCTTTCTGTGTACAGTTTCTCTCCTCCCTCCCCTCTCTGTTAATTCCTTTCCTTTCTCCCTTGGCTCAGTTACTGCATCACCAGCTATTTTTATGAGCTGAGAATCACGATATAAAGGAATTTAGAAGAGGCAATCCACCATTTATTTATCAATATGGACTCTCGGCCATGGACATATTTGCACAGTGCTGACAATATATGGAAAATGTATCTGAAAATTCTTCCATTAGATAATAAAGGACAATTTTGCCATACCTGTATGTAATAGGTGAATCAATCAGTTTTGATTAGCTATATATGTCCATTTTTCCTAAGGTTTACATTATTATTATTATTATTATTATGTTATTATTTATATAGCGCCAACAAATTCCGCAGCGCTTTACAGTGGGTGGACGAACAAACATGTAGTTGTAACCAGACAAGTTGGACACACAGGAACAGAGGGGTTGAGGGCCCTGCTCAATGAGCTTACATGCTAGAGGGAGTGGGGTGAAGTGACACAAAAGGTAAGGATAGTATTAGACTAATGACAGTTGCAAGAGAGGAATATATGACCCATTTACCATTTACATGACCCATTTTAACACCATGTTCAACACCTTTTTAAACTTACTTTATCTCTGTCTTTAAGGGACACTATTGGCACCCAGACCACTTCAACTCATTGAAGTGGTGTGGGTGCAATGTCCAAAGTTCTTTAACCCTACAGTGGTAATTATTGCACTTTCTGAGAAACTGCAATAATTAATTGAATTAACTCCACCTTTAGTGACTGTCTACCAGATAGCTACTAGAGGGACTTCCGGAAATGAAACGGACCTTAGGTCCGTTATCTGACGGCGGATGTCCTCACCTCCAGCGTCAGATTTTTCCCAACAGGAAAGCATTGAATAAGGGAGGAGAGTGGGTGGAGCCTGACCCAACATCAATTTCAGGTAAGTGTCTGACTGTATTTTAACCCCTTCAGCACCGCAGGAGGGGGGGCGCCAGGAAGGAGAGCAATCAAGGAGCCTATAGTGCCAGGAAAATGGGTTTGTTTTCCTGGCACTACAGAATCCCTTTAAGCACCTATAAAAAAAAATGTCTGCTGTACATGAATAGTACCAAAAGATATTAATAAAATATCTAATTGCTACATTCAAAAAAGCATCAGTAGCATTACAAATAATTACAATAATATATTAATAATTAATAATTACAATAATATATTAAATCAGTAAAAATGATATCAAATTTTCATATTACCATCTATATATAAGGAACAGAGAAATAGTTGCTGTTTTGGAGTCCAGAGATATTTTTTTGTTCTTATTTTGAGCCCAAATTAGAGATAGTTTCTTCATCTACTTTTGGCTCATCAGCAGAAACAGAGATGGCTGAAAGGTTATAGGGGAACCCTGCCTTCTGTGTAATTTATACCATTGACTAAAACATTAAGAGTTACAAATACCTCGTGTAAATGTTGTTGTTTATTCATGAGGAGTTTTGTTTTCTTTTATTTTTTTATTAAAGAGTTACCAAGTGGCATCTTAATGCAGTTCAGACAAGGCAATTACAAGTGAGAAGAAGAAATAGAAACATTGTTTAATTTCTCCTCTTCTATGTAGGATTCCCTATGTTGACACAGAGCAGAGTTTATGTAGGATTCCCTATGCTGACACAGAGCAGAGTTTATGTAGGATTCCCTATGCTGACACAGAGCAGAGTTTATGTAGGATTCCCTATGCTGACACAGAGCAGAGTTTATGTAGGATTCCCTATGCTGACACAGAGCAGAGTTTATAACAAGATGGAGGCTCCCAGTTGCAGGATAAAAACTTGTGAAGTTCTACATTGAATTTTATTTTTCACACCTCACAAATACATATTTGTTAAATATAGGGATAGCTAAACATAGTATCAAAAAAACCTGGAAAGTCACAGTTCCCCTTTAAATGTAAAATACTTGAATCTATTTCTGCCTATATATCTATGTAGCAAGGAAGACAATCTGTCAGACAAGTGAAAATGTTAGTTCATCTAATGCATACTAATGGGTTGGTTAGTGACTTTTATAGCACTGCCCAGGTCAATTTAATACTGGGTTTCGAAAACGTGAATATTTGTCCAGACCCAAGACCATGTGTCTGCTGACCTTTGTAAATTTTTCAACAATATTGTAAATGCATTTTTTTTTCTAATATGCAGATAAGTGTGCAGATAATTCAGTCATAGCCCACACATGTTAGAAATTCAGAATAATTACACCAGCTAAATAATCATAGCTACTAAAGGGGTAGAAATCAAAGAACATTTGTAAGCTTAAAGGAACTCTAAAGTCACCCACTGCACTCGCTCATCCAGCCTGAGTGCAGTGGTTCTGTCAATTTAACCATTCAAAGTAAAACATTGCTGTTTTGCAGCATCAATGTTTACCTTAAAGGGTTGAACACACCTCCACCGACTGTCAGGTTGACAGCCACTGCTCTATTGAGTGAGTAAAACATGATGAGGAAGGACCCACAACAAAACATTGATTCAATGAGCTGCACAACAGGTCCAATAGATTGGGCAATTGGACCAGGTCAATCGGATTGGACTATGATGCTGCAAGAGGTAAGCAGAGCCATGGGCGCTTCGGTGTTGGAGAGGTGAGTAAAACTCCTGAATGTATTATTTTTATAAGACACACAAAAAGTATATACCAAGGACACAGAGCATCCGGAATAATAGTTTGTGTTTCTTTAAACCGTACTAACAACCAATATACTAAGGCGTATACAGTATTGATTCCTCTGATTGTCGAGAAATAAAATATAAGAGATACAAAGTTTATTAACCAGATGTAAAGCTCAATGGTCACTAAATATTTTATGGTCTCATAAGGTTGTGTGATCCAATATCCTTAGTTTTCCACTAGTTAACTGTTAGGCGGGTGCTAGACTGGTACACAGAGTGACATATCTGTCAGGCAGGGAGCTAAATTATGTGTATATCATTAGCTTGGCATGAATTAAAGTTAGATCAACTTTTCCAAGTTTTATATATAAAATGAGTTCAACAAAATAAACACCCTAATTTAAGGGACACTCAAAGCAACAAAACAACTTCAGCTCAGTTAAGCAATTTTGGTGTATAGATCATGCCCCTACATTCTCTGTACTCAATATTTGCCATTTACAAGTTAAATCACTTTCTTTATGCAACTTTAGTCACATCTCCCCAGGCATTATTTTCACACTTCCTTGCCAGGCATTATTTTCACACTTCCTTGCCAGTTTTAGAAACATAGAATGTGACAGCAGATAAGAACCATTCGGCCCATCTAGTCTGCCCAATTTTCTAAATACTTTCATTAGTCCCTGGCCTTATCTTATAGCTAGGATATACACTTCCTGGAAAGAGAGTCTACATTTCGTATCTTCCCTTAGTGCAGTGTGTTTAATTTAGAATTTCTTATCGTCTGGTCTGTTAATACAGTAGACTCATGTGTGCGATTCAATTTCCATTAAGAGTGCAGGACATGAGAACCTCTAAAGTAACACACTGTGCTATAAGAGCTGATTGAAAATAAACCCTTTTTTTTTTATGCAGACTCTGCGAGTCACAGCCAGGGAGATATGGCCGACGAAACAGAAACAATAATCATTTATCTCCTACATGGCAGAGAATCTATACACTAATAACACTTCATTAAGCTAAATTTATTGTGGTGTAAAGGGAACACAGATTTTCATTTTCTGGGTCCTGATGATTAAGATGTGGTTTTTGCAATCATTGGGACTCACTAAAATTGCATGGATACCCAACTGTAGATAATGAGTTAAGAACAGTTACTTACATTCATTTATAATCCAGGAATGATTTTCATCTTCGAGAGAAACGCAATTCTCTGCCACAGCTCTTTTATGAACCACTGAATCTTTGCAAATGGTACTAAAAATGGCAACCCTCCACCCACAGAAGAGAAAATTGGCACTGTGTATAGGAGGGAAAATTACAGACAAAACAAAACATTATTGCTGTATTCTAAGAGGTAGGGACAGTGATATATGTACCGTGATACCGTGAGGCTAACAAAGCATTTACCTTGAGCGGCACTTTGCAGGGAGCGGCAAAAAAAAGTCGCCCCCAAATGCCCAGGTGGATGCCTTGTTAGCCTTGTGTACTGGGGGGCCCAAGAGCTGGCTGGCCACCTTTGGGCCCCCCCTATGGCGGGCGTTAGCTTGCATTGCTGGCGTGCGGCGAGGGAGTGCTGTAGTCTGAGCTCTTACTGCTCAGCTCCCTCGTGTGCCACTTAGTGATCCTGGGGGCCTAAGCAGCGCGCTCCCCCAGGCGAGCTAGGTGGATTTAAATTAAAAAGTAAAAAAATAATAACAATTTGTGAGTGTTGGGGGAAATCTGTATGAGTGTGTTTCTGTGCGTGAGTGAGTGTGTGTGTGTGTGTGTGTCTGTCTGTCTGTCTGTCAGTTAATGTGTGTGTGTGTGTGTGTGTCTGTGAGTGAGTGTGTGTGTGTGTGTGTGTCTGTGAGTGAGTGAGTGTGTGTGTCTGTCAATGAGTGTGTGTCTGTCAGAGTGTGTCAAATAAGTGAGTGTGTATCTTTCAATGAGTGTGTATCTGTCAGTAAGTGTGTGCGTCTGTCAGTAAGTGTGTGTCTGAGTAATAGTGTGTCTGTCAGAGTGTGTCAGATCAGTGAGTGTGTGTGTCTGTCAGTGAGTGCATGTGTCTGTCAGAAAGTGTGTGTGTGTATCTGTCAGGGAGTGTGTGCGCCTGTTAGTGAATGTGTGTGCCTGTCAGTGAGTGCATGTGTGAGTAATAGTGTGTGTCTGTCAGAGTGTGTCAGAGTGTATGTATACTGTCTGTCAATGTCAATGTGTGTGTGTGTGTATGTGTCTGTCAGTGTGTGTCTGAGTAATAGTGTGTGTATGTAAGTTTGTTAAATCAGTGAGTGTGTGTGTATGTCATTGTATGTCAGTGTATCTGAGACTGTGTCTGTCAGTAAGTGTGTGTGTCAGTGAAAGTGTGTGTTGGTTAAACAGTGTGTGTACCAATGACTATATTTTTCAGTGAGTGTATGCCAGTGCATGCATCAGTGAGAAAGTGTCTGTCAGTCAAAGTGCAGGTGGCCTTGACAGGAAGTGGTGGGGCAAATTTAAATTTGGAGGGTGGGGGTGCCCGAGTTTCGTCCTGCCTAGGGCAGCACAAATCCAAAATACACCACTGGGTAGGGGATAGAACGCAAAGTAAAACAACGCAGGTTGCTATGATACTTTTCAAATCCCTGTATTTTATAAACAGATAATTTAACTGAACACGAGGTCTTTGGAAAGTACACTCATATTTGCTTAAATACATGCATTATTTTCACACTTCCTTGCCAGTTTTAGAAAACATAGAAATATGGAATGTGACGGAAGATAAGAAGCATTCGGGCAATCTAGTCTGCCCAATTTTCTAAATACTTTCATTAGTCCCTGGCCTTATCTTATAGCTAGGATAGCCTTATGCATTTCCCACGAATTTAGGAAACTATACTGCTAAGAAAGAATCCTTGCTATTTACACAAAGGAATTTCACAATTTTCATTAATTTATTTTTGTCATATCTACTGTATGTGAGAAACAAATGTGTTGCTAATGTGTATGCTAATATTTTAGGCTATGTGAAATATGTCTTGTATACTATTTAAAACATTTAATCCCTTCAATATTGCTGTAAAGGATGAACAGACAACAATCTATCACCTGTTTAAATTTGCATAATTTGATTTGTTCTGCATCTCTGAACAGAAATCTATATACAAAATTGCTGTTTTAGCGTTCATTTATGTGATTGCTAGTTATCACATTTTTGCGCTTATATATTTACATTGTAAACTCACAAGATATTCTGCTAAGCACTTTGTACAAAAGCAATGTATTTGCTAGATTGTAAGCTCACGGGCAAGGTCCCTGCTCCTTTTGTATCAGTATGTGTCCATTATTTGCTAATATTCCCTTTATTGTACAGCGCTGCAAAATATATTGTCGCTATATACCTGCAAAATAATAGTAATATATTTACAATACTCATTTATTTATTATATTAATAATAATAATATATTTAAAATAAAAAGTGCCAGAAAATGATTAAAAGCAATACACAAAAAAACGACCAATTCAAAAAAAATGAAAAATAACAAAAGTTAGTCATCTTTACAAGAAGTCCCAGGCTTTAAATCTCAGGTTCTGCAGGGAGAACTGCCCTAACCCTAAAGGTAGACTTGTACATTCGGTTTCAAATGAATTTAAATTCATCAGGATTTTGGATGATCGGAAATCCTAAGCGACATATGGATGTATCGTGAAGCAAATTACACAGGTTTGTGTAATACGTGATTCGAAGTTCTGTCCGTGGCGGAAAAAAAAACCAAGATGATTGATGGTTAAGTAAAGAAAGAAGGAAAAAAATTAATAAATCAGGGTTCAGCAAGAACAAACGCTTAAAATACGCACATGATCAAAGTAACCGAACACTCAAAATCGTGAATATTTACCAAAATTAGAGTAGTAAAAAGGGATTATATTCAATCAAAATTCAATCGTAATTCGGTTGACCAAATTCCAACCGGAATTAGCTTCATTAAAAGGGCGTGAAAATTAGCCACCTACTGTACTGCAAAATATATATATGTATAAATAGTATGTAAATATTTTGCAGTAGAATGTTAGGCTAATATTTTGTACCCTTTTGGTTAATCCGAATAAATTTTCCTTAACCATATCCTTGGACAATATTTGTACGATTTGATCCACCGTGTCGAAATTCAGTCCCCCAAACTAAAAAAGTGATTTCACCCAGATTGATTCAGCCAAAACAAGTCTGTACCCAGTTATAAGCCAATCAGGGTGTTCTGTTTCTATTGCAAGTGCTGATTTAATCCCAAAACTTTTGCACAGTAGAGATTTATGGGTAAAACAGAGGTTTCTGTGAATTGTAGTTCATTTAGTAACCACCGCTTAGAAAAGCTGAACTACAAAAGTTGAACTACAACTTCCAGAAACTTTTGTTCTGCTTCCCGATGACATAAAACTGTTATTTTGGCAGGTTAGGATGGAAGCACATAAATTGGGTGCTTTTAGAGCAGACGTATATGTTGTCTGATTGGCTGAGCTACTGCTGCCAGGTTGCCTCCCTATAGTTTAACTGTTCGTCTTGTAGTTACTGTCAATGCTGTATGTGCATGCGCTGTGACACCACGTATTGCAATACTCTAACCAGCAAAAAGGAAGTATTGTCAAACTAGGAGGTGGGACAGAGAAGATGAAGAATTCTGCGTCTACCCGTTCTCAAAAACTATACAAAACCTGGCATACAAAGATTACTGCAACTCTTCTTGGCTATACAAGCTATAAAATGCACAAATGTTGTGTTGGTTCCTTTGATACCCCTTTAAAGAGGAACTGTCACTTTCTATTTTTATTTTTGTATTTTTTATTAATTCTTTGTAGTTTATTTTACTTTGTTTTACATGTTTTTCCAAGTACACATATTTTATTAATTAAGTATCGTTGTAATATACACACAGCAAGTACGTCTACAAGGCGCTGTTGGGGAAAGTACCAAGCACACACTCAGGTATTTGAAATTTACCTGTTAGTTACCCAAGAGCACACAATTGCGCCCGAGGAATCATGATGTGGCAACAGCAATGCAACAGTAAAATGCAGATAAGTCTTTTTTATACTTATCTCCGCTGTGTTATTCTCCTGAGTAATAATGTGAAATAGTGTTGGGGTGTAGAAACAAAAAAGTGTCTCTTTTCTTAAAAAAAATTAAAAAAAAAAATTCTCTGTATCAAAATAACAACCTCAACCAGTAACTATAAAAACGGGATTTGAGATTTTTTTTTTAAAATAAATTACCTTGTAACAACATTCATCAGGAAATGTTGAACGTCTAACAGACTCTAATACTCAAGGCATGTGCAACATTTTCCTAACAGAAAATATCTGTAAAGAGCACATATACATAACACAGCCACGTTCGGTGACTCATTCGCTAAAAATAATGAATGAGTACAACATACACAGGTAGATGGGAGCTGCAGGCCCTATGGGCACAGAACAATTTGTCTTCTGTAATAAAATCGAAAGGGCTTGTGGCTACCCGGGAATTCAGTAATTAGGGGGTAGGGAGAAAGGCAGGATATTTCCTTTCTTTATTTTGGTTGTGCATTTGTGAAAGTTACAGGTAAGCTTTCTGTAAGTCACATCATCATGAACAAGCATCAATGCAATGATGAGGAACATGCACATTTTTTATATTTTATGTTTAAACAAGCTTTAGCCGTTTAAGAGCATCTGAAGAAAGTTGCAATTTAGGGGAGTTTGTTAGATAAGGAGAGACTCCTAGGCATTTGTTTTTTTTAGCGTTTTCAGGTTAGTTCCCACTGGCCAAAACAAACGAGTACCCCTGATTATTAATGTTAGCAGGGCTTGTTAAGTTTAAACGTTAATTACATAGGAGTTAACACTCGAGAGCCTGCTTAATTGTGCAATGTAGGTACGTTAAGATTGACCTGTAGTCAGATCTAGTGATTATTCACAATACCACAATGTTCCGGGAGTGAGACCAGGTTTAGAGGCTCAGGTGATATTGTGAGCACAAGCGGTGGGCTAACAACAAGAAAGTGGGACACATAAAAGAGGCGTTAACTTTAGATGATTTTGCAGGTAATCAGTTACAGGCCTCTCAGGTTAAGTCTGCCTCTGTATACTGCGGGGAAATATTCTGCACACAGTCATCACTAGATTGCCATATATGTTAAAAAATAAAAACAATAAGTAAATAAAGGCAGACAACAGTGGGTTGCTGATGAGGGTGTCACTGGTGGGTGGTCTGCTGTCCCGCTTTACTGAAACTAACTGTAAGATTTGCGTCCAACAAAAGTGTGACTTAAGTGAGACTTCGCTCATCATCCTGTACCGTGACATGGATCATCTGATTCCCACGCTCGCCATTTGTGTCTCCCTGCATATTGACAGGTGAGTGTCAGTGAGGCTGGCTTTGCATATGATGTGTACTTACGGCTATGAGGCTAAAGCAGAGCAACAGATAGAGAACATATATGAAATCAGGGAACACGTTGTTCTTTCGCCATGGGTTGAGTCTACAGCTGTCAGGGTTTAGACATGTCCATAGTGTAGGCAAGGCCTATAAGTGTCCCAGTGGAATCCAGAGTGTGTGTGTTGGGCTCCTGTAACCGGTTTAAGGTAGTCTTCTAGCCGATTCCGGATCTCAGTGCCTGGAGCCCGGTCCCGGGTATCAACAGTGGCCGCTTGTTTTGACCTGGGTGGTTACTGTGTGTTTGGAAGGTTAGCGGCTCTCCCCATCTTTGCTCAGATGCAGAGCTCCTGCTCGTGTGGTTGTCTGTGGGTGGGGGATGGTTCCCTCTGCAGTGCCATTTCTGTGCTCTCTGCGGTCGTGGGGTACTGTGACGATTTTCAGGCGCCTTAAAAGCCCTTGCCTTGATTCGGGGTATGTCCTGTTTGCATGTCGGAGGGATAGGAGTCTCCTGTTTTGCCGCCATCTCGGGGCCTTCTTCCATGCCGGAGCGGTGATTGTCCGCCTTGGTGGTGCGATCAGCCGTGGAGGTGAGTGTGCATGTGGTTGTGCTGGGACGGTCTGATGCCTCCTGTCCTCCAGCTTCTTCCAGAATTCGCTGAGTACTTTGTCACGCCTGTATTCCAGGTCTGTCCGTTCAGCTGTGAAGCCAGGATGCCTCGTGGCTGCCGCCATGTTTAGTGAGGCTCTTGCTGTCTCTGTGGGTTCAACGGTTACTCTCCGTGTTTCCCTCAGGTAGCCAGAGCTTCTCAGAGGTGGGCCGGGATGACCCCCGCCGGCCCAGAGGGGGGTAGCAGGGCACTTGGGTAGTATGTAGGGTAGTCGGCTGCCGCCGGGCAGGAAGGTCGGCCGCCTCTTCCATCTCCGGTTTACACCAGGCCACCCTCATAAATCTGCGTCTGGAGTGCTCCATGCATCTGCTGTCAGCAGTCCCGAGCCGTATAGTCAGTGCTGGGTGCCTGTTACGCTCGATTTGTCTCAGAGTAAACCCTGGTAATGCATGTTTTTAGGCTTAAATTGAATTTTGCTCGAGGAGCCTGCTGAAAACGCGTCCAGGCGCCATGACAGTCAGGCCCCGCCCCGATATTTCCTAATCTTTAATATTAAAAAAATAATGCAAATGAAAATAATGTGACGATCAACATAGAAAAAAAAAAAGGAAAATAAGACAACACTGGCCCACTGCCAGATATATATATATATATATATTTTTTATTTTATTTTTTTTAATTTATTTTTTACCCCCAAATAATTTATGAATATTTTTTCATTTAATAAAATGGTAGAGTTTAAAAATAAAAATTAATTATATGTTTTTAAAAACATATGGATTTAAAAAAATTTTTTAATGTATAGCTAGCAGAGCAACCATATTAGATCAGAATCTGCTGTTATCTGACCAACTGCTGCTCAACCTAACCTGCCTGCTACTGCGTGAAACTGCAGCAACATGTAAGTTAGGTTGAGCAGCAGTTGGTCAGATAACGGTAGAATCTGATACAATCAGTTAAAAAGTAAAATCTCAGCCACTAAGAAGCACTGTATGGTTTAGCTCAGGAGAGCTAATGTAGGAACTCCTTGTAGGAATTCCATCGGAAGAGAAGGAATTCCTACAAGCTGTAGTGGTTATGATGCTTAAGATTTTCCATTAAACACCTCCATTCTATGTCTCCTTGAGATATCAAATGTGATCATGTAATAATAATACTAATCATAATAATTATTATATCAGAGTATTTAATGCAGCAGGATACAGCTAGTTCCACTAGTTTCCAGGAACTTCCTTGGATCTATAAATTAAAAAAATAATTATCTTAGTTATGTGGGTGTTGATTAGGTAGTAAATTAATTATATAATTAGTTTGCTAGTGATTTGAGTAAGAAATGAACAAATTGAAAAACTTTAAATAACCATTTTAGCTTAATAGAAGTTAGAGATCAAAAAACCCAAACCAGGGACGGTGGCTTTTCATTGTTCTTTTATTCTAAATTCGAAGCACTGATCTCACCACTCCAATGAGAATTTTTTTCAGATATCACTTAGAAAAAAGAGTTTACGGAAGAGGTGTTAAGGGCCTTGATTTTTCCAATTCTTAAGCCTGAAAAGGACCCAAGTAGGATACCTTATGATAGACCTATATCTCTCATAAATATAGATGTAAAAAAACAATTTTTTTGAAAATGTTGGCAGAAAGACTTAAATCCACCCTTCCAGGGATTATCCATCAAGATCAGTCTGGGTTAGTTCAAAGCAGAAGCGCTAGGGATAATAATATACGGAGGACATGTAATCTCATACATAATATTAATATCCATCATGCAGGTTTAGTTTTAATGGCCGAGTGAGTTGGAGATTCTTGGAGGTTGTTTGGAATCATTTGGTATATTTGGTCTATCTCAAGATACTTATACAGCCATATACTCTAATCCACAAGCAAAAATATGATGGAATCTTTGTGTTTAGCATGAAGAATGGTACATGCCAGGGATGTCCACTTACTCCTTTGCTGTACATTCTGATGGTTCAACCATTGGCCATTTTGATTAGACAATTTTTTGATGTACATGGTGTACAGTGAACCCTCGGTTTCCTAAAATAGTTATGTATGCAGACAACGTTCTCCTGACCTTGATGGACCCAGTACACTCAACACCTATAGTTCATGAATTAATTAAAAAATTAAGTACATTTTCAAATTATAATATTCATGTAAATAAGAAACAAATTCTGTTCGTATTTATGAGAGCAGAAGAAATAGAAAAACCTTGGGATGCCTACCATTTTAATTGGTGTAAAAGTCCAATAGAGTCCTTGGGAATGAAGCTTACAATGAAAATGGGTGAAATGATTCAAGCAAACTATCTACTTTTGTTAACAGAATTTAAGAAAAAAGCCAACAATTTCAAAAGGTCTTGAATTATCCTGGCTTGGCCGAGTTAACACAGTTAATTTATACCTAATTCCTAAACATACCTATATTTTGAGTACCACTCCTCTCAGAGTTTATAACTATATATTAAGTCAATATCAAAGAATAATATTCAACTTTTTATGGGGTGAGGTAAGAAACCCAGGATCAATCAAAATATTCTTAAAAAGAAGGTCTCCACAGAGGGAAGTCTCTTATCCTGTTTTTTACTTACATAATGCATTTTGATCTTGCACCTTTTAGCTTGGAATCATTTTTTCTCAAATTGGAATGTTCCATGTCGGAATGTTGAGCCTCCTCTTTTGTTATGGGTCAGTAGGGATATAATAATGAAATGGATATAACTAATCCCATGATTAAAGATTCCAATAAAATTCCACATAAAAGATAGCAAATTACATTTTAGGGGTTAACAGGTCCTCAAAGATATTAGCTTGAAAGGTTGTATGAAAAGTAAATTATTTGTAAGACTATAAATGTAATTATTTGTCCAATAGATGGAGTGTTCCCCCACCCCAACCCACCCCACGCAGAGCCGGATTAAGAGCCCATTGGATCTGGTGATGACAATTATTATGGGCATAATTACAGAGTATTATCAACAGAAAACACTAAAACAATTATACCACCCAAGCGTCTATCTGGTTGATGGACATGGTCCTGGAGGGAAACTCACAGGATATAACTATCAGAAAACACATACACTATGCTAATCTCTTACTTTCAATCTCTTTAATCTTTCAAGTAAATACATACCCCCTAACAGCAGTATCTGGTGAAGCAGGATATCGGTGTGCGGGGTAGAAGGGTAAAAGGGTGGGCCACTGATGAGAATCACGTAACCAGAACCAACCAAAGGGACAAACATGCCCAAAAAGGCAGCATGTCTGCACAAATAATTAGATGGACAGCCCAGCAACCAAGGGCATACTGTGCAGACAGCACCCCTGAGCTTGGCATAATTGCGTCTAATGATGCACTCGTTCCACACTTTCTAAGGACTGTCCCCGTGCACTCACTTGTCCACTCCTCTCCTAACCTTCTTACTAGCAGGCAGAAGCTCCTGTTATACAGTCTGCGACAGAGGAAAGGTATATGTAGTGAATGTAGAAGAAAGGGAACATGCCACAGTGTTAGAGAGACTGAAGCAGAAAGAGCATTTGCATAGTACTCAAAGTCAGCTTTACCTTAACTAATTTCATAGTCAGCCAGCCCACACCAGGTTTGCTCCCCTACATCCCTCTTAAGTTTCCGTACTTAAGCAAGAGCATGTGACGAATAGCCCCTATATTAATCCAGCCCTGCCCCAGGCCCTCGCCTCCTCCTTCCCCAGTTTTTGTTAAAAATAAATCAAATCTACAGGCATTATAAGCACAACTGATAAATGTGGGTCACATTCAATTTTTTTTATCTGTCGTGAGTTATATATGCAGTTTTCATTATCCCCTTAATTGATAACTAGAGATGTAGCTGGTTTTGAACAGCGATCGGCATTTTAGGGGATTAAGCTGGTAAAGCTCAACAAGTCGTGGGGAGGCAGCGCCACACAATCGTTAAACTTTACCAGCCACCAAAGCTCAAACCTAGTTATCATTAAACTCATAAATAGAAGATATGTCCCTTTGATTTACCAGTGACCATCACGCCAAAAATGCATGTCACTAAAAAGTCGCATTGTTTTGTGTGCCTCGTCTAAACACACTTTAACTCTTTGCAAATTCGTAGAGGACCATAGAGTCCCTTAACTTAGAAAACTTCTCCAATACAGCTACTTTGGCTCAAATTTGAAATTCACATTGAATTACTGACAATTCTTATTTTAGTAAATAATCCTGCTATTGGGCCCAAGTGTTTCATTGAGGTGAAAAATACATTTCCCGAACTGAATATACATGTACTTGAGAATCGTGCTTTTACTGGTTGCTTCTTTTTCTTCCTGACCATGATTTTTAAATGTATGCCATTTGTCGAATTATTGTTATTGAATAGTGATGTCCCGAACGGTTTGCCGAACGGTTCGCCGAACGGTTCGCCAAACGGTTCGCGAACGGTTTGCGAACGGTTCGCAACGGTTTGCCACGTACGGTTCGCCACGGACTCCAGTCAGCAGACACATTCCAGCCAATCAGCAGCAGACCCTCCCTCCCTCCCACCTCATGGACAGCATCCATTTTGAAGCTGCATTCTTAGTGAGCTGTCCAGGAGGTGGGAGGGTCTGGGAGGGAGGGTCTGCTGCTGATTGGCTGGAATGTGTCTGCTGACTGGAGTCCGTGGCGAACCGTTCGTGGCGAACCGTTCGTGGCGAACCGTTCGGCGAACCGTTCGGGACATCACTATTATTGAACAATTAAAAAAAAAATACATTATTAATAATGAATAAGATATAATATAACATAAAAGTAAATAAAAACAATAAAAATAACATTAAAAAACTGTTAAGGGAAAATGTTTTATATAAAAGGGATTACATCGTTCTGCAACGCAACAGAATGATTAATTTATCCTTTACTATTGTCAGGCCAGAAAAAAATTCTGTTTAGCTTTTTTTCTGTTTTATATGGAGTCTTGTAAACTCCCTCACATTTTAGTTGAGTTTATATATTTTTTTTTTCTACGGGAGATTTATTAAAGTGTTCGGGTGTATTCCTCCAGACCTCAAATTAAGAACAAAGTAGGCTTGTCGAAAGCTTTTGCATAGTTAAGAGATATTTTATTATTTAGATATTGCATGGAAACATTAAGTCTTTTTTTGGTTGGCTTATTTTTGTTTATCTTTTTGGTATAGCCTTTGTGCATTTATGTGCAGATATCAATGGCATATTTGAGTAAAAAATATACAGTTTTTTATTTGTTAAAATGTAGTTGTTTTCATGAATCAAAAAGTTCTCGAGTATCAAATAATCACTGAAAATAAACTTTCAGAAGAAATAGATGTGGGACAACTTATTCACTTCGAAGCTACAGAAATGTTATATTACATGGGCTTTTGTTTTATGCTCCCAGTACCATGCAGAACGCACAGGCTCGCTTGTGTAACGCGGGTTTAATAATTTACAGCTCCTCCCGTTAAACATTGGAAAAGCCCTACGATAAAGGTTTCTGTAATGCTTCCATTTATCTTATGGAAGGTTAGGTGTATCGATGAATTATTCATTTTACTGATTCAATTTCTTCTGAGATTTTTGTCTTGTTAAACTACTTTTCAGAAACAACGTTTTACGTGGATGTATTTTTTAATTTTTAAACCATGTAATACATTGCACACTGGAAATATAGTTTGCCATATAATAAGTAACAATATATCTCCGCAATGGAACTATATTAATACAATCTATGTATACAGTATATTTTTTATTTATCTTATCCCTGAAAAAAATGTTTCATCTTTTTTTTTCTCACTTAGTTGTACATTCTGTAACTAAAAAGAATATTGCATGTGGTTTAAGCGATTTATAGACCTGGAGCTATAGATTATGTTGGGTCTTATATTATGAAATATTGTATATAGGAAGACAGATAACACAAGAGGCTAAGGGTTGACAGAAGCAAGCGATGATGCCTCTACAATTTACATGACTTTAAATGTCATTTGAAAACAAATTTACTATCAGCATTGCCATTTGCAGAATCTGTCTGGTCTTGTCAGACAGGTTGAGATTAATATTCTACAAATAAACAGGAAAGACATATTTATAATCTGCGCAATACACACAGCTATAGATCAAAATGATACATTTTGAAAACACAGTTCATAAAATCACTTTCTCCTATGCAGAAACTACAAACTATAATAATCTAATTTATGAACATTGCAAATTAGCTTCCCACACACAGACACATCACCAATTGCCTTTTCAAACACAGACACAACAGAATTTTTCATTTCCACACCCCATTATTTGTTCTGTTTTCATACACATCACTAATTTCTACATCAACATACACAGTTGCACCATCAATTCGCTTCTCAAAAAAAATAACAAAAAATAACAAACACCACCAATTTTCATGCACACATACAAATCACCAATTCTCTCTTACACACACACAACCAGTTCCGTTTCTATACACAGATAAGGTAGGCCTTATTTACTAAACACTGAGTTATTGTGAATTGAAAAACTGAATTGCAAAAGATAGGCAAAATTAACTGATTTGTAAAAAATTTAAGAATGGTGTATGTGAAGGAGCGGGCTGATGCCGTGAGTGCATGCAAGTGACCTGGGTACGGAGCACATTTAAAGGTTAATCAAAGTACTATGACCACTTCTGTGAGTTGGTGCTTGAGAGTTCCGACTGTCTAATGTGAATTCTGTGCACATTGGGTATCTGTTGTCAGTACTCATAGCATGCTGGTAACAGTGACCAATGGTGACACAGACCACCTCCATGTCACACTAAGCCCTCCCTTCATCCCACCCCAAATGACGTACCTCTCCGTGCAGTGAAGGGGAGCGACATCACTGGTGGGGAATCGGCCTGCAGGGAGAATTTGGCATTGCACTGCGATCGCAGGTAAGTTTGGCTTTTTTTCTTCATAATATTTTTTTTACAATGGGGCCACACCAACAATATTTACTAGACTCCACAACAGTTTTTAAATGAAACACTGTTTTTGCTGGCGTACCCTTTAAAGTGACCAAGAGTAATTGGCAAATGATATAAAGAGAGCAATTTGGTGGAAAATATATCAGGATGGAGTGGGCGAGTGGTATTGGAAAAGTCACTCCTCACACTAACACTGCATTTTAAAACCCTGCTAAATTCTGTTAACGACTGCGTGTTAAACTGATATAATTAATTTTTTTTTTACAGAATTTGGTCCGGAGTGCAAGATTTTGGTGTCAGTTTAGAAAACAAACAAACAAAAAAAAAATACGTACATGTACATGAAAACGTACTGTACGTCCCACAGATAAATCATTCACCAATAGAATTTCCTGCAAGACTGTTATTTAGATATTTTCCTGAGAGCCTTCTTGTACCCAGCTTGACTCTTGCTACGCTTCTCAAAGAATGTATAGAAATAAGGAGATTAAGTATAGAGAGCATGCATTCAGAGTTGTGCCTTTGTCTCCGCTGGGAATACATTATTAAATCACTTGCCCATATTGATTTCAGCTCTGCCCTTTCCAAGTTTATCTAAATGTTTATGCAGCGAGAAGAAGACAGCGGGAAGCGTAAGCACACTGCGTAACTTAGTTGGCGGTTGCTAGAAAAACACGTCTATTTTCTTGTTCTACAATTTTCTCTCCTTCCTGCTGCGCCATCAGTAATAATTAGTAAACAGTAATGAACCTGCAGCTCACCTAAGGCTTACATTGCTCGAAGTTACTTTTTTCTTTTTAAAATGGTTTGATTCCAGTGAGTAAAATTAGTTGTTTGTATTTAAAAGGAATTTAAAAGGATACTGCGTCGGCCCTTCGTTATATATTGATTTAAGAATTGAACTGATGTACCCAAACAGACGTTATTCTAATTAAGATTTAATTTGAGTGTAATAGGAAGTGATGGGATACAATTGCTGATTAGAAATGCAAATTGTTTGCAGATAGTGGAGGAAAATGTTGAAACGTAACATGGGACTCCATGAGAATGAACCTTTTCTGTTTCCTTTACAGAGTACTAATGGTGCGGTAATTGGTGGTGGTGCATTCTCTAGTTCGGAGAAAGCCAAAGAATGCTAAAATGATGGCCGTTTTAATCACGTGATTTGTCTGGGTCTCGAATGGTGATGTATCTAGGAGTTCTGAAAGTGATAAGAACATGTGATCATGGAGGGGTAGTCTAGAAGCTGTAGGTATAAGTGAGGAGTCTTTTATACCTTTTAATATGGCTTTAACCTGATAGGATGACAAGAAGCGTTGTTTATCAGTCCATGTGGTGAGGATCCCAGTAATGTATAATTTAATGGTGTTGAAGGATAGCTTTAGGTGCAGGTGGCACAAAAAGATGAATACTACCAAAATTCCCATGGAGAACTTGTCCGTGATGTGAAACTCCAGCAAAAATCTATTGAAAATGTGAAAAATCCCATTGTTGTCCGGAACTCCTAAAATTGAGATAGAGACAAATGATCAGCTGCGATACTCCCTACCCCTGGAATATGTATACAAGTCAGTGACCGAGGAACTGACACCAGGAGGGGGCCCGGCGGCTTGCCCGGTATGCCGCCGGGTGCGAGGCCCCTCCTGGCTGCCCGGCCACCATCGCAGACACAGGTCTGCAGCTCCACAGTGAGCAGAGCTGCAGACCATGTGTCTCGCGCAGGGCCGGACTGGCCCACCGGGATGCCGGGAAATTTCCTGGTGGGCCGCGGCACCTGGGGCCGGTCTGACAGCCCTAATCATTGGGCTGACAGCTCCGGCCGCACAGAGCCCCATGGGTGCAGGGGGAGCCGGCTGGCACAGTTCCCACACGGCCGGCCGGGATTATTTTAAAAAAAAAAATGTGCGGCGGGGGCGGAGCTTAGTGCGACGGGGCGGGGCTTAGCGTGCGGCGGGGCGGGGCTTACCTGCGGCGGGGCCCGGCTGACTGCATAATGGGAAGCAGGAAGGAGTTCCTGCTTCCCCAACAACCAGCCTCCAGGAGCTCCAAGCAGGAGGAAAGAAGCAGGTCAGTGTGTCTGTGTGTGACTGCCTGTGTCTGTCTGTGAGTGTGTGACTGTCTGTGAGTGTGTGACTGTCTCTGTGTGAGTGTGTGACTGCCTGTGAGTGTGTGACTGCCTGTGAGTGTGTGACTGTCTCTGTGTGAGTGTGTGACTGTCTCTGTGTGAGTGTGTGACTGTCTGTGTGTGACTGCCTGTGAGTGTGTGACTGTCTCTGTGTGAGTGTGTGACTGTCTGAGTGTGTGACTGCCTGTGAGTGTGTGACTGTCTCTGTGTGAGTGTGTGACTGTCTCTCTGTGTGAGTGTGTGACTGTCTCTGTGTGACTGTCTCTGTGTGAGTGTGTGACTGTCTCTGTGTGAGTGTGTGACTGTCTCTGTGTGAGTGTCTCTGTGTGACTGCTGTGAGTGTGTGACTGTCTGTGTGAGACTGTCTGTGAGTGTGTGGATCCTGCCCGTGAGTGCGTGAATCGTCTCTGCGTGAGCAGTGCGTGACCGTCCGTGTGACCGCTCCAGAGCGTGTGATCAACTGTGTGCGTGGATCGTCTGTGAGTGTGTGACTGCCTGTGAGTGTGTGACTGTCTCTGTGTGAGTGTGTGACTGCCTGTGAGTGTGTGACTGCCTGTGTGTGACTGTCTCTGTGTGAGTGTGGGACT